TTTTGGTCAATTAGATGTGGCCAGGTCTAAAACCTTTGTAGTAAGCCTTCCTCTTGCTACGCCACTACTTCTCATTGCATGCCATACCACAAAACAAAGCTTGAAAATAATTGTCTAAGGAGTAAACTCCGACATAAAATCAAGAAACAGTTCCAAAACTTACATATTGATCCATTGGCAAACCCCACAAAACTAAAGATCATCTAACGGCTGCTGTAAAAGCGAATCAAATTACAAATTTTATGTGACTTCGGAAAAAAAAGTTTTTTAAATTGAAATTTTCACGCTTACTCTCGCTTTTATTTCTGCATGTTATCAGCTGGTTAACACATTTGAAGCTTTTAACACAACGTTAGTCGTGTGATTTAATTGAGTTCTTTTTTTAAACTCAATACTTTTATTTTTGTAAATACATGTGACTAATATTACTCAGCCGCCTTTTTAATGTTCTCCGCTATCAGTACTAACTCGACACACAGGCAAAGCGGGCGTTTGAAAATATTGTTTTTTGTTTGCTTTTTTTCCTGTCAAGTTCAATAATGTTTACGCTGTCTAGCAAATCGCACATGTAGGCAATTTGTGTCGTGTGAAGTGAAAATAATTTTTTTTATATATATTTTTCGTGTGTATAGTGAGTGAGTAACAATAAAGTAAAAGACGAGAAATAAAGGGAAGAAATAAGAGGAAAAGTTTTTTTCTCGTTCATTTAATGGTTTAATGGTGTTGCTTAATCGCACCGCAAATGTTTTGTCGACGTAAAAGATGCTACTGGATGGGGAAGAAAAATTCCAGAAAGGTAGAATAATTATTTGTGAAATTATACATTTAAAAGTGATAGTGTGTGACTCGAGGACTGCAGCGCATTTTTTGTAGCTTTAATTGGTGCTTACTTAGTAAAGTAATGGTTTTTAATTATCAAATTTTTAACGACTGTTGAAAATTCGAATTTTAATGATTTTTTGAAATTCACATTTTTTAAGATTTCTTAAAATTTGACTTCTTAACGTTTATTTGAATTTTGAATTTTGTAGTGGTGTTTTGAATTTCGAATTCTTAACGGTTATTTGAATTTTGAAAATTTAATGGTTCACAAAAATTCTAAATCCTAATGACTCCTTGAAATTTGAATTTTTAACGGTTTTTGAAATCTATAATTAAAATTTTATAATAAAAATTTCGAAATTATCAATTCAAGAGTCAGTAATTGTTCAATCTTTTAAAATTTGACTAAGCAAGTTGACCAAGGTCGTTTCAATCTTATGACTCACCATGCAACTCAGTCAGCTGAACAAACTGTGATACTAAGTTTCATTTTCTTTTCTAAATTACGATGACAACTTTTTTGCACATTTCGATAGCAAAAACTGTTCATTTCTTTGTCTCCAAACCGATGCTGGTTTGAAAGTTGATGATGATGATAATGAGAAAGTTTTTTTCTATTTTGTGAAAATTTTACAAAATTTAATTTTAAGCACAAAATGAAGGAAATTATTTGCTGGATGCTAGAAAATTTAATTGGGTCACATAGCGAACGTATTGTGTTTTTAATAAAAGTTTTGTAAACTTAAATTACACTGTGAAGAAAAGTTTTTATCTGCTGCTTAATTTCAGTTGTTAATCTGTTGACTTTAACATGTCAGTGCCTTAAAATGTATTGCAGGAACTAAAAGGAAGCCAAATTAGATTGAAAAAGATTTTCTTACTGCAAAAAAAATTTTACGTGTCGTTTCGCTTGTTTTCATCACATTAAATATTGTGCATTGTGTAGATATGAGATAAGCCTAACACATATATGCTTACAAAATAATTATCTGATATAAAAAGTTTTTTTTTTTGTTTGGTGAAATAAAATTTTTGCGACATTTTTTTATGTGTGGAAATTTAAAGAACCTTTTTTGGGAAGTTCCAATGACAATTTTTCACATTTTATTGTTTTGTTTCCAAATCGTGACCAGAAAGTTTGTAATTAGTATTTTGTACAGTCATACATGGATGTTCACTATAAAATTTCACATTCTTGCTTCATTCTGTTTTGTGAATATTTTAATGAAAAATTCAGGAAGGTCAAATCCCTTTTGGATTTCATCATGTTATAGAAAACTTTACATTCGGCAATAGAAACGAAAATTTTGTTTTCTTTCAAGTTTTTCTAAATCGATGAATTTGAATGACTCAGACTAGACATCCTGTGAAATTTTAATGATGTTTTAATAAAATTTGCATGAATATACCAAGGTTTGATCATAAATGACGTCATTAAAATGATTTTATGTTTAGGACCAAAAAACCATGTTTTAAATCAAAATCTAATTTAACCATAATTTCAAATTCAAATTAAGGTTAAACAAAATTCAAATTTAAAAAGTCCGTTAAAATTTGAATTTTTATAATCCGTTAAATTTTAACAATTTTCAAACATTTCTTCCTAGAATTTCTTAGAATTTTCAATCTATAAAAAATCTTCACTTCCATTAAATGTTAGAGCACAAGTCGAAGAATCAATGAAATTCAAAACCCACTTGCAAAATAGGTAATTCAAAATAGAACTCAAATAGACTCTTCAAAAGTAATCTCACGTTATGGTATTGACTTAAGATACTTTTTTCCACGAAATTGAACAAATGATTTTCTATGGATTTCATGAAAAATCGATAAATACTTCCCCAGTGATTCTATTACTTTGAAAATCCCTCCTAAAGCTGATTCATCATGCCCATTTTCATCATCATCATATTGTAATCCAAACAGCAGAGATTCTTTCTTTCTTTTTTTTCCATTATAATAAAAAGTACGCAAAAAAGTTTGATTAATTTTTGTTCTTTAAATTATTTAGACAAAGTTCAAGGAAATGAATTTGTATGCTAGCGTTAGACACAACAATTTCAACTTATTTAAGATGATATCTTGTGAATGAAGCAAATGAAGCAGATATATTGCTATTTTCAAGAGTTTTAAATTTATTACATTATTAAAAAGCAGAATTTTAAAAAAAAAATGTTTAAAAACTTTGTTTTGTCATGATTTGTTGCTTAAAATTTGAATTTATGAATTTGTTAAAGTTGAATTCAAATAAAATTTGAATTTTGAATATTCAGATATATTTGAATATTAAGAATTTTATAAAGTTTGAATTCAAAAAGTACGTTAGTAATTCAAATATAGAAAATTCGTTAAAATTTGAATTTTTTGTATTCATTGAATTTTAATTTTTAAAATTTTCACAAAAATTGAAAATTTTGTGTGAATATGATTTTAAATTTGAGAAATACGTTAAAAATTCAAATTCAAAAAATACGTTGGAAATTTATATTTTTTTGTGCTTCCTAAACTCACTCAATGTTCACCGACCGTAATTTAAATCTTCCTCAAAGTACATCAAGAATTTATTTTTCATTCTTAAAGAACACAAGCACTGAGTAGAGCTCTCTTTAGTGCCGTGTCCGGAAGTAAATGTAAATTTATGCGAGAAAATAAAAATCTCCAAGAAAAATAAACTTTTCGAAAATAGATAGAAAGAAATAAGAAGCTAGACGTAGGGGATGGATGGAGAAGAAATAAATGGAATATTATCTAACATTTCTACTTACTCGTGCTGTCTTTCATTTTTCCTACTCAACATTTTTATTTTCATGACGAGAAGATGACTTTCTTTTTGAAAAATGGAATTGAATAGAAGAAAAGTGGAAGTGCCATTAATCCTCCGTTAGACAACAACATAATTTTATATTCTTATTTTATGCTGTAAAGGATCTCTTTAAAGACACCTTTCTGACATTAAAATACATGCTCAGTAAACAGCAGCAATAATAATAGATTAGCATAATGATTGTCGCGAGCAGGAAGGAAGATATTTTTATTTAAAAATTTGCGTCCGATAAGATAGAAAATTTTTTATGACATTCTTAAATTATTACTTGGGGATTCTCGCCGAGAATAATGGAAATTTTATTTATAGCTTCATTCTCAATAAAAAAAAATTTATATTAATCGTTGACAAAAGCTTTAAGATTGTTACGCATGTATATAAATAAACTGAAGTGAATTACGAGGATTTAAATTTAATTTTATTTGCAATGGAAAAATTGAAATTAAGTCGACTTTAAATATTTGTTTGAATTCTGTTGAATTTCGTTACAGACACGTGAGATTTATTTTTAGGGTATTTGTATTTTTAGACTAGCTTGGAAATTTTTTAAATGTAATTTTGAATGAGTAGGATGAAAATAAATTTAACGAAAAACTTGAAAAAATATTTTTTTTAAGCTTCTGTTGTTTTTATTTGTTGTATCTGCTTAAAGGTTAAGTTTGCATTCTACTGGTATCTTGGGTTGTGTAATCAGTTACACAAAAAAGTAAGGATTATGAAAACTTTCTTATGAGCTACTTTATTCAATAAATTTTTATTTCACATTTTTTGAGCCAATTCGAAGCTTCTAATCAGCTCATCCGTAAGAATTCAACATCTACTAAATTTAATTCAACCCATTTCAACAAAACTCTGCAAAACTCAATCATGGATTTACCAAAAATGTTCCCATAAACGTTTCCTTTATAAAATGCCATTTAATTCACTTCCATCCTCATTTTCACCACAGATTATCATTATTGTCATCTTATAAGACATTAAGATCGACTTTATTCCCATTGTCATGAGAAACTATTCAAGGTATTCTTCATTATAATGTTCGAACAGGTGGTTAGTCATGTAAATTACTGCTGATTGATTATCTTATCGTATTACAATACACACAATTTGTCACCACAATCGATTTACTCTATTATCATTTTATGCTGACAATGATAATCGTTGTCATTAACATGAAAATGCGTAGTAAGAAGGAATGTTTATGCTTCTTATATCCTTATTGGATAAGGAGTAAATTCTTGAATAAATGGATTTAATAAACTTTTGAAAGGCTCCCAATTAACCCCAAAAGATCCTAAAATAATAATATTTTAAAATTAATTAAATTAATTAATCTTACCCATTTCAATTATAGAGTCCAATCACATTATGTAACCTTGGTGTTGGCGCGACGTTCGGTGAATCTGTTCTGACTGACTTACCACGCGACAGTACCGTTGTAACAAAGACTACATGTGAACTACTGCGGGTTGAGCAACAAGACTTTCGCTTAATATGGGAGGTATGTATGATGTAAAATAAAAGAAGACAAAATTAATAAATAATGAAAGTGACACATTAAGTGCACACGAGCATCGAGCATGTAAGAATATTATGGAGTTTAAAAAACTATAAAAATTACATCACGTCTCAATTCCGGATGTGCATGGATATAAACTTAAGTATCTGTGAGATCAAGGGGTGGATGTGCTTGTCCTCTACATGAATATTGAAATCATGCCATCCATTGAATTCTCAATTGATTTTAATTTGAAACTTACGCCCACTGTTTATTGTGAATTTTGAGTTGATGGTCACTAAGAAGCTGCAGGGTGGAAAACTATGATTGTATCAAGTCAATCTGCAATAAAATTAGTCATACTCTTTATACATACTTGCTCCTCCTACACAATTTTATACTTCCTCCACAAAGTAATCATCCCTTGCATCACGTTGTAACACAAAACTGTAGAAGATGAGCGAGAAAAATTCTTTCCATATTAAATAATTCATCCTCCATAATTCAGCATATAGTTTTATACATTATAATGTGCCAGCGCTGTTGCTGTATACTAAATTGCATTCGGTAGCAGATGAACGAAAAGAATGTGACTCATAAAAGCGAGAAATAATTGAAAATTGAAATCGAGATGGAGAATAATTTTCACTTTGAAAAAAAGAAATCACAAAAGAAGCATCAACAAGCTACAAAATGCTCTATTTTCATTGTGGATGAATATAAAGTTCTACAAAAGTGGGAAAAAAGTTTGTCATTCTCTATCTCTTTCTCATGCCTGATGATAATCATATAATATTCTCGAGTTGGAAAGAATGCAACAGGCGAGTGCACAAACAACAAATTTTGTATCATCATTATGGCGGTGCTTAAAAACATTTGTGGAATTCTCAATATCGAAAGCAATATGGTACATTTGTACGTTTTTTGCTGCTACTGCTGATGTCGATGTTATGTGTTTATTCTGCTCCATAAATATGAAATTTCATTTGTTTAATGCACTTCACGTAGAGAAATAAAAATTCCTTATTTTTTGGTGTCTGCTATTAGAGGATGTGAGCTATTATCCATGTGCTTAGTCTATTCTGCAGCTCGTTTGCTGAAAAATGCACTAAAATCGTGAAATTATTTCATATTTCCTCATAATTTCTTTAATTTTATCTCAATTAAGAGGTATATGCAAGGGGACCAAAAGGTTATGGGCCTTAACTTCAAAAAATAATTCAGAGGCTTTAAAAGGTTCAATTTTATGGATCACCCCCTTCCCCTGCTCAAAAAATATCTAGCTACATCCCTGTCTCAATCTAAACCATTACTATGTCTGCTGTTGTTCATGTGTAATATTTCTTCACTATTTACTGCTGCTTCCATAAGCTCCTCATAATTTTTTTTCTTCTTCATCTAGAATTGAATGCGAGAGACGAGACTTTGTAGTCGATTACAATTTTTAATAATGTCTATTGTGGTGATGCTATTAAGTAATTTAACGAAGGAATTACAAATAATAATGCTGATGATAACGATAGTTTAGCAGTGGAAGCAGCATCAGCAATTATTAAATGTGCTTTCAGAATTTTTAATTATTTTCATTTTGCTATACCGAGAGGATAATTTATGAGCAATTTAGAGGTTACAAGATAGAAAGCAGACACAGTTGGTTACCTTTTTTTTTTGTTCTTAAGAGATTAGTGCGATTGTGTTTTTACTTTGCTACTCGTTATTGAAAATCATCAGATAATCCACTTTGTCAGCTTTTTTATTACAGTCTAACAAGAACATGTATGTAGCACGTAGTTTGAGGGTAAAAAAATATTGTCTTGTAATTGAATTGGAGACTCCAATCGAGAGGAAAAAGTCAAAATTATTGAGAGTGTATCGTGTAACTGATCTTAACCAAATGTCACGAAATATTGAAAGGAAGTGATGCTGTGGTCAATTGAATTTTTATTGGCAGATTATATTTGAATTTCTTCAAGTGGCATCCATCATTTTTAATTTTTAAATATCTCTTAATATGATGTCCATAAATACAAGCTAACCCCAAAATACAATCCATCAAATCACAGTGACTCTAGTCCACGTTGCAACTTATTAAAAGCCACAATATGATTGTAAATTTTGTCCCAAACCATATCACATCATCATCCCGAATTTCGATTCTTTCGAGGCAAATCAGCAGCACATAACCAAGAACCACAACTCAAAATTTACATCAGCATCACTGTCATTCCATTCGTGATGTGGTTGACATTGGAATAGTCCATCACGATAGCAAAATTATCTGTCAATATTGTAAAATATCATTGCAAATCCCTAAATTGAATTTAATTCCATATTTAAATGTGTATAAAAGTTGCAAGTCACAAATTAAGGCAGTATTTTAAGATATTTTATTTGCCTAATTAAAAATCAATTTATTTTAATTAAGGCTACTTAAGCTTACAAAAACTAGTGTGTCGGGTAGAAAACCAATGCGTATTATATTCACACCGTACTATCAAAAGTCTTATGGATAGACCAAGATTTGCCCATCATAAGTATGAAGGTATGAAGCTTGATAAGTCAACTGAGCTTTGCTCAGCATAAGTTTGAAGGTATAAAGCTTAACGAACATTCTTTAAAAGATTTTTAAAAAAAAATTTCATCTAAAGTTTAATTTTATAAAAATCACAGTCAACTTTTGTTTTAAAAAATTCGTAAGAAAGGAAAGTTTTTTGCTATTTGTGAAGCAATGGCTGTACCTACCTTGCCCAAAAACAATACAGCTCTTCTATAGAGCAGCACGGATCAAATGTAAAAAACTAGAAGTCTCTACGATGTCTCGTTATTGAAATTTCTTGCTGATTAACTTGCTTGCTTGCTTGTTTGTTTACAGAAAGCGTATTTTGCGATTTTCTCAGCAATGCCACAACCAATTTGAAATCTGTTTTTTGAAAATGATGTAAAATTTGAGACACAAACATTTCTTCTAGGACCTTTTATAACCAATTTTGCTTTGTTTTCCCACAAAATGCGAAAAACTGATTTTTCTATCTGAACAAAAGCAATAGATTCACACGTGAAAACGGTGTGAATATAAAAATTTTATTCCATTTGAATGAACCCACTCATAAATTCAATTTTAATCTTTTTGTATGCCATCTGATCTTTTTTCTTTCTTAGAAAAACAAGGAATTAATGAACGACATTATACTGAATTGTAAATTCAAAAATGGTAAGAACTTTTTTTAATTGAATATAAATTGTGTCCATTTTTAACATATTGTTGTTGTTTGCTGTTTTCAACAAGGTTTTGCAACACCAGTCACACAAAATATTCCAGTATCGCCTACAAAGAAGCAACTGTCACCAGATCATCCAAATCCAGCACTTCCGATAACTGAAGTAAGTGATTTGCATAAAATTTGCATCAATGATTTTGTTTTCTTTTCTCCATGAATGTTATTAGCCATGCCCCTAAAAATAAGCACAGTAAAAGGCTATAAATTTTATAAACACATTATTGAGGCTAGCCGATTTAATATAAACATAATTCCAATTTGAATTTATAAGCAATTTATATGCATTCATGTATATTTTGCATGACAGTGAGTCTATGTGCGGTGATATTCAATAATCGATACAATAATTGTTTTCAGTATCAACATTAACATTACCCAAAAATATAATTTTTTTGCTTCGATGAAAATTAATTGAAAATTGCAATTCATACGCATTCATTGATTCGCACGATTGTTGAGTGAAATGAACTTTTTTATAGTTTAGAGTTTAAGAGGATAAACAAGTTGATGGGATTTTAATGCAAATTATTGCGATTCTGCAGCGATTTTTTAAAGTATTTTATCCGACTACTTTAGGTAGATTTTATCTCAAGATAAACTAATGGATGGTTTCTAGGGCTGCTCGAGGCATCTTCTTCACTAAAATTGGAAATCAATGCAGTTCTTTTTGTGGTGCACTTTATATTTCTCTAAAAGTATGGTAAGATGCCTTAGGTAACTCTAGGAATGTGTCCTAGGTTCATAAAGAATTGTATAGACTTTTTCCTGACGTATCTCAACCTAATCTTTCCTAAAACTCACCTAATATATTTATAACGTAAATCATTGAATTGGAAATAGCTTTTAAACCTAATCCACAAACTATGCCTTAAATTTTTAAATTCATAATTAGTCCTAGAACGCTGCCTAGATCTTCAATTTCCAGATCAAGTGCATTAAGCTCTCAAAGTATCTATATTCTTTTATTCTCTAAAGAATCACAAAATCATGAACATTAGAATTCGAACCAACGACTTTTAAGTTCTTCAAAACCAAATTAAAGCTTACAGCTCAACCAATTGCTCCATAGAGACAGTTGCAGGCTCAAATATTTATTTTACTAAGACATTGTCCCAATCAAGATCGAATCAGCACAATCCCTTTCCAGACAACATGACCATAAAGTCTCAAATGTCTACATAAATAACCAGTTGTAACCGAGTAAAAGGACGTTCCCAATGAAAATTGAATCTTTTTTTTCCGACTGTTAATTAAAAAAAGTATTGATTCATGAAAAAAAATGCTTTGAGTTAAAATAAAATATTAAATTACTATCTTCAACCAATTAATTTATTTATGAGCTCATGAATAATATTTTTCCCTTATTAAAATCATACAAAGTTTAAAATAAATTAATTGGACAATATGATCCAGCCGTATTTACATTAAACTGTACTCAATAATTCAAACTGTTATTAAATCTTTATTTATTCGACTGAATAAATTTTATTGAAAAGTAATTACGAATTTCAAATTTTTCAAATGACTGGAAATTTATTCGGAAGATTAATTAATTCTAAATTAATTTTTCACCCACTGTTGTATTATTTGTGATTGGAAATCTCATTGACACTCGATAATGTAGGAAGTGGCGTATCATTGAACATGCGAGAATAATTGTGTGTTGAAAATCGGAATAGAATGTGAAGTTTTTGATTAAAAATTTAACCTCGTTCGTAAATAATGTTCACTGGAGATTCGGAATGACCAGGAGACGGGGTTGCTTTAAATAACGTCCTCTCTGTAATTATCTTTCAAAATACTAAACATCATTTATGGATCTATTGCTCAAAATATAGATATTAAGTTTTAATTACCGAGCTAGTTTTGATATATTTGATCCATGGTAATTTTGACTGCTAGCGAATAAAACTGTTCTGCATCGAACATTTTCATTAGTCCGCAAACTTTAATTTTCCATTCAAAAACTTTTCAACATAAAGGCATAAATCTACACAAAACTCAAACTCGAAACATTCATGTTCATTCAATAGCCAAGAGCATAATTCGCCTGATAACCAGGTCAATAAAGGACATACATCATTGTGCATTTCAAATGAAATTAAAATTGTGTTTATTGCAATTTTCATGTCAAATTGATTTTCATTTCAATTGTGGAAAATTCATTTGTATAAGCATGAAAATAAAAATTCAAAATGCATAAAACGTTGATGGCTATTTTCAATTTTTTTTTGTGCTGTGCTGTTCTGTGTCGATGTCATCAAGAGAGAAAAAACAAATAAACACAGAAGTATGGAAATTAACAGCAAAAAAGGTTTTGTTTCCGATTCAATCATAAAATGGCAAAAGCAATAATAATAAAAGCAATAAAAAATAATGATAATCATGATCATCAACATTGATGTTATAAATATTCAAATCCCATTTGAAATGCACATGCATGCTTGCATGAATTTGTAGCATAAAACATGTATAACTTTCAAACTGTTGTTGATATGTTGAATTGAAACAAATAATACAATGTTATGTATGGCACGTATGGAAACTAGTCTATTATGCTCAATTTCATTCACAAACTTGTATTCACAAATGTTCTCATGCCTCTCCATTAAGTCATTGCCAACAAACAATCAATTATCCTTCAAATGAATAAATTGTGAATTTAAAATAGGAAACCTCAATTCAAAAATCTTTAAGGCTTAAAGTTGGATGCACTGAAGGAGACTTTTGTTCATCAAACTTTCGTAACTTGAGGAAGCAAAACTTACTTTTCAATGCTTGGATTGCTTTTAACAGGATTAAAAATTTCATTTTTCTATTCATAACTTGTTCATTGTAAGAATGGAAGTGAATGTGAAGCTTTAAAGTCCCTCAAAAAGATCTTTAATACTTCAATAATTACCAGCAATCTGTAAATTATTCATAACTTCATTAAAACTTTGTTGATTGCCAATAAAAAGTTATTTGAAATTGAATGGAATAAACTGAGGCAGTAGTTGAGGATTTCATTAAAGATTTAAATGAGATTTTCAAATGGTTGGTTTTTGCATCTTTTTTTCTGCGTCATTTTGAAAGGGGAATGCAACTCTTAATGGTAAAGTTCAAAATTTCAATTTTCGTTGTTGATTTTTGAGTGTGAATTGACGGTACTGCATCTTTATTTGCGTCATTTTAAGGGGTATGCAACTTTTTAAAGAAAATTCAAACTTATTCTTACCGTTATAAATTCAGAGAAAATTGTACAAAATTTAAAGTATTTTCCTGTCACCAACTGACAAATTGTTATCTAATTAATAAATTTCACCCCATCTCCTACAATTATCTTCGCAACCGCTACGTCATTAAAAATGAAAACTGCCAATTCGAGAACATTTTTCTCGTTTCGAAATTAATTCACTGATTATTACCCACGTAACCATAAGTCGACGAATGGAAGATTTTATGTATTACATCAAAATCTTCCATGTATGTTCCATATGTACATTCCATGTATCGTACATTGGACATTATGCTAATATGAAAAGGGATGATTTTTAGTCGATTTTACGTCGATTTCACGTCGATTATTTTTTTGAACCAAAATCAAATTTTTTTGACCGTTACAATATAAAAACCGATTAACGGAAAAATTTTGAATTTTTTTTACAAGAAAATATTTTTTGTTAATTATACTATAATTTGTAGACAAAATCCAAAAAAATTAATTAAGGATTTTGTCTTTGAAAAAAAGAGTCGAAGTCTTCATTTAAATGAATGATTCGCTTGTAATTAATTTAATTAATTAATCACACTTTGTATGAAAATTTGGCTGTGCCTTATATAAGTGATTTCTGATTGCACTTGTGAAGTATATAGCGGCTCAAGAAAAACGAATGTAATGGATGAAAAATCGACGTCTATTGGATCATCCAAAAAATTGTACATTTAAGTCGATTTTTTCATTGACGGCGATTTTGGTTACGTGGGTAATTTTTATTAAAGCAAATTGGGAATAACATGAAGAAAAGAAAAAAGTCTATTTATTTTGTGGCATTAATAATTAATTTCTCAAACTGTCATATCAATAAATAACAAGCGAAAACGAACAAAATTAATAATTATTTTCTCCTAAATCTTTCTCATTTACAGTCACCAAGTCCTGCAATGCATAAAATGGGATGGGCGTTAAGAACACTTCTGTTAAACGACAGCACAGGATGCTTGAAAGATCGAAAAGTGTCAGGTAGATTGATAAGAAAATGTGCACCAGGCAGTGAATTGGTAGATTGGCTAATGAATTTATCGCCTGTCGTACACACACGAATTCAAGCGACTGGCATGTGGCAAGCGTTGTTGGAGGAAGGTGTTATTTCACATGGTAATTAAATATTCTAGAGAGAGAGATTTCTTGTTCTACTTCTACTTTTTGCAAGTGACAAGCCATCACGCAATTCATTCATTAATTAATTTTTCTTCTTGTTTTATTTTGCTTTCTTCTTTCATCCCTACAACTTTACATCCCATCACGCCTACAACATTCGTCTGTTACGTATAATATTATGAATAAATATCACAAAACAGTTGCAAAAGAGCAGCCATTTAAGGATAAAGTTTTTCTTTATCGATTTCGTGCGGACGAGGATGGAAGCGGTACATCTCCATCGACAGATGATACAAGTTCAGCTAATGATCACATTAAAGAGGGATTAACGCAGCTTCTTCATCGTGGTCCTGATGCAACTTTAAGACTAATTTTAAGGAAACCGTGAGTTTAATTAGATTGTTGACCTGATTTTTAATGGCAATTAGATGTGAAGAGATGCAGTATGTAGTCGTTATAATTCTCAAATGAGATGTTAGGTAATTAATGAAAATAATTGGATGAGATTCTTGACTTCTTGCTTGAAGGGTTGTTATCCTCAAATTATCCCTAACAAGGTTTGCTCACTTAGTAGAGATTTTAAGGATTTGTAGATTATAAATGATTAATTCACAGATTTTAAGGGCTAATAAGAAACCGTAGTTGGTGATTTGTAAGATATAGCATTTGTATGTCCTTTGGCTTCCTAATACCATATGAAACTTCACGTATAAATCATCTGGATTGACATATCAAGCCTTATTCTGGCTCTTATCCCTGTTTTGGTTATAAAATCACTCTTCAGTACGCTTCATAAAAGATCAAAAGGAACTATGTAGCTAAGCAACGAAAAGAGAAGAAAACACTTTAAGAAAAAAATAATTCCAGTTAATTATCATAAACTACCTCGAAAGCATGTTTCCGGTTTGTCTGATATAATGATTTATGTAAACCTCTTTTCCGTCGGTGTCTTCTCCTTCGTCTCATTCGTATTCGTTGCTTAAAGGAAACAAGAAATCATGTAACGAAGCGTAGTAATACGATTCCAAACAGCAAAAAGTTCTCTTTTTCTTGATATTCAAGACATTTAAAGTTTCATGTGTGAACCATATTGTACGTGACATGAATGCAATTGTGAATATCTTGCCATTTATGAGTATGATATGTGTGGTGCCTCATTCTCCTCGTCATTTAAAGACTATGCTTATATTTAATGTTTATAGTCAGAACAGAGAAATTTATTAAAACAGACAGAAAATAAAAGTTTTTTATATTATGTGGAAGTCCATTGCATATTTTTTGTGTGCTTCGCTATTTGTAAATTACGCTAAGGGTCGTAATTACATTATGATAATGAGGATGATGTGCTAGACAATTTTCTGTCTAAATGCATGACAATTGTGGATGTCCATAAAACAAATTGCTCTGAATTTATCCATTTGAGTGTACATACTGCATAGATTTTTCCTTGATATCTGAAACGTTTATTAATGCTTCTTATTTATCTTAATCCCCCCTTAAATAGATCCCACGAGCGAACGCCGGAGGAATTGGAATTAGTATTTGAGGAATTGTTACATATCCCAGCCTTATCACACCTTTCAACATCAATTAAGCGTGAACTTGCTTCAATCATTGTCTTCGAATCTCATGCTCAAGCGGGAACTGTTTGTGAGTAGAATTTTTAATCAATTCATAGACCGAGAAAATCATCAATTTACTTCCTAACCTAAATTGCCTTTTTTTCATCGACTTTTATTATTATTTTTCCTTATTGAATTTGTGGATGGAATGAGTTTATTCCTATGAATTATTTCCTATATACACATGCGATTATCAATGCACGAACACACCATAAACTCACAAGATATGTATGACTACTCATTTTCGCCAAAACAGCAGCAAAAAAGGTTTCAGTGTATGAATGGACCCTCCCATGAAAAATTACAATTTTCATTTCTCCTTGAAAATATTTAATATGTTTCACTGCTGCATGCACCTTCGTCTGGTTCAATAATCTAGCCTTCTTGTTCCACATTTTTATTTCGGATTACTAAGAATTTGTGTATGATGACCTTTCTAGACCCATTCTTAACTTTATAATAAACATATATTTTCATGGGAGGTGTGTATGTGTTTGGATACATTTATACTTGTATCACGCGTCACTAGATTTCATTTTTTACACGCTTTTTTGCTGTTGCTTCTTATTTGGTTCGGTATTGTAGTTTTTCATAGCTTAGTTTTATGATGATGTGAAAGTTTTGGAATACATTTTGTATTAATAAGGACCAAACTGAAAAGCTTACATCTTTGAAGTTTCCTAAGGAAACTTACCTTGATCTGACCAACTATGACAGATATTCAAGTCCTTATCAGTTCGATTTATGTAATGAACTATTGGAAGTCGGAGTATTTTTGGTTATTTACTTGCTTCGCTGGCTGTAAAGATCAGCTGTAATTCATGTCGGCATCTTAGGCTGGCTCAATGGCTATCAATGGATACGTATTGTTATTTAAACACTAGCCTCTAGACTCAATAAGCAAGGATTTTTAAATGGTAAAAATCTTATATGCCCTATTGTTAAGTGTTTTTAAGCATGAACGAATATCCTTCATCCGTCTCTTCATGCAGAGTATTTCTGGATACTCCCTTGATCCATCATAATAAAAACTAAGCACCGATAAAAACCTGATAATCAAAATCAATGTCACGATTGGGTCCATTTCCGAAAGTACTTAAATATTATTAATCTCAAAAGTCCTTTCGAATGATACTGACACAGACATTGACTCTTAAACTCATATTCAGCATATATCAATGCACAGACCCATTGAAGCAGAAAATGCGCTCAACTTTCAATTATATTTACTGACACAATTTTTCGTGCTTCACCTTTTTTTTTTCTCCTTCGCTTGTGGCTTTTTCGTAATCAAAGAAAATGTAATTTGGCCACACATACACACACATGATCACACAATATATCCAGATTTTTTTTATCATGGATTTATTTCCCAAGCTTAAAAGAAAGATTTAAGTCCCAAGATAAGGACCTTAACAAGAAAACATTCAATCACACTGAAAGTTTTTTTTAACCTTTATTATCGCTTCCATCCATTTCTTTCTTTTATATCCTTTTTTTTGTAATGTAGTTCCCTGCTACATCTTTTGCTTTGTTTTATTGCTGCTTTATAATTGATAGTATTTTTAAGGAGTAAATTATTACTTGACTTTTTGCTCCCATCCATTAAAGAATCCATTATGTGATGCCCTTTTTATCTAATCACGAACAATCTTATACTTTCTTCCTTAATGCTTTTGCAATTACATACATAACAACGCGTATCAACAACAACAACAACAACAGTGTTTAATCAAGGTGATGAGGGTAGATCGTGGTATATTTTACAGAAAGGCAAAGTAGACGTCGTAATTCATGGGAAAGGAACAGTTGCAACATTAAAAGAAGGAGATGACTTTGGAAAGCTTGCACTTATTAATGATGCCCCAAGGTAATTTTTTTATGCTTCTTTTTTATTAGTTTAAGAAAATGGAAATAAAAAGGAAAATGTTTCTCGTATTTTTTTTTTCACGTTTTACTGGAATAAAAAGTACTTTGACTTCTTCTTCGTCTTTTGTTTCTGTTCAGACTGTAGTAATCTTATTCATTGAATAGAGCAAATTTTCGGCAATTCCTCTTTTCAATTGCTGTCTGATTTACTTCTTTTAAATTCTAATTATATTTTCTGTAGCTTTCTCTTCCTTTATCGTACCCTTCTTTTCATTTGGATTGTGAATGTACGGGAGAAATACACTAGAAAAAATTTTATTATGATTTACCAAACCAACCCTTTGAGATATTTTATTCTTTTCGCTAGCTTTGGGGTCATTCATTAGTTCTGGTCGTTAAAAATAAAAACTTACAAGATCCAATTCGACTACAAACTATAACCAGACCCTAACAGACAAAGAGCATGCTCTCAATGAGTATACTCACTTAAATGTACTGACTGAGTTAACTCGTGAGCATACTCAGCAAATATATTTTAGTGAGCATACTCATTGCGAGTGTGCTCTTTGTCTGTTAGGGAGAACATCATTTATGGACCCTATTCGTTATTTTTGATTTACTTTGTAACTCGCTCTGAGTATGAAAAGTTGTACTGAATTTATAATGCTTTGTCCATTTTTTTGCCAAATGTTCTATTTTTGCCATGAAGAACGTGGATGTGTGTAGAATTTCAATTTAAAAATCATTTCGTGCATGAGTTTTAAATTTCACAAACAAAAAGGGTTTAAAGAGTTTTGATGAAATAACATTCGACAGGAAATTTCAAAATGGGATTTATTGCTTGAAGAAGCTTGTGTAGGAGAAGATATTCTGATTTAAGTTTGGGAAAGGAAACATCAGGTACTATATTGCATCAAGTATAATAGGATATTTTACGAAACTCATTATATTGACTCATCTTATGTCCTGTAATAGCCGTCCTGATATGATGACACACTGTTTAAGGATCTGCCCTATTCTGAGAATCAAACCCATGGCACAGAGCTTGTTACTTCTACTTGACCACAGAGATCTTAATCAAAAACTGGCAGATTCTTATAAATTAAAATCGTTCCTTGAAAATCGATGTCATCATAAAATATTAAGAAATATTTTCGATCAACTCAAAGTACTTCCTTTACTGTGACAATTCATAATTTCAAGATACTTTTCAAGCAAACTTTCTCTTTACTCATTCAATCGCTCTTCAAGGTCCCATAAATAAGCACAAAAGCTACATATTTCTCCATTATCAACTAAATATCTCAAAGCAAAAGTTCTACCCGATTCAATGAAATTCATAACAGCAAAAGTTTCATGAAAAGAAGCGCTTTATCTTGTCGCTCTGAAAGTTTGCGACAATTGACTTTAAACTTAAACTCTTTCCTGTTTCTTATAATTATTTCGTCTTAATTGCTTCTTTTTCTCGCAACTTACTGCTGTATACTATCGTTAGTGTCCTGAGATACGGTAATGAAGGAAAGGAAAGACAAGTTTAATAGGCCTGCGATGAGTGTGGTTAAAGCGCATTTGAATGTGATGTATGATTCTTCTGTGGCTTAGTTAAGACTCAAACAGAGGGTTGGTGAATTCCTCCTCAATTATCCTCTGGCTGAGCCAATGCCTGATCTTAATTTTAAACTAGATGGGTTACAGTCTGCATTTATTGAAGTTTTACTACTCTATAGCTTCAAACAACTAGACTGACAAAATAGAGTCATGAACGCCATTCAGTAAAGCATGCCTTCGAGTAAAAACAATAAATTTTAAAGAAGATAGAAAAATGAGAAAATTTAGAATAAGAAGATGTGTCTTGATAATGAAAAAAAAAAGTGGAAGAAAAGCAGTAAGCACAATGAATAGAAAATTTTTCATCATCCCGTTCTATTTAACCAACAAACACGCCTTTCGTGATTAAATGGCATTTATTGTAGCTCAATTCTTTTATCTTCTTCTTCCTTTCTGTCACTTGAAAATCTTTTTAACTTCATCCCCATACATAACGTCCCACACAACAGCTTTATAAAGCATATATAAATCAAAAAGCTGTGTGAGGATATTAAATTGCAAGATTTTTATTTTTTTCAATTTTCAGAACATCGCTTTTTGCAATTTCCCCTTTTTTTCTGTTGAAACTTTTTATTCCATTATGTGAAATGCTGATAAACGAGCAGGAACGAGTAGAAAAAAAAATTAATACAATAATATGAAATGTAGTGGTAGTGGCATTTATTATGAGATTATTTTACTTGTAACATTAATAGCTTCTAATAACCTTTTATTACTCACTCACGCTTCCTACTTACCCAAACTCCCTTAAAAATCACATATCAACTCTTCATCATCACCATCCATGCTGTATTATAAATAATAATAATGAATAGAGCTGCTACAATTGTACTAAAAGAAAATAACTGTCATCTGTTGAGAGTGGATAAGGAGCATTTTAATCGAATATTAAGGGATGTAGAGGCAAATACGCTTAGATTACAGGAACATGGAAAGGATGTGCTTATACTCGAGAGAGTCGCTAAGCAGCGTGGATTAACTGCATTTAAGTAGGTGTTGCTTGATAATTAATTTAATATATTGATAATTTTAATTATTTTATTATCACTAAAAGCTCATCAATCTCTATTGTTATTTAATTTGTGTGATTACGTCCTGTGGTATTATTTTGTGTGGATTTTTATTAACTTTTCTTCTGCTGCTTTGGTACTTAATACTAGAAGTTATCAAATAAGTAGTAAGACAAAGCTAGGATTAGGTCCCTACTAGGTTGAGTAGCTAGGGTAAGGTTTAGCACTCTAGACTAGATGACTAGATTTCTTAGATGAGATCATGTCTTAAAGCTAGCAGAACTACAGATGTGCAGTAAAAATCCCACAAAATCCTCCCATGGATAACTTAAAACTGACAACATAATTACAAATAGAGACCTGAAATAAAATTTTAATAGGAGTTTAATTGGATTATTGCTATTAAATACACAGACATTTTTTTGCTGTAAATTTGTGTCATTAATTATGAAAATGATGCCTTGATTGGTGGTTGATATTAATCACATTAAATATGTAAATTGGAAATATAAAATTAATACAGCTATTGGGTATATGAGATAAACATGAAAAGGAAAATTAATGAGCTGAAATGAAAATGTCCCTTCCTTTACAACTAATTAATTTATAATTTAAGCTAATTTCTTCTCATTCTTAATTCATTATTAAGGTATACTGTGATGTCGGGAACGCCGCCAAAAATGCTTGAGCATTTATTAGATACTAGATTAGGTGTACAAATGGGACCAAATGATGACTCGTTTTTAGATGATTTTTTATTGACGCACATTGTTTTCATGCCAATTGCACAATTAGTCGATGAATTAGCTAGCCATTATCATAACGAACTGGAAAATCATTCTGGTGCTGACAGTCCTGAAGATTATGATTATTTATTAACATGTAAGAAACGTGTCGTTCAATTTATTCAACGTTGGGTAATGGCTGTTCGACATGCGGTTTTTGAGGATCCTGCCGCGGCACATTTCATTGAGGTAAGACAAAACAATTTTTCTACAACCTTTTAAGGCAATCATTCTGTGAGACCATTATGGTGAAGCCACATTGTGAGCACTCGAAAATGTGTGCTTTTGAATTTTTTCAGTACTGTGAGTGTCATTTATGGAGATTTGAAGAATACTTAAGGGGTCTCAAAAGTTTAAAAATAGAACATTGGATATAAATTCCCATTGAATGTCACGTAGGCACTTTACTAGGTCACGCCAGATTTTCATGGCAAACTGTTGCATTTGAAGAACGGTAAAACGATTACGAGCGAGAAAAAAAAGGGAAGTCATTAGGAGAAATTGAAAAATTTCATAAGTGGTTTAGAGCATAGAATTTTATGTAAGGCTGAAAATGTTGGAAATGACATGAGTTTTTCAATGGAGATAAGGTTTTTGTGCAGAGTTTGTATGTGAGTGCTGTCTGTGGCTATTTATTTTTTGGTCAAGTAACTAAGTACTGATGACTATGGCTTGAGCATTGTGTTGGCACTTAGTTCATTTTATGAAATAGCTAGGCACTTAAATGACAACTCTGCAGCTTTGTTTACATGAGAAAAATTAATAACCTGTACCTCAAAGTATGTCATAAAAGAACCTGCAAATTTTCCATTTTTTTCCACTAAGAAGCACTTTTGATCTCTTGTCACTTCTTCAATCCAATTTACATCTCGTGATTAAACCTCTTAAAAACACAAAGACACGTTTTTCCGTGCGCAAAAATCTAACGAACTGTTGCTATAGGCATTGCATGTTGCTCGTTCACGAATGAATGTCGAAAAGCAATTACATATTGAATTGAGTAAAAAAGCTTCTTATGAATCCCACAAAAAAATTCTCATTACTATCTGCTCTCAAGATTCTTTCCACCCCTCCGCATTTGACATTTTGATTTTACTTCTTCAATCTTCAATTTTTGCTTCCCTACAAAAATATTACGTACATGTATAATATGTACATATAAATTCACATCATCATAATCATGAGCGTCATCATTGACACGACAAGAGAGGAAGCATCTGTGGAAATAAATGTATGGCACAAGAATGGATGAATGGAAATAACAAAAATATTTATTATCATCGTATATACTCACGAAGTCAATAAAAATTCAACAATTTTCTTCCCCGCATCGTAGGCATAAAAAGTATATTTGCGGAAAGATTTTTGCATATTGATTTTTTTGTGCTGCTGCTGCTTTTGCCTTCGACAAACAATTTATTTGACAATTTTTAAAGGCAGTAAGATCTTCAACCCCAGTAACGATTATGATATTACATGGAAATGAAGTCTCATTCCAATCTTCTTCTTATTCATTGTCATCCTATTGATCATATTGAAGCGCACACAAAAGCCAGAGAATCCCTTTCTAATACGACTTCACATCCTGAAGAAATTGAAAAGAAATTGAAAGTATGATGATGTAAATCGATTTCCTTGTTAAGAAGATTATATTAAGTATATATGGAGATGCCTTTTGAAGCTAAGCACATCATACCAAATTTGATTTCACATTTTATGCCATAAAATTATTAATGTATATAAAATCACGTTTGTATTTATACAAACAGACATACTTTAGATGAGATTTTTCAATTTTATATATATATTTTTTTTTGTGTGTACTTACAGGAGATAGCAACAGATGTAGAGGCGGATCCAGCCTTACAAGAAGAAGCTGGAATAATTCATCATGTGTTAACGCAGATGTCACGTTACCAAGAAGATCGACAACAGAATATGGGACAAAAGTGGAAATTACCACCTAATGGTCAACCTATATGTCTCTTTAGTGGCAATGTAACAGCAACTCGGACAATTATTCGCATGGACGATGACAGTGAGTAAACATTGTATATTCTCTGTCTCTCGACATTAGATGTGTGTGAACGCTTCGTAATTGAAGCTTAGTGTTTTGCGGGTTGCATAGCTTCACGGATTGTTACACATTTGTATGTCTCTAACTTCCTCGCAATGTGCTTATTTTTACGCTTTTGTGGACTTTTTTGTCAACTAAGTATTTGTTTATTTTTATTCGACAGTAATTTTTCGTGTCTATTGTGCCGATCATACTTTTTGTACATTACGTTTTCCCATCTTTACAACGGCTGAGGTGATAAAAATTTGTGCAGCTGACAAGCTACAGATTACAACAAATCGTGGACCAGAAGACTTAGTATTAGTTGAAGTAAAATCGAATGGTGAACGAACCGTTTATAAGGATAATGACTTAAGCATTCCCACAACATTGACGCTTAATGGACGAATCTTTATATCACCAAAAGATCATTTAGATGCTTTAACGCCTCTACCTGAGCAGGAAGGTCCAACGGACGGTTTAGAGATGGATGTTGAAGCATTACCAACAAAAGACTTGGCTTATCATATGACATTATTCGATTGGGATCTATTTTGGGCTGTGCATGAGTATGAGCTTTTATATCATACATTCGGTAGACATCATTTCAATAAGGTGAGTGTTTTCGATTGAAATTTAATTCGATGAAATTTTCCTGCCTTTTTTCCACCTTTTTTAACGAAGTGACAAATTTACAAAAGAGATTTGTTGCCATGAGAGTAAAGTGTAATCAGGCAATTGGTTTTAATTTAAAAAAAGGATGATACAAAGATCAAGGAAGATGAAAAGAGATTTTTGATAACAGATTGAAATGGAGGTAGAAAGCTATGAGTGGTTAAAAAATGTGGTTCAATAGAAATTATTGTTTGAAATTCTCGGACTTTTTAGGGGAGCAGGTTTGCAATTTCCGAGGACCAGAGCCAAAAATCAAAAGCAAAATGAACATTAATTACTTAATTGTTTCCGAAAAACTCTTCATCTCATTTCCCCAATTCAACAAGACAAGATTTGCCACATCCCATTGCCTCTTTAAAGCCATCAATTTTAATCTACAAATGATGTTCTACAAAGACAAGAATTGTCGGTCAAAAAACTTTTCCAATTTCCTTAATAAAAATTTTCATCTATTGAATTTCAAGTCAGAAACTTTTAATTGTCTACGACATAACTCCTTATCATCATGAAGTATCGAGAAAAATTTATTGGGATTGTTAAAACGTACAAATTTAATGAGGCATTGGAAAAGTCAACTTTCCCATTCTCTATTCAGTTCCTTCCCATCCCATTAAATATCTCTTTACGAAATCTTGAACGATGGCATTTATTTCAAACAAATGGCAGGCAATAATCAAATTTAATGTAACAGAAAATCGTTAAAAGTTTTGAGCCATTAAAGTTCATGCTGTGAGTAAAGTACAATAGAAAAAAAGTGAGTTTACAGCCTTTTGAATTTATACTGATTTCTTTAGTGAGATAGATGTAGGTAAGCGTAGAATAAATGTTCACAAACGGTGCTCGTGAATGAAATTGAACATAAATAAGTTATTGTTGTGTGTGCATTGTGCGAGGCCTTTTCCCGTAAATAATCTCGTACTCTTAAATCAAACTGTATTGTGACCTGTATTATTCTTGTTCTGAAGGGGGTGCCAGAGGGTTCAAATAAGCTTCTAAATGTGAACTGATCCTGTTATGATTTAAAACTATCTGTCATATAACCTATGCACAAGCTATCTATAGTAACACAAACTGCGACAGTGATGATGAGTTTATAAGAGCCTCACAAGCTTCATCTTCCTAACGTTCAGCTCCTTAATATAAAATATCAGCTTATTGGCACACCCAGAGAATGATATCGTACAATTTAAAGCAAAGCACCTGAAATAAAGTGTACTTTACTGACTGTTCGGGCGACACAAAAGAGAGCGAGTGGATGTTGTTGAGTAAGGAATAACAACAATAATATTAATTTTACGCTACTCGAATGCGCCTTACATGTTGTATTGTAAAGCATGTTATAAGGAAGGAAGCAACAGTCGCTAATTTATTTATTTGGGTTATATCCTGCGAAATGAAAGTTTAAAAGCATTAGTTACGTGCTTTCATTAAACATTGGACACAATTGAAAGGATTTTTCATCCAGTCTTCCTCTCTCGTTTCATGAAAATGCAAATTTAAATTTAGAAAATTATGAGAGTAAAGGAGGAAGAAGTTAATAAGATTTATGAGCAACTATGCTTTTGTATATAAATACACAATAAAGCGGATAAAGGAAAGAGTGGTGGCATGTATAATGAGATTAACATAACTTAATACATAATCATTATGATGATGACGATTTCTTATGAAGATGTACGAAGTAAGGAAATGAATTTATATTAAATTAAGAATTTCCATTCTCAAAACTGTCTTTTACGTCAGAACTTGCTTTAAATGCGGGATAGAGATTGAAAAAGTTATCAAGAAATGATTTATGAATTCATTTCTTTTGTGTCGCAGCTGAATTAATTTTTTTTTCATTTATTTCTTTTCCTTCTTTATGCACGAATAAAGAATTTTCGTGTCTGGTACAATAAAAAGTAATAATGAAGACATATTCGCATATAAATACAGCCCTTTTACATATTTTTCCATTTTCTTCATACATGCAAATAGCAATGAATAATTCATACACATTATTGGATTATGAATTGTTCAGCATGTCGGCATCTAGACTTATTGAATACACATCACATGCCTCTCATGCTTGTTTTTGTGATAGAGGTTGTAAATTCTCGTAAATTGAGTTTCGAGTGTAATGTGAAATAGTGTTGAATGTTCAAGCTGAGATGAAGGTGCTGCCGTCTTACCAGATAGTCAATTCCACATATCTAAGTCAAAGTGAGTGTCTTGATAGAAAAAAAAATCTATTTTCCAAAAATTTCATGAATCAAGAATGTGGCTGGCAATAGAAATATCACGAGCAATTTCTAAAATACATGCTGAACTAAATAAATTCCCACTCACATGCCATCAAATCTCCCCCTGACAAGTGTTCATTTAATGATAAACATGTCTACAGAAAAAGTTCTGGCAGCAATAGTTTGGTCTAGCAAAAATCACACCTCTTTATCCCGAAACTTCCTATTTAGAATCTTCAAATCAAATAAATGTCTGCATGTGGATGAATTTTTATAGATATAATATAAATGTGGAGTAATTTTTTCTTCAACATATTTTATGTGCTGAAGAGTTTTGTGGATGGAAATGGGGAGTTGTGAGCAAATGATGTCATGCTTGTAAGATAAGTGGGTATGAATGGACAGGAAACAGTTGAAAATCAAGGGCATTTTCAGTAAAGGGGGTTTAAACCTACCAATAGCACGTACTAAAGAAGAAGAAAAAATCCAAAATCTTTTTGAGATAACAAAAATTCTTAGCTAACCTAAAAAATTCAAGCTTTGCCTCTTGAACCACCTTCTTATGAATAGATCTACTTAAACTCCCAGATGTCAATTATGATCAACCCCCAAAAGAAAATGATATTTTCTTCATTTGCTTTATGTATAATACAAGAATAACAAGAAAGGAATGAACAGCAACAATGATGAGAAAAGTATTTATTGTGGCGGAAGAAAAAATTGTTGCGCATCATCGAAATAATAATAATAAAAGAAACTTTTCCTCTTTTATGGCATATAGCGTACGGTTTTCTTGCCAGACACTCATAATATGAATTTGTTATGAAGTGAACCAAAAAGGTCAATCATTTTAACCAAGTTATGGTCAATGGAAATTTTTTGTTTTTGATTTTCAGCTTGTCTGTGGCTTCCTTAATGTTTATCATAAAGTTTCAAATTTTTTGTTTGCATTGAGAATCAGCAACAATGGCTGAACATGTTTGCTTTTAAAGTTTTCACTTTGTTTTAGTAAAATATTTCACTCAAATTAAATTCAATGGATGTATAAAGCACAGACATGTTCCGGACAGTATAAGTTTTCAAACAATTTACACTTTTGTTTTTTAAAGCTTCTTCTTCTCTTTCTCCCTGTTTAAAATTTCCATTGGACTGAGTTTGAACTTTTTCCTTCTCATCTTAATGTACTTATGGTTTACTTCGTCGTTGTCTTGCGACATGGAATATAAGAAATATAAAGAAAGATGAAAAACTCTGATAGGAACATGAAAAACTTTTCCCCTCTAGTCACTCTATTAAGACATTTGATGAGACTATCAACAAGAAAAAAAGAAAGTTTTTTAGCTATGTCTCTCATCACTGATATTACAATTTATACGTAAATGGTAGTCACTTGAGCTTATGCATAAATGCTGTGTCTATCTTTTAATATATTAGCATATGTGATGCCTTTATTAATTGAGCCTAATTGAGTTCAAGCTTATTAAGCATTCATGAGTTGAAGCATAGATTTCCTAGTCAATCTTCATTAGGATGGAGAAATCGTATCGATTTTTATGGATGATAAACTTTAATGTGCGATGGTTGGAAGTTGAACTTGAAATTAAGTATCAAGGAGATAGAGTTTTTATTAATACTACATTTTTAGTGCTCTAGACTGCTCCCTGGCTTTAAAAAGTCTAGCCTAGTGTGCTCCATATTTACAAATAGTTTCAAACACGAAAAAATTCAAGATTATCAATGCCAAAAAATTTAAATAGAACCAACAAGTTTGATATCCCCGACATAAATTTTCTCCCAAGCAAGTCATAACCTCGCTGAATCACACAATATATCCAACGAATAAGTTTTCCACTTCTCGTAATGTTTTTTATCTTCATCGATCGAACAACAACATTGTGAATTTTTTATAAAGCAAATGAAAAAGGACTACATATGGCGAAAGTTTTTCTTTTTGGCACTTCAACAGACTGAGTTGGTAGAAGGTGGGGGAGTCGTAAAGAAGAAAACATATAATAATGATGATGGAGAACGAGATGAAAAGTATAGAAAAAAATGTATCATCATGAAACTATCAACAACTTTTTTTCTATTGAAGATGGGATGGTTGGTCTTAAAATAGAATAAGTCCACGAAAAGAGTTTTAAGTTGAAAGTGTTCCTAGATGATTATTCATATTCAGCGTGGAGTCAGAAATTCAGCGAGATTGTGTTGATTACAACTTTTCCTTCTTGATTGGATTCTCTTGAGAAATGATCAATTTTCCATTATTGATTTTGATTGATGACATTGACATGATATAGCGACCAGTTGCTCATTATGTTCGAGCATCCCAAAATAATATCAGCATCAGAATTCATGAAAAATTCATTCATCACAAAACATCAATATTCCCTAAACTTCAAAACTTCCAAACAACCAGCAACAATCTATTCGATTTTCACTCGTTCAAGTCCACGTCAAAACTCCCTTCCAATTTATATCTTCATCCCTTGACTTTCATCTTTATAATACATATGTTATGAATTTTTTTTTCCTCTCGTCTCTCCTTTATCCAGTCGTTTCATCATGGAGAATAAATTGCTTCCTAGATGAATGCGATACTGACATTACTAAATTACTTCTGGGCGAGGGAGCAGGAATAAAAAACATTTTTAGCTGTGTTAAGCAAAAAGTAAAGTTTCTCTTATTCTGTTATTTCACAAGTTTGTGCCTTACAGCAAATGAAAACAAAGAAACAAAAACAGAAGCTAGAATGAAAATGAAAAGATTGTAAAATGAAATGCATTGCAACAATAAAATGTTTCTTTTTTACGTAAGAATGGCTGCATTTTATGCTTTTAGAAGTGGCGGTAGATGAAATAATGGAAAACAATGAAATAAGGAAAGAATAAGAGAACTGTTTAAAGTGAAACGAATCATGAGCTTTTGTAAGGAGCAACCGCAATTGTTAGCTCGAGGATTTTTTGAAATTAATAGGAACTTGATAGAGTTCGTTGAGTATTTGGGGCTTTAGTGTGCTTGACTAATTGAAATTCTGGGATTCGTTGTTGTTGAGATGTTTATGATTTTTCAATTTTTTTAAGGGTTAACTTCTTCTTGTGTTTATTTCAAGGCGTGGAAACTATCCCAAATATCCCATTTATCCCATATATCCCAAAAATATTCAAAATAATCCCTGAGCCTGTATGCATTAGAATTGAGATATCCCATCATATCCTGAAATTACACGTCAAATACACTAAGGATACGTTGGAATATCTCAATTCTAATGCATACAGGCTCAGGGATTATTTTGAATATTTTTGGGATATATGGGATAAATGGGATATTTGGGATAGTTTCCACGCCTTGGTTTATTTTAAATGGAAATAATTAGCAGAGTCCTTAATGCAAAAACTTTGTTGGCAATTATCTGATTGGCTGGCTTATAAATAATATTCTTGAATACTTAAATCTTTTAGATGAGATTTAATGGTTCTGGATGTTTACTGGATCTTTCATTAACGAGAATCACATCCTCAACTGTCTTTTAACAAGGTTTTCAACCAGCTTATCAAACCATAAGTTAATACAGATTGTATCTATTAGAAAATGCTCTCTAGCTCCTCAATAAAAGGCACAAGAATTTAAAAATATTTTTTTAACTATAAAAAAAGGGAATATAAAATGTTTCCAAATGAATAGGAATCGCTCTTTATTGTGGAAAGTCTAATTTCCTCATCAACAAATTTCATTTATTTATTCATATTTAAAAGCCCAAAAATATTCCGAAAATTAAAACGAATGAGTTACCCAACATAATTGGACTCTTTTAAAATAGGAAAAGAAAGAAAATTACATAAATTTATGCGATGCGTGGTGGCAACATTATTAGCATTAATGAATGGAAACAATTTGTCTAAGGATCATCATGACCTTCTCTGCATGGTAAAGCTTTTAATTTTCGAGGGACGTTTTAAGGCAAAATTTAATTAAAAACTTTTTTTTGGGATCATTCTGGTCGTTAGTTCCTTTCTTCTTCGTTTACTTTTTTTTTCCTCTGTGTGGATATGAAAAATATTTTTTATTCTTTAAATTGGGATCAAATTATATCTCTCTGTTGGCTTTCCTTTCTCTTGACGATTCCATCCATTCCGTATTTGAACATGATATAAAACTTTTCAACCTTAGCTAACCGCACACAACACAAGAAACTTTTTTCCTTCCATTCTTCATATTTTTTTATCTGTGTTCATAATAGCTTAATAAAATTATTATAATGATTGCACTTTACATTGTCTTGTTGAATTATGTTGGGATTTATTGTTCGTTCCTTACAACCATATTGTGTATATGCATAATTTAGATCGTGGATAAACAGAATAAAAAAAGATGTTCATTATGAAATTACATGAAGCATTTCTATATTCCTTTTGGCTTTATGTTGCTGTTGATTAGATTGTGATGAGTAGAGCATAATAGATGGGGGATGCGAGAAAGTAGGGAGTGACTTTTAATATTTCAAGATCAGATGTGACGCACTAAAGGTGAAGGTTTGATTAATGAGGCATAAAAGCTCGATATAGGGTCTTATGGAGACGCTAACCTTGGGTCTTTATACTGAATCATAAGCATAGAAAGCTAGAGATACATAAAATCCTTTCGGCTTTTTCCTTTGACAAAAGTACAATAATAAATAATAATAATAATAATAATAATAATAATAATAATAATAATAATCCCTTAATACCAAGCAAAAAACCTTAGAAATGATACAGACTATGAAGAAAGAACGACATCCCTCCATTTATAGCTAGATTCTCATGTGTAACTGACACCAATTGAAACCAGTTAAACAAGACGACAAAATGTAAACAAAACCTTAAAATCCCATGAAAAATTGTACAAAAATCAGCTTTATGCTTTTGATTCATCACCGACTTTATCCGCTTTTAACTTTTCTAATAAAACATCAACATTGACGGCATCTCAAAATTCTCTTTATCATGTTCCACACGTAGATTGTTTTTCAATTTATGCTTTCATCCTCGCCTTTGTCATGTACATGAAAATATTTTTATTTTTTTTCCACTTCCATATACAATATAAACATACATGCTGTCATGCATAAAAGAAAGTTTTATATCCTTCACATAATGCTTAAAACAGCATTTTAACTTCACCTTATACCTTTTATGCTTGTACATAGCTATGTATGAATAGAACGCCATAAAGTTATGACACTTCTAATTCATGCATCATAAAATTCCCACCATTACAATGTGCTCATACTTTTAGTCGATTTATGGCATGCGCTATATGATGGCACACAAAAAAAAAGTGTCGCATTCATTAGCAATCAAAATGCTCTCGTCTTCATTGCTTTTATGTACAGGATGTGGAAATAAATAAAAACAGAATCATCTTAAATACAATGTTTGAGGAGATAATGGTAAATGCGTCACTGCATAAAACTCAGCAGGCTGTAAAAAAGCTTTTCGTAGATCGATAATAAAAGGAAGAGTGGCTGTAAAAGAGAAAGTGATATTGAAAACTCATAATTATCTTTTCAATCTTCTTTACTTTCCGAGTCTTATTTTTTTAAGACTTACTTTTTGTCCCTTTTCTTTGTTCTGACTCCTTTTTTTGTTATCATATTTTTTTTTTCATTATTCAATTATTCTCCAGAGATGGGAACCTTTATGGGGATAGTAGACTTGAAATTATGAAAGTTTTGTGGCTAATTTCAAAAGGAATGTGAATGGAACTACGGGATGTTATAGATTGTTGGTTAATAAATTGTTAAGGACACATCTGGTCTTCAGTTTAAATTGTAGTAAAATATTTTTCTGAAGCTTATCTTTTTTGTTAAACTAGCTGTCGTTTATAAATGACGTCAATCAAAAAATTGCATTTCAAAGAGAACCCATCCAGTGTTTAACAAAAATATTTTGGGTCAAGCTCGTGCCTTTTCAAAAACCAGTCAAAATTTATAAACAACCCCTTTTTTAATTTTCATTTAAAAAAAATCCTACAACCGATAATGTTCCAAAAACATGAATAATCCAAACGATAATGAGCTAACAAGTATCGAATATGTAGCATAACAGGATTACATACTCTTAAAGTTGTTAACATAAACCACAATTCCATTGTTTTTCAATAGCTATTCAATTACCAAGTTAAATTGAGTAAATGTAATTCAATTACGAAATTAACTTGTTTGAAGTTCAATTACTGAGAAATTTGATGGAATGTTTGGTGTAAGTTTTGAATGGTGCATTAATTAGATGATAAAATCAACTAATATAATTAAGTTTTAATCTAATTAAGGGTTAGGAACAGATGAAGTCAAAAATTAACAAACTTACTTACTTCACTTTACTTATGCTGCTTACTTAAGGTTGGTTTTATAGACCAATGCTGCAATTATTAGATTCGGCTATGTTCCTGGCTACCAACTGTCAATTCTCAATTTCAAATAGCTTTCCCTAAAATATCTTAGGACCTCTTATAGTTTTGACCAGAGCTCGAAGTCGATGAAATTTAGTATGGAGTCGAGTCAACTCAGAGTCGATGAAATATATAAAATCGTTAAAAACCATACAAAATCGATGAAAATCTCGAGTCGACTTCGAGCTCTGGTTTTGACTAGATTCCTTTACTATGAGAAAATTAAATCATGTCATGAACTGGAAATTTGCGTAATTGCACACTAAATAGTAACAAACCACAAGCAGACTCTCGAGATTATAAATCATAAGCTCAAGTGTAGTTTTCGGAGCTTTAAACAAGTTTCAAAAGCAATGATAAGATAAGAATCCTCAACATTGATAAATTTGAATTATCCCCTCCAAAAAATAACAAAAAAATAAAAAGCAGACAAAAGAAAGTTTTAATGAGACGATAATTGATGATAATCATAATTGAAGGTTTCAATCCCTTGTTAGAGATTTAAACTTTCTCTTCAAAAAAATAAATAATAATAATAATCCCTCGATAATAAAAGAAAGAACAGAAATTTTGATGAAAGATTTTTCCCATAGTCCATATAAAAAAATATAATATAAAGTAACGAACATACAGCAATGTGAAAAAAGGAAAAGAATCATCCCAAGCAGGGCGACAAAAAAAGGCAGAAAAATTTAATATAATTAAAAAAGTTTCACAGCGTTTTGAACTTGAGAAAAGTGAAGTGAAATTAATATCAGCTTATTATCTTCTCCTCTGGCTCTTTCCCTTCTTATTTCATGAATTCTTATTCTATTCCCATGCTTAGATAACGAGTAATCTTGACGTTTTCATACGACGCTTCAATGAAATTCAGTATTGGGTCGTGACGGAAGTTGTCTCCGCATCAAATTTGAATAAACGTGTAGCGCTTCTCAAGAAGTATATCAAACTTGCCGCCTAGTAAGTATATCCTGTTTTTTTGCTCATTTTCAGTCATGGGAACTTGGATTTAATTCCGAAAAATCTCAAAACTCCTTACTGAGCCTTTGCATGTGTAAGGATTTTTGGAATATTTCAGGATTAACCTTAAGTTACCCCATCTTGCTCATTACTAATTTTAATTTATACATCTCTCCTCCTCACTTCCGTTTAGTTGTAAGGAATACCAAAATCTTAATGCATTCTTCGCAATTGTAATGGGAATGTCAAATACAGCAGTATCGAGACTAACACAAACGTGGGATAAATTACCATCAAAATTTCGAAAACTCTTTACAGAGTTTGAGGCACTTATAGATCCGAGTCGAAATCACAGAGCTTACAGGTAAGCACAAAAGAAGTCTAATTTTAAATAAGAACTCTTGAGAAGTGAATTGTATATGAAGCTGTTTCCCCTTCACATGCCATACCACTTAGCATTTTTATAACATTTTATGTAAATTTTCCATTTTCATGAGTCAAATGCCTTAGTTTGCGAGAAATTTGAATTTAAAATGATCTCTTCAACAAGTTCCATCCTCATATTCATTTATTCTTCTCATTTTCAAATCCATACAGAATGTCGGTAGGAAAATTACAACCGCCAGTGATTCCATTTATGCCATTATTACTAAAAGATATGACATTTGCACATGAAGGTAATAAAACGAGTGTAGACGGACTTGTTAACTTTGAGAAGATGCATATGATGGCGTCAACAATGAGAGCTGTAAGGTTTTGTCGTTCAAGGCACTTGGGTGAGTTAACGATGACAATTTCAATTGTTCAACAATTGAGTCTTTTATCTAAATGCATTCATTTGTCTCATCCTATATAGTTCTCGATCCACCCTCACCAAAGAACAATGATTCACAAATTCGTTCGTACATTGGTTGCTTCCGTGCCATAGATTGTCAAAAGACCCTCAATTTATTGTCGAAAAAGGTTGAGCCAAGATAAGATGATGATCAAATTTCAATAATAATTATTATAAAACTCAGTTCCAATTGTGACTCGAAAACGGAATTGATTTATTTGTTTTTATGTACCAAAATTGAAGAGACAAAAACCTATTCTTATGATGTACATATGATATGGCGTAGGAAGTAGAATCCAAAAAAAATTGAAGAATATTTATCGCATCTCACTCAAAACAGAAAATGTTTGTAACGGAATGGATCATAAAAAAATGAATCAATAGTTAAGTGAAAAATTCTTATTTTTTTCTATTTTATGACTTTGATGTTCCTCGAAATAATATGAAATAAGGCATAAAAACAAGCACAGAATAATAGGTTATGTATATGAAAATCTTGTGCAGAGTTATTGGCTTTGAGGGGAGTCTTGCTTGCATTTTTATGAGGTTAGCTAGTCAAATTGCTTATTTACTGGAACGAGGGTATTTTTTAGACAGGATGGATTGATGTTTTTGTAATCCTAGTGTGTGCTTCAACTGTGGATCTTAAAATCCTCAATTTTAAGGCAAAGTTTCAAACAATTCTCTTAATAATCCAAAAGCAGTCCTTCTAAACCCTTATTGAGCTCATGTGTCGCTCGGTGAACCTTCAATATTAACTCTAACATTTTATCCAGTAAATTGAAGCACTTATACATGCACACATCTACCCGTATAAAGTATTATTATTGTTATTATTTGCGGAAACAAACAACTTGAATAAGGAAAGATGAACAACTTGATAGCTTGAATATATTTCTACAATTTATATCTACTCACCTACCTGCCACATGTTTACAATGTTTAAATAGAGCATAACTTATTTATAAAATGAAGATATTTTGTACTGATGTAAGAAAAAATCAATCTTTATATTTTTATATGCTGCCATTAAAACTTTTTTCCGCTAGACAATTGAAGAAAATAAAGAATGTAAGACAAATAAGAGAGATGACTAGTAAGGAGGAGAATATGGTTGGAAGTTCTAAAGTTGAAGACAAGAAATGAAACTTTTATGCTTCAAAATAGAACTTTATCGTTACAGTTTCATCGAATTTTTAAAAAGAAATAAGAAAATAAAGATAGAAAGATGATTGGTGTGAAGTTGGATTGATCATTTGATGATCTATAAAATATGGAGTATCGAGACATATGGATGCAAATTTGCCATTAATTATTTAAGAATTGTACTCGAAATTTATGAAATTTTGTAAGGACGTGGGTTCGATTCTTATTATAGACCAATAATTTCAAAACTTTGTCCATATGATGATGGTTAACCCGAATAGCACAAGTCGACTAATCGAATACAAATCTGGCACAAAACTGACAAAACTCAGCCAGAATCACACAGACTTGGTTCGGGATTTCTATTCTATTAACCGACTTGTGCTATTGAAGTAAGCTGCAAAACAAAGCTAGTTTTCGTGAAATTTATATTTCATTGATGCAAAAAAATGTCGCAAACTTTTTACCTACCGTAGCTTTTTCTGACATTGCCACTGCTTTGTTCCAGTTAAATACTATAAGAAGTGTATCCAGGGCTTCTTTAAAAAAAGCTTCAAGCATTAGATCAACTTAAAATCATGCACACTTTTAAAAACGTAACTGCCTTGAATTCAAACAATTCTGAAACTTTCGACCAATTCCCCCAAAAGTCTCAGTTTGTAGATTTCTAGTGCTCCGCATGAAAAATCCTCAAAGTTCAATCTATCTTCACACTAGCTTTTAGCATTTTTAAAACATTTTTTATTTCTTTAAAAAATTCTCCTGAAAATGCGACTGTAAAGGAAGCAATTGCTTTCGGGTAAATTTTGTCAATGCTATTCTCTGCTATTTGAACGAGATCCGACAATGAATGAAGAAAATTGTATTTAAATAAGCTCTAAAATTTCCTTGAAATGCACAAAATGCAATAAAGAATAAATGAAAATTAAGGAATAAAGAAGGAAAAATTTATCCATCCAGTTATTCTTCTTTTTATCAAGAGCTGTATGCTGAGCAAAAAAAATTCATTAATATCAAGGGGAATGAAAATTTACTAGCTTTGTGTTGCTGTGTCTTGAAACTTAAACTTTATGCAAGAAAATTTACATGCATAAATTTTTATGGGAACTGATAGTTTATTCAGTTTTTATTTATGGATTCAACCTTGTTTTGGTAACTTATGTGCTCTGAATGTTGATGTATTAAAAAACTTACAACATTACACAGTAAGCTTGCTATTTTTCATACTTATATCATTCTTGTAGAGCACTAAGGGAATTTTTAAGATATAAGCTGAAGTAAAGAGTTTCTTATGCTGACAACAGCTTCTTTTTGGAATCTTGATTCAAATATTCAAATTCAAATTTAATAAAACTTTTTGCTATCAAATGGAATTTATAAAAAATTATGAAAAGTAAAAAAAACTGCTGGAATTTGAGAATTTATAATTTTGAAGCTACAAAAAACATTTTTCGATTATAAGTTTTCGCGGTTTTGTTTATTTTTAGACAGATTTTAATTTGAGTAAAGGGATAATAGTGATGGAAAATATTATCGAAATATAAATCAGATCTGCCAGTCAACCAGAATTCTTGAGAAAGAATCTATATTTCGAGTACCACCATGTTAAGTCCTAAGGTACCAAAATTAATATCCAGTTAGGGAGTGTAGTATAGCCAAGGTATCTCGAGCAGGCAACCCTTGGAGAGCATTCAGAATAAGATTTGGTCGAGGATCAAAACCTTCCTTAACTGAAAATTCTTATTAAATACCAGAAAACTCCACCTCACACTGATCTTCAATATTTGACTTCAATTCTTATTCAAATCCTAAACAAATTTTCAATTCTCGATGTCAAGAAACTTTAAATGCAACAATCTCAAATAAGCAGTATTAAGCTCATCCTTAACATCTCTAAAAAAACAGCACGAAATATAAAATTGCCAATACAAATCTTTGCAAAGCAACATCTTCATTGACATACAGTTTAAAGTATCTAAATCCTTTTTCTACGAAAATATCAAGCAGCATGCTACAATTCTTTATCTAGCTTTTCAATAAATAAAAAGACATATTTCTAAAAAATAAAATATTTCTATTTTTACTACAAAAGAAAAGATAAAACTTTAAGAAAAAAATAATAATTGAAAATGAATAAATATCAAGAAGCAATAAGACACATCAGACAACTTGTTATCAATATTTACTATTGAAAAAAAAATAAAGAAATTTATTCGCGACGACAAAAAAGGAAAGGAAAAATTGAAACAAGAATGAGAAAAAAAATATTTTTATCTAAACGAGATGACCATTTTTAATGTTTTAAAAAAGAATATATTGTAAATTAATTGTTGACTAGTTGATGTTTAGTTTATATGACAAAAAAATAATATTTATTAAATTTAATTGTAATGAAATTTTATGTTTGTAACGTGTTGATACGTGAATAATCAAATCAAGTCATGTTAAGAGCTTAGAAAATTTGATGGTAGAAATCAAGGAGAGAGTTTGGGAAAATTGTTCAAGTATTGATGATAAATGGAATTGTTGGGCTTGGCTAGACAGTTTTCTAGGAAAAACCAATCAAAATTATTGATATTTTTCAGTTGAATTGTTTTAATTTCTGGTAAATTTGAAGGTTAATAGTTGTTGAATTACTAAGGAACTGTGGAAAACGTTAAAGATTTTTTGGAGGTTATTTGAACTCTAGAATTGTAACTTGGCCTTCTGCAATGCAATTAAAATTTACATTAGTCAAGAGCAAGCTAGAATCTAGTTTTCAAGGTTTTTCTAAGTCAACTTCATTTTTAAATTGACATAAAAACCTCAAATTCGAATCATTTTTGGTAATTTAGAACCAAAACTCTTTAAACTATGCTTCTAGATAAGCTGTTCTTAATTTATCATCAAATTAAATTTAAATTCAGACAAACTTTGAGCCAATTATCAAAAATCAAATCTATTCATCATTAAAATTTATTTTTAATTCCATTATTTTAATCATCAATTTCAACTAATTAAGCACAAAATCACTCGTCAAAAATGAAAAAGACTCTTTCAATAATTGAACAACTTTTCAACTCACTCTTCATTACCAAAATCGTAGATAGTTCACTACTAATTATCATTAATGATGTCGATTCTGATTATTCATAAAATGTGTATCAATATTATGCGTGTATTAACAATCAATAAATTAACAAATAAGCATTTCACCGATTGAAAAAGCTAATTTTGTGTATTGAAATTTTTCTTAATCGGGCGAAAGTTTATCAATAATATGAAAATGTAATTTTTTAAACCAAAAAACAAAAAATTGAGAAAAAATGTATTTTAGGTTAAGTTGTACATAAAAAAAATTTAAATTGATGAAACAAAATTTTATTAAAAAAATCACAATTCCGTAGAACTGAAAAATATTTTTGGAGCATCAAAAAGCTAGAAATTTTACCGTTTGTAGGAAGAATCAAAAAAAAAAAGAAGAAATTGTTAAGTGTAAATAAATATGATCAATATTAATACGACATAAGCTTGTTAATTATAATAAATATTTCGATATCATGTATTTAAAGAAAAAGAAAGAAATTCCATGTAATGTGATTAGACCAAACGACAATCTTGGTAGCTGTAGTAGATATGTGCAAATTTTGTCATGAATGAACTGTGTATATGCGATGTTAGTGGCAGAATGAAAGTTTGTAATGTAGTAATAATAAGAATTCATTAAATTACTCTCCATAATTGAAGATAGTAGCAGTTACTTAACATAACAAGACATTTTTTCCTTAATCTTATTTTTTCTTAACCTAATGTGTGCGTTCTACTCATGAATATTATTCTAATTTGGATTATTTTAATTATACAAAGTATTCAGTCATGTGATGATTTTCATACTATATTTAATTAAAATAATTAGTGATGTATCATACTCTCTTAAAAAAATTCTATTGTGGTTTTCGAGTGTAAATTTGAAACTTTGTCGTAACATTTTGGAAAATTTCTAATTAGTTTAAATAAGAGGATTTGCAGCAGACTAGACTGTGAACTAGAGAAGTTTTATTTATGGTTTCTAGTTCGTTGAAATAAAAAGACGTGATGAAATCTTAGTAAAGTGAGGTAAATTGCAATAAAATAGTTGTTTCTTATGTTTGAAGAAAATGAGGAACACAGGCTAAGATGTGCATCGTATAATGATTTTCTTTTGAGGTTTTTAAGAAATATGGTTAATTGGACATTAAATAAACCGAATAAAATATCCAAAAATTTGACTAGTCTCAACTTTATGTTGATCAAAACTCTAATACAGAATATTAAAAATCTGATGATTCGTACACAACAAACTTAGTGTAAAGGAATAAATCAGAGACTTCAAAAATAAAAAAGAACAATTCTACATTAAATTTAGGTATCAAAGCTTAATGTTAATGAACCCCTTGTGCATCACAAATAAAAGCTAGTAAAGTTGATGAACAAAGAAAAATTAATGCCAAAGTTAAGACTCAACACACCATAAATCAAATCCACAAGTTACGATCAATAAATCGCAATTCTGTTAGCACTTTTCAGACACACAAATCTTTCTTTTCATCACGTCCATCATTGAAATTTACGGTGTTAAAAACTGTTCATAAAATTGCGAATTATTAATGCAAGTTTCATATTTCCACAGAGAACTCTTCTCCTTTACCTCATAACTTATCATATCTCATCTCGTGTCATAAAACAAAATAAAATGTGAGATGAAAAAAAAATGGAGATTAAAAAAAGTGTGATTTTTTATGTATCATAAATGAAAATTCACTGTAAGAAATAAACTCCAATTCACTAACAAATATCATTTTTCATGTGCATTAATCATTGAAATAATAAATATAATAATAATAATGAATTCAATAGAAATAAAATGTTAGAAATGATGTGAAATAGAAGAAAAATACAAACTTTTTTTTGTTTGAATTTGAAATTGATTTTAAAAAACTTTTTCTAGAAACAAATGAAATGAAAATTTTGCTGAAAATTCACTTTTAGAAATTGATAAATAAGATGAAAAGTTTAGACGATAATTCGAATGGAAATCTATCGATTTTTTGTTTATTTTTTAAGCGATGAGAAATAAAAATACTGAAATCCTGAAAATTCACAACTGTTTATATCTTTTATTCTTATGCATGCTTACACGAGCTTTTATTTACAGAGGTATGATTACACTCCATCTACTGGTATATATGATGAATTTATACTTGAAATTGTTCGTATCCGAATGATGTTCAGTCAGATAAATAAGAGTCTGTAGCTGGATGATTTCTAAATTACAGTTTTTCATAAGTTTCGTTTTTAGGGGTCTTATGAAAAGTGCGTCACTCTTAAAAAAATCAAATCCAAACAAAAATTAAATCAACTGTCACTTTATGGACGGTAAGAGATTTTACAGTTGACGACAAAATGCATGAACAAGATTATGTAAGACTTTTACTGAGAACTAGCAACAATCCGAATAAATCAATTTTTGAAAAGTCAATCACCATTCTTAGGATTCAGCCAAGAAAGATAGCATTACGTCATATCCGAACAACAACAAACCCTCTACAGCTTCTAATCTCATAAAACATTCGATGTTGAATCCTCAAGGTAAAAAAACTTATCTTTCTCACACCAATCATGATAGTGCTCAGGAGAGTCATTAATTACCGCAAAGCAAATAATTCACAGGTCATTAATTCACTCCTCGAACCATTGATTAAAGCATAAAAATTTAGGTATTACAAGAGAATTAAGTCGTAAAAAAATGGATGGAAAAGCTTATCATAAATTTTGGTACTAAATTCTTAAAATTTATGTACCTAAAAGTTTCTCATCTCAGTTTTTAAGGGTACCAAATGCACTTTACTGGTAGCATCTTGAATACGGATATAGAAACATTTCTCTTTTTCTTACAGATATGTTATGGAATGCAGAATTATTTCTATATCAAAACCGGATCAGTTTGTTCTTCGAATTCTTGAATCCAGTTTTTTTTATATAACGATGATGTTGGATATTAATAAGGCTTTAATGACGCAATTAAAGTTATTTTTCGAAACTGATAACGAGAATTTATCATCATTAATATCTACGCAGAGTAAATTCCTTGAAAATTTATTACTAAGAGACCTTATGTTAGCCTATCATCAACAATGATGCTTGATGTATAGCAAAATAATTTATTCCAATTAGATCTGTGCTATATGTCATGAGTTCTGCAACTCTAATCAAGTCAAATCAATAAATGTATTTGAATCAACCTGCTTGGATGCTGATTTGATTTAATCTTGAGTTCAAAGAAATATTGAAGGTCGTTGGATATTGGGGGTCGTTCATAAATGATGTCCATTGATTGTTAATCTTTGGAACTACGAACCTTTGAGTTCAAGTCCCCTCCCTCAGATGTATTTTTTTTGAGAAAGATACAAAAGGTTTTTAGAACAGGATTGTGAGTCATAATAGACGCACTGAGTAGGTAAAATGTTAACAAAGAATATATTAATCCTATCAAGTCGTCGACAAAATGCCGGAGTCATTAAATTTTCATTATAAATATATTCTACCGCAATATAATAATATATACCTGGATAGTCGACAAAAAACTGATATTGAGCATAAATATGAGAAAATTCTTTGTAAATAGTTTTTTCAATTTAAAATATGAATGAAATGAATATGTTTTTATATCCGTTATGAGGAATGAAAATTATGCTTACAAAGATATTAAAAAAAAAAATGATGATGAAAATATACTTCAAAAGAATCTTCAGTTGCTGCATCATGAAACTTTATTAAATTCAGTTCATCACATTTTAAAGTAATAAATTTTCATCAACTCTCGGGAAGGGTAAGAGAAGATCTAATATCACTTGAAGGAACTAGCTTCTTTGCTGAATAATAAAATTGATTTTTGGTACAAAACAAAATTCATTCCACCTGAAAATAACAACAACGTCGACATTTTATAAGCCTCGTAATCCTATTTAATGCCTTTTCACTTAAGTATGCCTATAATGAGCTCCAATTAAACTTTTCAACAACAACTTCATCCACGTTGTTTATTTATAATTTTTTGATACAAAAATTCACGATTAACATCACATTAAGTATTTTTTTCACATTTTTTCTGTGAGGTTTTGAACATTTTGGCTATTTTCTATTGAGAAGTCTTTTATCAAAATTTAATCCAGTTCTCAAATTTATTTTCCGATGCTCTGTGAGTTTGAGAATGCGTTACTGGCTGTAAATCACCGAAAAATAATTAAAATTAATTACTGCACTTGTTAATTTAAATTTTTGAATTATTCACCTGAACCACTGAATGATCCGAATGGAGTATTAAAATTGAATGACTGAGAAGCTGCATTTGCAGCTGAAGCACTTCCACCACCTAAACCACCTCCAAGACTTTGTGATCCTGCATTTGCATTTGCTGCTGATCCACTGAATCCCCCACCTAATCCACCCCCTCCAAAGCTCTGTGATCCTGCATTTGCGTTAGCTGCTGACCCTCCAAAACCCCCACCTAATCCACCCCCTCCAAAGCTCTGTGATCCTGCATTTGCATTAGCTGCTGACCCACCAAATCCCCCACCTAATCCACCCCCTCCAAAGCTCTGTGATCCAGCATTTGCATTAGCTGCTGACCCTCCAAAACCCCCACCCGGTGCACCTCCAAATCCACCAGGACCCCCTCCATAATGTCCCCCCGGACCCCCTCCATAATGTCCCCCGGGACCCCCTCCATGTCCCCCATGTCCATGACCATGACCATGACCATGACCATGTTGAGGTCTTCCGTATTGTTTATGTCGTTGTGGCAATGCACTAACCGTAACGGCTAAAACTAATAGAACTGCGATATACTGCTTCATTTCTAAAAATAAAGTCTTAAAACTTAAGGATCGAGACGTCTGAATCTGTCTGTTTCTGAACTTCAAATAAACATTTAATGGTGATAATCGACGTCTTTTATTATCTACCTAAGTAGTAGTGACTTTGCAGTTTGATACATTTGTATCTACCTGCTTACTTGATTATCAATGTGTTGGATATAATGTAAAACTTGTTTCTTGAGTCATCGACTATTTTGTTTACAAATTTCATTATGTATAATTCCAATAAGATATACCGTTGTAATAAGCCGAAAACTTGACAGTGAATCCCCTGTATGTATTTATGTGCTTCGAGAGGAAGTTTCGGCAAAGAAAAAGAGAAAATTTTTGCGTATAGCGTCATTTTCGGGGTGATTTATTGCAATTAAAAAGAAGCTTTCACCTTTAAACATAATCAATGCTGTTATATAAATATCTGGAGTGTTTGCGGATACCTTTCCGAATTTTTTTAAGGTTGAAAGCCTTTTTTTTTATCTCTTTGAAGGTTAAGTGCATTAGAAATGGAAACCTTGAGAGTAAGTTGGTATGCGAATCAAGAGGAGAAGAGATTTAAGGAACTTACTAAAGTAATTTTTTAAGCAACTTACAAAGAAGGGATGTTAATGAGAACTTACCAAGTTGTGAGTTTAGATTTCTATGAAAATCAAATAATCTTTTGATGATCAGAACCGGAATAAAAACTTTTAAGTCATGTTTACGAAAAAACAGTCAATAGACTTACTAATTATCAATGAGTCAATGTCATTGCAATATTTCCGTCCATTAACAAAGCACATGCCTCCACAAACAGTTAGGTCCAATGTATACAATACTATTGAGGCAAAGATTTAGGTTTTTGTGTTATTGTTAATGTTGTGGCTGAAAATTCCAGAAAAAACAAAATTCTAATTCCAAAAAAATCCCCTTAAAAATTGTTTCATCAGTCAATCTTTAACAGCCAACACCAAAAGCTCTATCTTACTATAAATTCGACATGAGAAAAAAGTTCATCCTTCTAAAAGGAAAGGAAAAGTTTCAAAGTTCAAACATCACACATGTATTACTTCCTGAGCAACTGCGATTCAGCAAAACTTTTGTGTCTTTACGTGCTAGAGATTGCTTCTTGTAACGAAAATACCTTCAATGTTAAATTTATTATTGTGCCTGCCTTTCCGATCTATCTTCGTGCCAACAAACACACATTGTATAAGATTTATGTCTCACACTCAGATCAAAATCATGGCCTTTCTTGTTGACTTTGACATTGATCCAAAATTACCTGTTGGCTGAATGTTTTTTTTTCTTCTTAGTCATCGTCTGTTCTGGCTTATAAACGTGCACAGAACAATCAATAATAAATTATAGTACAATTAGGAACGATTTGATATTTAGTCGGACAATAACTTGCTAAATACACAACTCACAGAAGCAAGTCGTCATTACTGAAGATCTATATGCACGGTTCGCATGGTTGAATGTTTTGGAAAAACCCGGCATTTAAACCTTCAAAAAACCAATTCGTGCATTGCCTATTTAATAATTGACTTTATTCAATTAAGTTTTCGCTTTCAATTTCAAGGGGGATTCTGTGAGACAAAAAAACGACAAATCTTGTGACCTTCAACTGAGTTGATGTGATTATTTTTGATGAATTAGTAATTCTAACGTGTGGCTCAGCGCGTAATCGTAGCCGTCATCAATATCATGTTAATGATTATGCCTGATAGAGATTTAAATTCAAAAATATTATTTTATTCAGGCATAAAAAATATTAGTAAGTAAGAAAATGTCAGTTTACGTCACCATTACATTTTCAATTTTTGATCGAAATTAACGGTCATTTTTCAAAAAATAACAATGGATTTCCAGGAATTTCTACTGTTCTTTTCTTGCTGACACCCCCCCCCCCCCCCCTGGACGTCATAAGTGAACGGCCCATAGTAAGTTCTGGTCAGTCTTGCTTCAATAGTCTCAAAAGTTCAGCCTTTGATTTATCAATTATTATAAAATTCCTCAGAATTGTTCATAAAAAATGCAAGTAGGAAGGAATTCATAAGAAATGTAGCTATAAAATGCAGTGCTTCACAAACTATGTTTTGTGATACATTTCTTGGCCAACAAAACCTTCAGTTATGTCGCGAAGTGTTTCAAATTAACTTCAATTAAGTGCTTTATTGTGTTTTGAAACACAAAGTTCGAGAACCACTGCAGAAATATGACAAATAAAAAGCAATGATGTAAATATTATTTAAGAAATAATAAGTTGAGTGAATGTTTACAGAAATAATTTGTAAATTGCTATCGATTCTACACACATGTTTATGGATTAATTCATAAGTGATGGAACTATCTTTTTCATTAAGAATCATCCATTTGTTTAAAAACAATTAATTTCATACACGCGCCAACTTTTTTTCTCATTAAGAATTTCTAGTTAATGACGTTCTATGTATAATAGCTTTGTATGGTTCCACGACAAATCTACAAAAAAAAAATTCCGGTTTCTACACATTCAATATTTTCGGCACACTCTTCGGTATTTACAATACACACTGAAAGAATTAGATGCATTAGCACCTCATACAAACCAAATTTTTATTATTTTTAAGAAGTTAACTCCGAGTTTAAGTCTTAATTTTTATCTGCTAAGAGATTTTATTGTTAAAAAGAGATAAGCAAGAAGTTCCATGTCACAAAAATTGCAAATTCTTCCCAATAATTCAAGTCTTTGTTTTATAAGCTAGCAGTAAAGACTTTTCTTGAGCTGGATTCAGTGCTTCCAAGAGTAAGTACCGATCTAGTGTCCATTTTGCTTCAATTCGTATTACTCATTTATTATTTTCCTCTCTTCTCTCTTTTTAACCTTTTTTTCTTCCAAAACAGTTGATTCATCAACAACATTCATCTCATCGATTGAGGTTCATTACATTAAGTCTAATTAAGTACAAATTTCTGATGTTTGCCATACAAAAGAAATGGATTCCCTTGGAAATTCTTTTGAAATTAATCTCACAATCAGGGAAGCTAAAAGCTCCGGAAGAACACCGACTACAATTCATACTGAAATAAATGGCCATAGAGTTAACATTTCGTCAACTGTTCCTATTGTGGCTGAGATTTATGTTGAACCAAGTTCAAAAGAATGCAATGGAAATAAATTAGAGTTCGAATCAAATTCCTACAAGGAAGCATCTCAGTCAAATCACAATGGAAATGGATCAACTAGAACAAAAAGAAGTCTTGACTTTCAGCAACCAACAAGTTTCTTTGAAAATCACACAAGGACCAAAAGAAGTCTAGACTTTAAAGAAAAGCATGATTACATCTTCCCAATGGTTAGAACAACAGCAAGTCTTCCCGGATCAAGTTCAGAGAATGAAAAGCAAAAAGATGAAGGAGGAATCACTTATCCATACAATTATGAAAAGGAGCATAAAAAGGCAAAAGCAAGAGAATGGAAATTCGATAGAGAACAACAGAAAAAAGAAGAGCGCCAAATTAAGGAATATTATAAAAAGCACGAAAAGATGCTCGAAGGTTGGCAAAAAATGAACGATAAACAAAATTCTTTATGGGAGAAAGAGAGAGACAGAGAAAGAGCCAGAAAAGAGGAATTTAGGAAGCAAAGAGAAGAGAATGAAAAAAAGTTGCATGCAGAATATCTTCGATCACAAGAAAAGAAGAAAAGTCAGATGCAGTCACAAAATGATAAGTCTAAAAAAGACAATGAGAGAGATTATAAAACTGTTAAATAAAATAAATATTTATGTATTAACCAAATAAGAATCTATGACTTTTTATTGATTTTTAAAATATTTCAAAAATCTTTTAAGTCAATTCAGATTTTTTATGGCTTAAATTTTTACAAAATTTAAATTGAATTAATTTAAATTCTTAATGAGTAACTCAATCAATCAGAAGTTTGGTCATTTTTAAATATTTTTGCTCTGTGGTCATTCACTTATGACATCCAAGATTCGTGGAGATATAAAGGTGTGTCAAACTCAAGGGATAGACACTGGAATTCATGTTTACGAAACTAATCAAATGTTGACTTCAAAAACATAAACACAACTTAACAATGCTTTCCTCATACGTCACTGAAATCAATAGTATTTAAACCAAACCTTAAAGATGATCAGCTGTGATGATATTACAGGATATTACTTGTATGAAATCCAATGCAAGCAAACAAAATAAGAAACTTGTATGAGAAAAAAAGGGACTTGCGTCATTAATGAAATGCGAATGACGCACAAAACAAAGTTAAGTTTTAAATCAAAGATAAAAAATTAAACTGACAAAATAAAAGATACGAATGGAAATGATGTCGTGCATTATCATATTTAGCTTGATATGAAGAAGAATATCTTAATAAAAAGATAAGATACAAAACTTAAAATGATGCCAATAAGTTTGATCAAGTTTTTTATTTAAAAATTTAGATGAAGCTTTTTAATATTTAATGTTCTGCATTTTTTAAAAATCTTCCAGTTAAAATCGATCCTTAAGTCCATTCAGACACAAAAATTCAAAAATAAACATATAAAACTTGCAATATGAAGTGTATTCAAATTTTATTGTTGGCTTTATGTTTGGTGTGCTTTAATTCTTACAAGGTACAGGCACATGGACCATGGAAGTATCATCCATATCAAATGCCAGGTGAAATAATATTTGATTCAGAAACGAAGGAGTTTATTAAACATTACCATTCTGTAATTTTCAGTATACCCTCCTTATCCTAGATATCCAGGTATTTATTCATCAGAATTTACTGAAATATAAAGTTTGTCGAGACTTTTTAAATTCTAATTTTAAAATTTTTATTTTATTTTTTCAAAAACTTAAAGAATTTGTACAGCAAAACACAAAACCAGCTAATATTTGCACAGAATGTTTAAATACATGGGCAAATTTTGCGAAAATTTTCAATTTTCCTGACTTTTCACAATTTGGAAATCCAAACTTTAATAATGGAAATATTAGAGCAACTAGACCACCTCCTTATAAACCAACTACAACTGGTAAGTCTTTAATTATTAAATCTCATTATTTGCTTACTATTTTAACTTTTTCGTGTAAACATCAACAGTCCAACCAATTGTAGCTAACACGCGTCCTGCAGTTACTGATACCTTACAAACCATAAGACCTCCGGTGCCAAGAAGATCCACTGTAAAACCAGCAGTTGTGCAACCAGGTAATAAAATCGGATTATATTTGTTCCAAAACTTTTAAATTTATTGAATTCAAACTTACTATCGATATTAAACATGAATGATACAAACTTTCAGATCCTAATGCCTCATCTAGAATAGGAACAGACGAAATTAATGGATTTATATCAACACAAGATAGAATTAATGCTATATTGAAGACAACAAATGGTAATTTGCTTTATATTTTACACAAAAAGTGTTGAGCTTTAACTTTTAAATTTGATTTTTAAGCTCCTGTCACACAACAGTCATATTTCACTTACCCAGGTAAATTACTATAAAGTTTTTGAGTCAACTTGATTTTAATTACAATTTATAAATTCTTTCAAGGAATTAAAAACTCATTAAATCACATGGAGTATCAACTAGCAGATATTAGAGGACCTCGTAAGACTTATTAATATTTTTATTCAATGAGAAAAGTTTTTATTTGAATTAATTTTATAGCTTTTGATGGATTGCACCTTTTTTATCCATATGGACGATAAAGCTTCCTTATTCTTTGTCTACAATAATTTAAGAAATTCTGGATTTTAAATCTGAATAAAAGACTGACAATACAAAATTTAATTCTTTGATATTTTATTAATCATGATGAAAATTGATAAAAATTCCAGGGTTTTTTACAGAACTTTAGAGTTTAAACAGATTTAGTTAAAAAAATTTCCTTTTTTTCAGTGAAATCCCAAAAATGATTCTGCAATATTTAAAATGCTTTCTTAAAAACCAGGAAATTAAGACTTTTAATCAACCTTTGCTGTTGAAACATATATAAAAGTGAAATAGGGTTTCCCAATGTGGGACTTGACGTTGTTGCAACAGAAAACTTATGAGTGGGTTTTGGAAGATCTTAATGAATTATTAAGCGTTCGTTGAACTGAAACTAATGCTTATATCAGGTTTTTTCCTCCAACTTAATAGAAATGCAGTCATTTGAACACATGAAGTTAGAATTTTTTTAAATAATATGAGAAAGATAAATCTTGATATTTTAAAATTAATTAAGGTAAGGCAACGTACTTTAAGCTTTCCATTTTTTGAATAAAATTCATTGACACAAATATGCAAAAATTCTAAACTGGAAATCTTTTCATGTTTAATTTCGATTAAAATAATCTTTTAAAGTTAACACAGCTTGAACTTTTTTTAAGTTTCATCAGATTAAAGAAGAGTTTTAAATATTTAGGATGTCGGATTTCCCAAAGATCTTTCAGTTTAACTTGAAATTTGTGTTGAATTGGACCTTAACATTTGGAATAAAACTTCAAAATGAATTGCAACGTGGTTTTTCTATTAATTTGTTTTTTGTTTTTGAAATGTAATGTAAAAGGTTTGTGAAAAAATTTAAAAGACATTTTTATCATTTTAAAAAATTAACTTTAAATCTTCCAGCACAACCTACTTTTCCTTTACTTCATTGTGATTATTGCCTCAACAAATTAACACAAATTTTTAACATTTTAAGTTGTCCACAAAACGAAAATTTTGAAGTTAAAGACGTTCAAAATTCAACTCCAAAGATTGAAGGTGATTTGAAATATTTGAAAGCTTTTTTGACAAAATAAATTTATTTTGCTTTTCCAAATATAATATCAGCTGTCGTTACAACTCCACAACCAACAATTAAAAGTTCAACACCATCAACAGAACAACCACGGATCTTACATGAACAATCAACAACCAATTTGCCAATTCCAAATTTCAACGTTAAACCTCCTGTTGTAGAAAGTAGAAATTTTGTATCATCAGAAAATAGTAATTTCAATTTTATATTCGTTAAATTGTTAATGTCATTAAAAATCGATTGAATTAATGACTTGATTTCTTCCAGCTTCTCCTAAATATCCACCACATTTCGTTTATCCAGGTAAGGTTTGATGATTTTATATTTGTCTTAAAACTTTTTAAGGCTATTCAATTTTATTCCAAAAAGGTGTAAAAAATTCTCTGAATCATTTAAACTATCGATTAGTTGATTACAGAATGCAGCGTAAGTGATATTATTTTTTTAAGGATCTTTTTACATTTTTTTTTGAATTTGTTCTTTTTACAGCAATGTTTGGTGGTTTGTTCCTTCCATATCCATTTTTCTACTAAATTTGTCATTGAGATGCATTTAACCGACATCAAGCTTGTAGTTGCAAATAAACTAGCAGTTAAAAAAGAAATTTATTGCTCAATATGAAAAAAATAAAATTGCGTCATTGATAATATGCGAATGACGCACTAAAAGAACTTGAAATAATTTCATGTATTAACATATTGAGGAATATATCAAATGACCATTTAAGAATTACTTAATACAAAATGAGATACAAAACTTGAAAATTTAATCAAGTTTTATATCTAAAGAATTAAAGGAAGACTTTTAATATTTAATGTTTTGCATTTTCTAAAGATCTCTCAGTAAAAATCGATCCTCAAGTCCATTCAGCCACAAAAATTGGAATTTAATAAAATTATAATCTTTAAAATGAAGTTCAATAAAATTTTATCAATGGCTTTATATTTGTTGGTCTTGCACACAGTTTCTGTAGAACCACATTTTCCATGGAAATTTCCTGTAAATCCAGGTTAGTAAATTTATAGTATTTTAATTTCCACAATCTTTCAATTTTTTCATATTTTTAAAAAATCAGGTCAACAGAATGCAAGACAACCTAGTGTTTGCACAGAATGCTTAAAAAAATTGTCAAATTTAGCAAAAATCTTCAACATTCCCGGGTTTTCCCAGTTTGGAAATATTAGAACAACCACAACACAACAGCCGTCTTACTTTTCTACTACAATTAGAACATTGATCACAGACAATCCACAAACTTTTAGACCACCTTTCACAAGAAGACCAACTGCTATTGTACAACCAGGAGTGGATAGAGAAGAAATTAATAGATTTACATCAACAGAAGACAGAATTCGAGCTATATTAAGAACTTCTAGTGGTAAATTATAGGATCTTTGATTTTTAATAGTTTTTATTAACTTTTCATTTACATTTCAGAGGCTCCGGTTGCTCAGCAGTCACTTTATGACTATCCAGCTAAATAAATTTCATAATAAAATGATTTTGGAATTTAAAATGTCATACAAACATTCATTAAATCAACTCGTAGCCTTAAAAGAACCAAGTTAGAATAAGTTATTAAATAAGAATAGCTTTTAATGAACTCAGTTTTATCTTTGAATTTGGAAGATAATATCCTATTTAAACTGATCATAATAGACAAAAGATACTTCTAAGATTTAACAAGGAACCGTTCATTTATTACGGAACGGTTTTAAGGGGATAGGGAGGAAGTGTCCAATATATAGCAATATTTTACGAAAAGTTTTTTGGTAACTTCAATAAATGTTTTTCAATCACATGTTTTCCAAATAAAAGACTGTGTTAGTCATGATGTAAATAAAATTGGGTGTGACTGATCTAGACTTTGTCCACAAATCATGTAAAACTGAATCTAAGAAAGTTTACTATGTAAATTTAAATATAAGCTTAGCTTAGTGACAAAAAAACTTAAAAGTTTGTTTTAAATTTACTTAAAGCTAAGCTGAATTCATATAAATCACCTTAAATAAAATTGGTTACAGATTTTAAGAATCAAGCCTATCTAATTTTACAGATTTACCAAAAAATCAGGATTTTCTATTTGTAAACTGTTTGAGCTCAACAAAAATCACAGTGTACCTTAAGCTCTTCAATAGAAAAGAACTGAAACTGATCATATTTTAAATGAAATTTCTAATAATTCTTATTTTATCAATCAAGTCTGTGTATTCACAGTTCGGAATTTTTGATTCTTTTAAAATTTTGAGAGCATACGAACCTTTTTTTAGAGAGGCAAGTAAGATTAATGGTAATAATTTCTTTATTAGCTTCATATTTTTTTAAGAGATTAATTTCTTTATTTTATTTTCAGCAAACTCATATTTTCCGAGATCTTCAGGTAATTGGATCAAATCTTAAAACTCCATATTGTGAATTTTACTGACATAATTTTTCAGGATTATCCAGTTTAAATCCAGCATCAGGTTGTAACGTTTGTTCATTAAGTGCTAATGATCTCAACTGGTTTAGATATGCACAACAATTATCAAAAGAGACTAATTTTCCAAATATTCCGACAAATGTTGAAATTCCAAACATTCAACAAATTCAGAATTTCGCTCCAACAGAATTTTCTGCTTTTATTCCTTCAACTCCGGGTAATTACTATAAGAACTTATGTTAATTTTTAAATAATCATTTCTTATTTTTCCAGCACCACTTGAGCGTCGTCCATCTTTTAAATATCCAGGTATGAATTCAGTAAATTTGTGTATTTATCGGAGTATGAACTAAAGTCAGAAAATCAGGAATGTGAGCTAAAATCACTGATCTTCTTGAATTGGTTTCAAAAAGTTTTAAGTTGTTCCATGAATTTTAATCGAACTGCACATTTTTTATAATTTTAGAGATCAAAAATTCATTAAACAGTGCCAATTCACGACTTAAATCTATTGGAGGACCAAGTATGTAAAGTTAAAATTTTTAATCAAAACTTAATGCTTTAATGTTGAATTCTCTTTTAACAGAAGGTGGAGGACTCGATCTTCTGTATAGAGTTGGAAAATAATTGTTGCAGATGCTTGGATGTCACCATAAATTAAACGAGGCAGTGCTATTTTTAAGAATTTAAACATTATTTTAACTACTAAGCATAAATACAATGTAATTTGAATTTCAAACCTGAACTTGTAATAATAATAAACAATTTTCCCAATTTATTTATTGAAAGCAATTTTCAAACCTTATTTCAAATTCCTTCATACAAGCTTTTCTCGAATTAATTCTTAATCATAAATTCTAGTTTAGATTCGCTCGAATTTATTGCGTTTAAAAATGAAAGAAAATATTTTTGTTTTCATTAAATTATCATAAATTTTTTATCAAACAAGTTTTGTGCATTCAAATGTTTTTGATTCTTTAAAATTCAGTTTGTTTTGAGATTTTGAAGAGTATACAAGATGAATCGACTGCTGGCATTCTTGTTTGTGTTTATCATATGCGTACAATTTACCAGTAAGTAGTTGTTCAAGAAATCTTTTCAATTGACTTCGAATTTTATAAAAATTTTACAATTTCTAGATGGAAATAGAGGAAGAGAAAAGCTTCCCAAAGGTCGATTCCCAGTGCCTAAAATAAGTAAAATGAAATTTCAATAACAAAAATAATGAAATAGTTTTCAAAAAAATGATTTTAAGATGATCGAGGAAATATTGGCAGAATTCCAAATATCAAAAATTCTGGATCTTCATTCAACAATCCAAAGCCTTTAATTCATATTCCGAGCAATCGGATTCCGTCTTTTAAGAATCAAAAGTCTCCAATTCAGCAATTTGTTTCAAATAATCGAATTCCATCATTTAATAATCGAAACTCTCCAATTCAGCAAATTATTCCAAGCAATCGGCTTCCTTCCTTCAAGCTTCCAAGTAATAAAATTCTATAATTTAATTTATTTATTTTAAGTATTTTAAAATTAATAATAGATATCGGAAATCCGTTGAGTAGTGTGAATTCTTTATTTAAAGGCTTTCGACTACCGGGTATGTTGTGCTAAGCATTTATTGACCTCAAACTAGAAATATATTTTATTTTCAATTAGGTGGATTCAACTTACCTCCTTTGCCTTCTTTTGGCTGATGAACCATTCCATGATTTAAATGATTCAGAACTCATCAAAAAAAGGACACATAACTCAAACCTGTATTTTCTTAATATCAAAATAGTAAGAACACGTGATAACCTGTTTGCAAATTTTTCCAAAAATAAAAATAAAACATTTTAAAATTTATGTTTTTGTTCAATTTCCTCCAGTTTTCTTTTTAACTCACATGCTTAATGTTTAAAATCCACAAGAATCATTTTCAGTCAATTTTGTAATGTTTTAATTTTGGATCCTGAAAGTCTGGGAAAAATCCATAAACAAATATATGCGTAAATTTAACAAATGTAAAAACTTGAAAAGAAATTTCACTGAGACTAATCTGACAAGTTTTTGAATGTTGAATGAAAATATTACTGACTCTTTGTTATTTCGTTGCCAGTGTGATTTGGGAGTTTAAAGAGTTAACAGGAGCGATTAATGTGAAGCAATAATTATTTTACAAGATGAATCTATTTGTTCTTTTATGTTTAATTTCAAATGTGGTTGCACAATTTTCTGGTTCTTCTTTAAATATTCCAGCTATTTTGGATGCACAAGCACGTATTGTTGAGGCTTATTACGGAAATAAAGGTAATTGAAAACTATAATTTTGGAAGTAAAACTATTGTATAAATTTTTTGAAATCTTTAAAATTTAAAAACTTAAAAAATGGAAATGATTTAAAACTATTTAAAATATTTTAATCAGGTCAGCAATCGTCATCCGGTCCTAGAAGAACAGATAATAACTATAACACAGGATATCAGCCTTCATCGAACAACGGTAAGACAGAAAATTGCTACTTCAATTTTAAAATTTCTTTTCGCTAGAATTTATTATTTGAATTTAAATTATTGTACGAATTCTTATTTTTTTTCTAGATTATTACCAAAATATTCCTGCTATTGTAAACGCACAGGCACGTATTGCTGAGGCATATTACGGGAATAAAGGTAATTCAAACTTTAAATTTTTTGTAAGAAAAAATCAAATAAAAAAATATTGCTTAATTTTTTTACAGGTCACCAGCCATCATCTAGCATCAATCTTGGAAGTATTCCAGGTATCTCCAGCAATCTTGTTAATCCCTTTGGTCCAGGATTTCCTTTCAATCAACAGAATAATAACCCTAATTATGTTGTGAATCCTCAAAATACGCGCAGTAAGTTATTAAAGGTAGTTTATGAATGTTAAACTTTAATTTTTATCCTTAACAGCTCAAGCTTCTCGACGTCCAAGTTTTCAATATCCAGGTAATTTAAAATACTATAAATTTAGCATTATTTTTAAATTTTTGTCAATTAATAGATATTAAAAATTCGTTGAATAACGCAAATTCTAATCTTAAGAATATTGGAAGTCCAGGTATGGAAATAATTTTGTACTGCACATAGAAATTAATTTTTCATTTTTTAAAAAAGAAATAGGTGCAGGCGGATTGAGCTTTCCTTTCTTGTCTTTCTTAGGACGATGACTTAAATTATAATTTTTTGATTTTTTAAAAATCAATGCCGCAAATGTGATAAGAGAGAATTATTTTAAAAAAATTAATAAAATGAATTTAAATAATAATTTTCGTCGTACGACTTCATTTTCAGTTTTTCATGATCAACAAAAAATCCCAAATTCTAAAACAAAATCAGCTGGTTTTTACAGAATCCAATATCACTTCTAAGGTGTGTCTTATAATAGTAAAATGCTATAATAGCTTATAATAGTTCTTAACTAACTTCGAAATCTAGGAAAAAACCATGAATGATGTCTTATCAAGATAATTTATGAATATATAAGTATTATTATTTTCAGAGACTGACGTGTCAGTTACTATTTACATCAAATTCGCAATAACTTTAACTCACAAAATCAAATGTTTGCTCAAAAACTTAAAGAATATTTCAGTAAATTGTATAGGAATTATCATTACGCAATTGAAAACGATCTAGTGAAGATTGCAAGAAAAAAGTTCTGTTCAGAATATGAAGCGTTTCCTGATGTTTCTTTATATTTTAAAATGTATACAGTCACAGCAACAACAAGGTACATCTTAAATGAACTTTTTACATCCGATACTTCACAATACTTTAACTTTCAGATAGTGGAACCTTTTTTCAATCACAATTACCTTTAATTCGATCAATGATTCCTTTAATAAGACAGCAAAGTGGAAACTTACCTGGTATAGATAGGATTATACAAGACCTTGAAAGAATTCAGAGGCTAACACCAGATGACATCAGAGAGGAAGAAAAGCGACAGCGTGAACTTGAACTCAACCCTACAACATCTCCTGGTAACTCACAAATAATTCAGCCTATTGCCCCTGCTGCACGTCGTCCATCTTTCAAATATCCAGGTCTATAAACATTTAATTTTGCGTATTTAAAATCAATTTATTTAAATATCTTTTTATATTTTAGAGATTAAAAATTCATTAAATGGTCCAAACGAGCTTTTAAGGAACGTCGGAGGTCCTTGTAAGTAATATTTCAATTCAATTAAAATGTCATTGATTTATTCATATTTTTATAGATGGTGGTGGACTAGGACTTCAAAACATCTATGGATAGTGAATATTTGTTGATGATTATATTTGATGAAGTGTGCAATAACTTATTGTTAATCAGATGCAATCATTTTAAAGTGATGAAAGTTGAAAATGCGACTTGGAATCAAAGATTTAAATAAATTTCGTAATTTCTCCAAAAATTCACAAATTTCCAGCACTAAAAACCAACGTTGGAAATTCCCAGCAAAATCTTTACGATTTTCTTAACTTTCTTAATTTTATTTATTGACAAAATATGGAACCGGTTTCCAAAATTCCCCGTAAATTTACTAAGGTGTGTGATTGTCAATTCACGTGCTAATTCTTCTTTTCAGCTTCGTGTTCAGTGCATAAATGGTGTGATCAATCAACAAGCTAGCTCTGATTATGAAATGTTCAATCAGTGTTCAATCAGTCAAAGTTACAGAACTCCCAAACTTATCTACTCAAAACTAGTATTTTTTGTTTACAGAAAATTCAACAACAGACTTTATTATGACTTATTGTCGTACTTCCAACATCCAGTTAAATGTATCTTGTCAGTAAAGGTGTTAAAGTATTGGATAATGAATAAATTTGCAAAAATTATCAATAAAATATATTAAACAGGTCAAGATCTAAATATGAAGAGGTTTCTGATTTTAGTTTTGTTCTTAAAATGTGTAAATTTACAACAGCCGATTTTTAATCCTATAAATACAGCAGAAATATCACGTAAGAATAAAAATCAAATTTCGACGCAGTTATTATTATTAAAACTCTAATCTTCAGAAGCTGCTCGCTATTTTCAATCGCAATTACCGATTCTTCAGGCTTCAATTCCTTTAACAAAGCGATTAGCAGGGAATTCAGACCCAAACAATTGTTTTCCTTTCTGCAACTTGCCCAATTTTGGTGGAGTAAGTGATGATTTAGCTAGTCTTCAAACTATTAAACCAGAAGATATAAGAGCATATCAAGAACGAGAACGTGATCCACCGACAACTTCTGGTAAATTTGAATTTAAATTCTTCATAGATTTTCAAAAAGCTAAGTTTTAATTTTTGCAGCCTCTTTTATTATACAACCAAATATTCCTGCTACACGCCGACCATCATTTAAGTATCCAGGTATATTTTTTTAATTGTGGATTTTCGTTGGGGGCTGTTCACTTATTACGTAACGCGAAAAAATGACTTTTTAGACCCCCCCCCCCGTAACAAAATTTGTATGAAAAAAAAATTTCCTTGTTTGAACCGTAACAAAATCTTAGACCCCCCTCCCTCCTAAAAGCGTTACGTAATAAGTGAATGGCCCCTTGGCATAAGGATACAAAAAAATTGAATATAATAAAAAAAAACTTTTTGATTTCAGAAATTAAAAATTCTTTAAATGGTCCAAATTATCTGTTAAAGAATGTCGGAGGTCCATGTAAGTAAATAATTTGAACAATTAAGGAAGCTCATCGATTTTGTTATTCATCCTTTACAGACGGTGGGGGTCTAGGACTTCAAAACGTATATGGAAAATAAATATGTTGAAAAATAATCGGAACTTATTATCAGCTTTAAATAAAGTTTTTTGCACATTTTCAAAAAAAGTCTTATAAATTGTATTGCTGAAACCAGTCACATGACTTGATAAACATGAATTGAAAATTTTAGAATTTTTCTTGCAGTTTGTTTCAGCTCTTTTACAGAAGAGGGAGTGTTTCTTTGAAATTAATTTAAAAAAAAAACCAAGATGAAGTCCTGCATAATTATTTTATTAATAATCTCTGTTGTTAATACTCAAATTAATTACGGTAAGTACATTAATTCAAGAACAAAACATGAATCTAAGACATAAATCAACTGTCAGAATCTGGATCATCGCTGGGAAATTTTGAAATATCTCAAGTCAGTAATGGCGCTAATGTTAGAGTTATTGGCCCAGGAAGCAGCTCAATCAATGGCATTAATATATCTGGAAATCGAGGAAATCAAAGAAAATCTTCATCTGAAATTAATACTGTGCATATAGATGGACAAAATGGTGGAACTTTTGGTGGTCCATTAAGAATAAATCAAAGAAGTGAGAATGATATTGTGAGGATTGGTCCAAATAGAGCTACGATTCCTAATTTTAATCCATATCCTCAATATAACTCTTATGCTAATAACAAAAGACCAGATTATTTTCAAGCAAATCCTCAATTTGCAGGTGAAAGATTATTGATTATTTACTGTCTTTAAAGTCATCTAATATTTGTTAATTCTTTTACATTAGCTCCTGCATCGTTACGTCCATCATTTCAATATCCAAGTAAAGTTTGTCAAAAATATAATTTTCTGGTGATTTATTTTATTTTTATTTTAAAGGCATCAGAAATTCGTTGAATAATGGAAACGACTTTTTGAAGAATATAGTTCCTGGTAACTATTCACATGCGTATATAAATGTGAATTAAAATATGATTTTAAAAATGTTTGCATTCACAGGTGGAGGTGGATTGAGTTTGCCGTTTCCCTATTTTTGGGGCTAGTCGCTGACAACATTAAGATTAAGTTTAATTATAAAGCCTTACTTACAAATAAAAGCATCCAAAAGTTCAAAATCTCTATTTATTTATGTATTGAAGGATTACCTCGCCAGAAACAGTTTTTCAAAAGAAAAATTTCTGAAACCAGTCTTATGACTGTAAAGATACATATAAGCAGTAAATTTTTTGTTTTTATTTGCAGTATGGTTTAACATTTTCAAAGAAGAAGGTGTACTTTTTGCAGAAAAAGTATCAAAAATAAGGATTAATATTTTCAAAAATGAAGTTCATCATTTTTGTTTTATTTCTAAGTTCAACAGTCAATTCTCAATTTTCTTATGGTAATTGTAATGGGATAATATATTTGTATAGAATCTGGCGATTTTTTGGAAATTCACAATTTCAATTTATTTTATCGCAGTCGATTATGGTAACGATGGATTATCAAACCATAGATCTAATCCTCGTGGTAGAACTGATATTTCATTAAGTAATAATGTTGGATATTCAAAAACCTCGAATGGAGGAAGTGCAGCAGTTAACAGCATTATTATATCAGGAAATTCAGATGATCAAAATAAGCCTCGCAATGATGTTAATAGTGTTCGTATTAATGGACAAAATGGAGCGTCAAATGGACCATTAAACATAGTTTTAAGCAATAATCATGGAGTTGCAGAAGATATACGAAGTGGATCTTTCGGTTCTTCATTTCCTAATTTTAACTCATATCCACAAAATAATTTCCATACGAATACAAGACCTCAATATTATCCAGTAAATCCACAAACAGGTGATAGTTGATTTATTTAATGTAATTTTTTTTTAATTTCTTAACTATTTGTTATTTTTATGATTATAGCTCCTGTTTATATACGTCCATCTATTCAATATCCAGGTAAACTTCAGTTTAAAAGGAACTGTAATATTTAATTTTTAAAATATTTTCAGATATCAAAAATTCTTTAAACAATCAAAATTCTGACTTTAAAGGAATCACAAATCAATGTAAGAAATGCTTTCAAATTCTTGTCAAGATCCAAAAACAACCGTTGAATTTTCAATTGTCATTTGATCTTAAATCTCCTATATATAAAGGCTCCAATTTACTTTGTTTTTTTTTAAGATGGAGGACTATCAAATCCTTATGCATTTTTATTTGGAAGATGAAAATTATCACAAGCATGTGGACAGAATGAAAAAAATGATTGACGATTCTCAAAAATTATATTATTTGATGTGTCAATAAATTTTGCAAAATAAATAAATTTATTAAAATTTAAATTTTTTTTTCATTATTCTCAGCAAAAACTTGGAGAAATCTAAGAAAACTGAATAAAAAACGTATCTAGTTATGTGTTGAGCCAAAAAAGGCATATTATTTTTAAAGTAAAAACTGGGAAGTAGGCAAAAAGTTTTTAATATTATTTTTCATGATTATAAAACTTCAAAGAAATTATTTAAGATAAAAAGTTTTATATTTCAGACTTAATATAAGCGAACTTGTAAAATTGAAAAGCATATTCAACTTCCTAGTGCTTGGAAATTTTGGAAATTTTTATGACTAATCAAAACCTGTCAAAAAAGTGTCTGGATTTTGTTTTAAGAATGTGTAGTAAAATATTTTTTTTTGGAAAACAAGTTATATAAAATCATCACGTGCCTTAACTTTCTGCATCAAATATATCTAGGTTTTAAAAATTCTATTTTCTCAATATTCATTCAATCTTATTCCTTTCAGGAAGAAATTCATCGTTTGTTTTCTGAAACTACGTTTAAAAATGAAGAACGTAGTCCATATTTTTTTACTGGCGATAACAGCTGTACATGGACAATTTTTATCATGGAAATAGCAGCTCAGCTTGGTTAATGCACTGCAAAAAAAACAGCCCTGGTGTGCTAGTTTGAAGCATTAGCTAGCTTAGTAGATTATGTTTTTGATACTTTTATTTACAAAACCTTTTAAATGAGTTTTTTAGGAATTGGAAATGAATTTCGAAGTTTAGCAGTAGCACGAGTTATATCCTAAAATTAATGATCAAAATATCAAAAGATTATATTTTTTATTCATAAAAGGGACAGTAGCTAGTATTGGCAACAGCAATCTATTTGGGAATAACATTTTTTTCTGCAAATTATGCGAAAACTACGAACGATGCAATCCAAAAATATATACAAAAACAATTAATAGATTCTTTAACTTATGGAGATAATAATTACAATACCAATCTATCCAAACTTTTTACAATTAAGGTTTTTTTACTTTCAAAATTTGAATATTTTTTTGAAAATTAAAACTATTTAAAAATTAATAGGCAATTAATTAAGGTATCAAAAATTTACTTAATACTGCAGAGTCAAACCTTAAAGGCAGCATTTCAAGTAAATTTTAAATTTTTCAAAAAAAATCTTAACTTTCCATGCGTTTTCTTTAGATTGAGGCGGATTGTCAAATTCTCGTAAACGATATCGGGTGTAGGAAAAATATTCGAGTTTTAAACTTTAATTGTTAAATATAACTGATCGATAAAAATACAGCGTCAATTATTATTTCAATCTATCCATAAAAAAAACGTGGTAAAAAGTCTTCCAAAAATATGCTTACATCTTTACATGAAAACAGTCAGTTGCTATTGAAAATCTTCTTCAAACTGATTCTAAATCATTATAGTATCAAGAATCAAAAAACTATTCCAAACAGGTCTCAAGTTATGGATTCATTGTGTAAGAACGTCACAAAGAACTTTCGGGTAAAACACTACAACATATACTGTGAAGATGTTCTACAACTTCTATTCCATATATTGACTACTTAAAATCGTAAAAGCTAACACTTAATAGCTCAACAGCATGAAGTCTGATTAGCAGAAGCTCGTGCTAGATTTGTTGAAAAATAATAAATTTTTATTCATCTTTATACATTCTGAACATTAAAGATAATTGAGCATCGAACAAAGGAAAAAAAAATCTGATTTTAATCTCATCAAGTCCGAAGTATTCTAAAGGAGCTATAGCATGAACTTTGTTCTAATACATCACAATTATGGTAGCTGCACACGTAGGTGCTTTTAGAGGTATCAAAAAGTAGTTTTGGAAAGGGCTAATCCCTAAATTACTGAAAATTACTAAAAACATTGTCAAAATTCAACTTCCCGATTCAAAAACGGAAGTAAAACTTAATCCAATATCAAGATTACAAACACTTTTCTAGTTCAAAACATGTCAATCTAATTAATTAGATTCATGAACGAGTTTCAAAAATGCTGTAAATAAATTTTACATCTGTAAATGTTTTCCAAGGTTACCAAACATGCTGATATCTCCTGAATGAGCAGGTTTTACGTCATTAATATCCAAATAATATTTATATTCTACGGACTGATTGTTGAATATTTGCAGTAAGATTTCAAACTTCAATCGGTGAAGTAATAGCTTTAAACAGTGACTTTAAAATATCTCTCAAAATAATGAAATATTTAATTATATTTGCACTTCTAATTGTCGCTGCTTATGCTCGTCCACAATTTATACAATTTCCAGGTATGTCTTTGTGTGGATTATCATTAATTAGCAAAATTATTTTAATTAACAAATTTTTATAGGAATAAGCTTGTCCTCGTCAAACGCAAATTCTCTTTCAAATGGCTTTGGAATTCCTGGTAAATATTTTATTAAATTTAGTTGATGATTTGTTGCTACCAACAACTTTTTGTGTCAGTTTGTGATAGTGTGACGTGTTTGAAGAGAAATTTTTGAATTCGTGTCATTTTAATGATTTCTTTTTGATTAAAATGATTTTAACATTTTTTTTAAATCTTAAGATTTCAATAACTCTTGTGAGAACAGCGCATTTCAAGTAATTGGAATCAAAAAGATAATTAAGGTTCCATAATTATTGAATTCTTGTATGAATTCTAAATCTTAAGTTGTCTTACAATTAAGAATATACTGAATTAATTCGGAATTTCCAAACATAAAAGTTAATCTTTTGTTAGGGAATGAATAAAATAACATTTTAAAAGAGATTCCTGTGCACAATTCAAAGTTCTATTGTCATCAATAATTCAACTTTTGATCTCTTAAACAATGCTTGGCAATTAATTTCTTATATTTATTTTGTTATATAAATTTAAGAATTTTAAAAACTATATCTTATGAACTTAAAACTCTAATGCATGTTCCAATCTAAGTTTCAAAATTATTTTCCAAAACACAGAGATTCTCAAACTTTTTATATTTAAACATTTTTGATTTTAATTTATAGATTTTGAAAATTTGTCTGAAACTCGATTTTTACATACCCATAATAAATCTTAATATTCTATTTAATAGGACTTTTTGGAGGTGGTGGTGGAGGTAGTTCCTCAGGATCAAATGCAAACGCATTCTCATTAAATTTGGGTAAGTTAATTAATAATGTGGCTCCTTTTACGGAATGCAAACAAACCAACGAGTCTGAAATAAATTGAAGTGAATTCCAATAATTAATTAAATTTCAATTGCTCTGATTAAAAAAATATTCTCTACATAAAGCATAAGTAATATTAATTTATGCAATGAATGTAAAACTCTTAATTTAAAAAGCATTTAAATATTTTTATTCCACTCAAACAAAAAGTTAATGAATATTAATTGAGTCAAAGAGTAATATTGCAAGCATCTCTTTACTCCTTTCGACGGGTCAGAAATTGCTACATGCTCAATTAATTTATCGCTAAACCCTTAATGCTACCTTCAACACGTTTGCAATTTTAAAATACGATCTAGACTGACTAACTGTTGTGTTTGTTTTAGAGCAAAAAAATTAAACTCGTTTGATGTTTTTTGTTCGAATTTAAATATTTTTCACGTGCTTATAGAGGTCATTTGACTCTGAAGCTTATCGGATAGAGTTTTATGAGGTGCATCTTGCGGACATTATTTAAATGATTAGCGGTATTTGAATTTTATTTTGAGGAAAACAACAACAAATGTCAAAAAACTGTTAAATGCTTATGTATTTTTTTTGGACTATACGATTGGAACTCAAAAATGTTTATGTCGGAATATTGCTAGCTACTATGTCCTTTTGAGTTCACCTGTGGTTATTAAGATAGCCATGAACTATATCCTATTAGTTCAATGCTAGAGAAGACTAGTCTTAATTGAGTATTGGATTTTCCAATTCAACACAAAGATTCTAACTTCTATAAACATTTCACTGAAGGCTTATTCTAAGCTCAAGCAACTTTTTGACATTCACTTAACCCACTTCATCAGCAATTCATTAAATACAAAGCCAGTCAACCAGTCAAGTGTATTGTTTATTTTTTCATGCGTTCTCTTAAAGCCATTTAAGAATCTTCTTGTTAAAGAGTTTTAAAAGTCTATTAAGTGAGTGCTAAGTCTTAAATTCTGTAAACATTACTGTCTTCCTTACATTCTCTGAATTCTAAATTAATGAATTGTTGAACATTGTCTATGAATTATTGTCAAATGCTCGTGTATTGAATCTTGAATAAGCTATAATCAGAATTAGATTAAAATTCAAAATAAACTCATTATCAGTGGGATTTTAAGGCTATTGCGTATTCATCATCATATGATTATGTACAGACAGAAGATGTCTTATTTTAAAATTTTTGTTTTCTTATTACAAGTTATGATTCACGTAAAATTACGGAAATTAATTTTTATTACGTGAGAAAATGCATGAGTTTTTGATTATAGAACTTTGTAAAAAAATTTGAGGAATATGTTCTGAGATGATGTAAAATGTTTTCAAATAATGAAGAGATATGTAAATTATTTTGTGAATCATGCGAAATTCTGGACTAATCGTGTAAACAACAGACAAACAAAATAGCTTGAAATAATAGAAAAGTGGACATAACAATTATCAGATGAAACTGGATCTGACATAAGATTTCATGATAGCTTCTTAGTAACATCTCCTTAGCTACGATTTTGTGCGTTAAAACACCTGCTTAATTAGTTTCTAAAACCAATAAGAATTAAAATACGCATTTTCAAGATCAATTTACATTCAAAATTAGGTAATTCCTTTGCGTCTCAAATCACCCATAAACAAATTCTTAAGAAATTAAAATAATCTCAAAACTTCAATGACCCAAGAAAAAAATAAAGAAAATCAGAATTCTATCTGTTAGCATACTTCTTTAAAGTAATCATATAGAATATTAATCTACGACTTTATTCGTTAATTTATTATAAAGGACCAAAATATTATTAATGCATGAGAAGATTACATAAATTATTTATAAATTTTGGATTTCCTTTTTTTAATTAATATTTTATTTCCTGTTCCTTTTCAGGCGGAGGAGGCATAGGCATACCATTTTTTGGTTAAAAATGCTGTTCATTCCTTTCTGTTAATTTTATACTCAATACATTAAATTTCTGTTCATCATTGGTCAATAAAAAAATATCATATGTTGTGAAAATATTAATATTATTGAATTTTTATGGGTCGACAGAGTCAACAGTTGTAATTAAAATATTTGCATTAATTAAATGTTATTTATTTCATGATTTACAGGACATGGAGCTCTCAAACGTTACGTAGTTCATTATTTTTGAGATTAAAATTTTAAAAAATTCGATTTTTTTGAATAAGAAACGTTTTGACGTCGATCTAGCATAGTAAAGACTTAGATCCACACCGGTTGATTCATTCGCATCGCGTTGATTTGACACCGGTTCGGCATAACACTTTTAACTAAGCACAAAATTGGCATTAGGATTGCTTTGTTTATGATTTATAAATAGTTGGAAGCTAAATTGGGTCAAGCAAGACTTCTTAACCTTTTCAAGGAATCACCAAAGTTTCTTATCGTCACAAAACTAGACCATCATTAGATTACAACAAAAACAAGCACATTGTCAACAAAAACACATTCTATAATTCTATCAAAATAGTGAATCATATTGTATTTTCTCAATGTCATGCTGATAAGCATCTCAATGATGAAAACAATCTGATGTAGGAATTTCCACGCATATTTCAGATCATCATCAATCAATTTAATTAAAATTCTTTTAATTTCAAAATTACAAAGTATATAGGAAGCGCCACATCAACTTTACATGCTCAAAGAAGGGAACTAAAACTTAACGCAAAAAAAAAGTATTTCTGTGTCGTGTTTTTTTTCTCTCATTCTCTTTGCTTTGGTTCATTCAACTAGTGTAAATAGCAACGATGTCTCTCTTTTCATTTTACATACAATAAAGCAGCATAAATACAGGAAAAAATAAGTCAAGAACTTGGGAATTTCCACATTGTCAACAAGACACTTTAAAACAGTCAGAATACGATTTATTTCAAATTTATTTATATATTTACTGTGGTAAGGTCAGTATTCTTGCTGTCTATTCTATTCTCTTGCTTTTTTCTGTGTTTATGACATTCTGTGTGTGTTCCTGAATGCACACAAATCAACAAGTTTAGATCATAAAATGAATGTTCCTTTGATCCACTTCCTTCCTTAATCTAAATGGAATGGACCAAAAACGAGATATAAAACTAAACTCAATTAATTTTACTGATGTGACAAAGGCAAATGAGACATGGTGAGAAGCATGTACAGCAGAAAGAGATGGACAACAACAATGGTCTGAAAATGAATTTACGAAATTAGTTTATTTTAGAAGAAAAATGACGAATTCAGATGCAGCAATGTCAACTCGACTTCTCTTTTCTCATGTCCTTATCCCCAAGCTGTTACTGCCGTTTGAAAACAAATTATGTAAATTTAATTTGTATCGACATCATTGTCAAGTATGTCGTGACCTTAAACTCTACCAAAGCTTTTGTTGACATCGTTTGTAATCTGGTTTCCTGAATCAATGCATAGACGTGTGAAGTCATTGGACTTTTTATATAAATGAAACGAATACAAATAAAATTGATGTGTTTTTTTATCGTATTGAATTTGTGTTATGCAAACGTGGTGATAATGGATAGAATAAATATTCTAAAGTAAGATCTGGACGTGTAGTCATTGGATTTGTATTTGTTTGGGATGATTAGTGATAGAGAATCTCATTTTGAGACTTAACATGTTTATTACACTATAAAACATGATTTAATAAATTCAAAAATGACTTTTTCTATGTTGGAAACTCAGGAACATGTTAAATCCCGGATATTCTCAAAAATTGACATCCCCTAAAATTCATCAAATCTTATTTATTTTCATAATTGAAGATGTTTAAAAAATAAGCAACAAAACAAGAAAATCAAGTAGCACAAAAGTTTCCTCACAAATTCTTTGTGTTCAGCCATATGAGAAGAACCAGTATATCCGTATAACACCATCATCATCGTCAATAATAATATTTAAATTTTAGAATCAGAAACATTCTGTGAGTCAGCAAAAAGTAGCATTCTGAAAGACAAAAAATCCCCGTATCAGAAACTTTGTCACATTTTCTTCTTGATTCTTTCAAACAAATAAGAAATTAAGACGATATTGATAAAATCTCTTGACAATAAAACCAATAAAAAATTTTGTTTTGCTTGAAATGATTAACCAATGACGCAAATTATTTGTCTATCATGAAGACGGACAGTGCGACGCTGTGTAGAGTGTGAAATACTAGATTTCATCAATTTCATGTGCAAATATTTTCGCTTTACAAATATTTGAATCAATTCCTGTGGTGTACTTGAATGATTTTAATTTGCATTGAAACTTTGGCTGTTAAGCTTTGGAGAAAGTATTGGATTTTTTTTAAGGATATACGCCAGACTGTCTATCAATCATTTTTACATAATTTCTATAAAAGGTTATGAATTATCTAATTTTGATGTAGCAAAAGAAGTATGAAAAATGCCTGTACTTGAATGAGCAATTGATTTTCTTAATTTTTAAGCATGTATTTCTTTAAAACAATCAAAAAACCTTCTTAATATCCACAATTCTATTTTACTGACCTTCCATAACCTACTTAATATTGACATATAGCCACAAAAATTATAATTACAATCAGGTCATTTCTAAAAAAAAATCACAAAAAAAATTCGAAGGACCAAATGCTGAGGAAGTGGACGAGAAATTAAATCTCGATTGTTCCTAACACACAATTAAGGTTAACAAGTTCCCATTGAGAATTCCCCAAAAAAAGCCATTAAGTAAGAGATCAAATCTTAAATAATGTCATATCCACTGGCCCCTGGGGCGATGTTATTGATACAATCGTTGAAGTACAATAAAGAGAAGAAAAAGAGAACCTGAAGCGGTGGTCAAACAAAAAGTACAGACCTTGAGTGGTCACGTTGGTTGTAGATATCTGACTCTCTTAAGCTTCTTCCTCTCAATTTCACACACTTTATCGTTTCTTTTTCTTGCGACTTGTGTCTTTTTACACGTTGTTTCGTGACGACATCAACTCACATATTTAAAAAATTTATTTATCATATTCGTTGTCTTCGATTATAATAGCATATTAAGACTCTGCGAGAGAGGGAATAGCAGATACTCAAAACTAATAGAAGCATACGTTTGCGCTTCATTTATAGTGGTTGATAGTTGGAAGACAGAAGTTTTTGCAGCAGCAGACAAATTACCTTAAATAGTCTTTCTGCGAATTTAGAATTGTTTGAACATTTGAAGTGTCAACAGCACCTGCGAGTGCAGAAGGAAAAAAAATTGTGGATTTTAGATTAGACTAAAATGAAATTGTTAATTTTGCTATCGGTTTTATTTGCAAGTGCTTGCGGGAAGCCACAACTCCTACAATTTCCAGGTAAATCACATCGCAAGTTTGAATCAACATTTGTGCAAAAGATAAAGTTTATAATTTATATTCACACAGGCATAAGCATCTCATCAAGCAATGCTAATGCAGGATCAAATTCAGGATTGGGTATGTGTGTTGATGTTATTCTTGTTTGAAATTAAATAAATATCATAAGTTCGCTTCTAGGTGGAGCAGGAAGTAATTCAAATGCAAATAGTTTTTCACTGAATATAGGAGGTATGACATAGATCTTTATATAGGAATTCAAATTAAAAATAAAATGTTCTTTCAAGGTGGTGGATTAGGAATTCCAGGACTTGGTGGATTCGGTGGTGGTCCGAGCATCAGTGCATCACAATCACAAGCACAGGTAAGATTGAATATGATTTCATAAGTAATGATGCGAGACACAATGGCGATGATGAATGGTAAAATGCATGAATGATGTGAATACATAAAAGAGAGGCAAAGACATAAAGGTGTTGCGAGATATACAACAATAATAACAGTATTAACAACTCGAAAAATCTCGTCAAGGTCGCTTATTCAATGAAAGGGAAATAAGAGTGAATGTTTTATTATTCATTGAGTCTCCAAATTTTTAAGTGCATCGAAATGTCAGCTTAAATTAATTTATTATTTTCTCTTTTCAGGCTCAAGCTGGTTCGGGTAAGGAAGCAAAAAAAATATTATAATTTTGAGTACTGATTGAGTTAATCAATCGCATTCAAATAATGCCGTAATTAATTTCATCATTTCTGCATACATTAAGTCATCATGACAATATTATTTGTGGAATGTTCATCGTCTGCTGCTTTCAACTGCGCGTTACACTAAAGATTTAAGATGCTAATTAGGGATGAATTCATTCGCAGGAATGGATTTATGATGACTTGATTGTTTATCATCTAATTATTACTCCCCAGTCTTATCCGTATTCTGAGAATATTAGATCTTCAAAAATTTTATGGAACTTTCCATTAAGCATCTCGAGTTATTTATCTTTGCATGCTGAACATTGTTTATCCATATTACATTCTTATTATTTGATCTTCTTTTAGGTGGAGGTGGTTTTGGAGGAGGTAGTCAATCACAAGCTCAAGCTCAGTCACAATCAGTGAATATTAATTTAGGAGGAGGAGGTGTAGCTCCAATTGGAGGACCAGGAGTTTATGGAGGTGGTCCTGGATATTATGGTGGAGGTAAGAAATGAAATTTGAAAGTAAAATGAAGTGATTTTGGCAAAAAATGTGACGCTATGCTGATGTATTTGAAATTCGCCTTGATTATGACAAAGCATATAACCCGAATAGCACAAGTCGGTAAATCGAATAGAAATCCGGCGCAAAGCTGGCATAACACTGGGATGGTACTGGATTCGATTTCAATTCAGCACCATGTCAGAGTCACACCAGCTAGAAGCAGGATTTCTGATCGATTACCGACTTGTGACATTCGGGTAAGGCCAAATTTAAATTTATATAAATATTCCAAAAAGGTCCTGGATATGGAGGTTATGGCGCAGGTTATGGAGGAGGTAAAATTTGCGGAATCTTTAAATAGATATGTACATGCAAGAAACTATCTATAATTCGATTCAATTCTTATTATTCATTCCTTATTTTTTAAACAATTTTGCGCTTTTAACAACTTTTTAAACTTTTCAATGCTTTAAACTGATTACAAACAGCAGAAACAATACATTCACACTTGATTACAGTGTGAATGAGAAAAGGATTTTGGATATCTCTAAATCTAAACATTCTTTACTTGATTCCTCGAATATTAACATAATGTCCAGTATGATATTATATATTCAACATATGACCATAAACCTAATCAAATGGTTTAATTCATTATTATAAAGATGCTAGATTTCTATCGCATGTATATATCAAAATTGTTGATAATTATAACTATTCGTAAATGTATGATTACATTGTTTGTTTCCATTTTGATCCTCAAAAGGTCCTGGATATTATAGAAGAGGTAAAGTTCTGAAAAATTCAGTGATTTCTAATAAGAACTTCTATAGTAGTTTGAGTTTAATTTCTTGGTATTTATAATGATCTTTAAGTTCATTTATTGACATTATAAGTCTTTATTGTTGACGACTCTAGCCTTTCTTTCTTCTCCTTTTGTTTTCTATTAATTTATTTCATGAAATTTAAAACACAATCAGAACTTTCATCCTTCTTTGGTGTTACTTTTAAAAAAAAAATCAACTTTTGATTCCCAAATCTTATTGCTGGTCTACTTGCATAAAACTTTCGCCTATTAAATACCTCACATTCTTCTTGGCTTTTCCTCAAACCTTTCAACTTATTCTTTTTCATGCTTCTTAAATTTTTAAATTCATTTCAAAACTTAATTATTTTTATGATTATGATTTCAACTAGGTCCAGGATTTTATGGTGGTGGTCCCGGATTCTATGGAGGTCGAGGTAAGTTCTTTAGTTATCGAATCACTGAAAAAACCATTAAGAATCTAAAAGTGCGTACTCGTGTGTAAACAAGCTCCTCTCTCATAAGAAGAGGAAATATTTCTTCAATCCCACATTCAATAAAATAAATTCATGAGATTTAAAATTCATCCAATTTTAAATCCATAGCTTAATCTTTTATTTTCATATGAATTGGAGATGTGTGCTCAATCTTAAGTATTTAGATTAATTCAAATTAAAATTTTATTCTTTTTTCATTTAAATAAAAACACATTTAAAAAATATTTTCGTGAATGCTTATCAGAATATATAGTCTCATGACTTTTTATGTCAATGATCCGAGTGCCGTGTGTATACCTAACACAAACTTCGCATTATTTGTGCTGGTTTTTCCATTAATCTCTTATTATCTCAATTTGAGTCGTACAATTACTTATAATGATTAATTGCTTGATCTATAGGATTTAGAAGACGTGGACATCATCATCATCACCATCATCATTATGATGGTCCAGGCTTTGGTGGTCCAGGATACGGCCCAGGGTAATTATCAATTTAAATCCTCAATTAAAGCTATTCATCAGTATTTTTTATTGTTATTTATATAATTTTGATTAATCAACATTCTCACTTGTGCCACTTCTTCTTTTCTGTCTCATCTTCTTTAGATTCTTCAAGAAATAAATATATTTAACAGAAACATACTCAGCCAGTTGTACATATAGGAGTAATGAATAAGAATCTCATGTTTGTGCAAAAAAATTGTTGTTCTTTACGTTGTAAATAAGCATTCATCTTCAATGACACTTAAACATATATACACACACACATACACAAATACACTTACAAAATTGAATCGTATTTAATAAATGAAAAATCTCAGTTTCATAAAATAATAATGATAATTGCTTTTAATTTATTTACTGCTTCTTTTTAGAATTCTAGAGTCTTTGGTATATTTATTGCCCTTAACAGGTAAACTTGCGAAGTTTCGTGACTATTTATAATAGAACTTAATTTACTAAATGCTGTTAACTTTCCATAGTTCTCAAAATTGTCCACAAAAGTTGTTAGGAATTATGCTTGCTCCGTGTTGATGCACAGTCCGAGCTGTTTATAATAATCAATTTAACACTGCAACGTCTTCATTTTTATTGCAAAGACTTTGCTGCTCGGGCACAACTGAAATTTTTATTTGCGGACATTCTACATGTGTCTTTAACAGCCATCCCATACATTTATTAAGTACATAAATCATAAATATTATTGCATCGACAAATTGTTATCATGCTTTTGGGGTATCTTTTCGATCAGGTCATGAAATAAAATGAAATAGATACCCCGATGGATTTGGACTTTGAAAAAGCAATATCCACAATATGATGATTTATTTTAATCTAAAACGTGCTTGATGTTGTCTCTCAAGATTGTGAAAATTCTATTCGTGACCCTATGTTTCGGGGTCGATTGAAAATGACGTTTATCACAAATTAAGATTTTCAGATAAGACTCAATTCATAACTCAGCATCCAGACGATTTGTGAACGACATTTATGAAATACAAAAGTGGACTTGTGACATTTTAATTTCCAAATATCACCAACAATATTTTTCACTGTTATCAACTTATAATTATTTATAGATTGCATGTTGGAACATCAAAATCCAACAAATAAATAAAGATTAAAGCTTTTTTGTGCTCTCATGGTCACTAAGCAAGTTCAAGGTTAACATTTTCGTTCATCTTCTATCAAGTCAAGTCAAAAGAACGAAAGAACACATTTTTTTGTGATGAACAAAAGTTTGATAAGTTACGAAAGATGTTTTTTGTTGGATCTGACAAGTATCAAAGAGTTTTTAAAAAGGTTGAAAGGTGCAAAATTTGCAGAATGCTAAGACTTGGGTATAAAAAGCAAGAAATAAATTTACACATGTTAGTTCTTGTTTTTAGAGTTTCTATTTTATTACGGCACAAATTTTTCTTATTACTAATTTACAAGTTATGCTTAATTCACTGACGTGTCAGGAACTTTCACATGAATGAGCTTATTCAGCTCGGCTCTAAGAGCCATTTATTTTATTGTTTCATTTTTTAACGTCCAAATCCGAATGATTGGGTTCCAGCTTGAGCATTAGCAGCTGATCCACTCATGCCACCTCCAAATCCTGGGAATCCACCACCAGCATTGAAGCTTTGTGATGAAGCAGCAGCATTAGCACTTGAACCACTCATTCCACCACCTCCAAAACCTGGTCCATAACCACCATATCCGCCTGGATATCCTCCTGGATAGTATTGTGGGATTGCGAATGCAGCAGCAATCAATGCGAAGATAACAATTAAGAATTTCATTTTGATTTTATTTTGAAGACTGATCACTCAGAACTGAATGGTGTTTAGCAGGTTTAGTGAATTTATAGTACTTGAAAGAAATAAAGAAGAAATCCTATCATCGCATTTAAAATTGCGAGTAAAATTGCTTGTCAATTTTTTTTTCTAGAGCGAATAGAATGATTTTAGGATTTAAATACTCACGAAGAGATTTTTTTTCATACCCTACCTTAATAGCTAATATTTTGACTAAGAGACGACTTTAAATTTTTTTTTATATTATTTTGCAAACATTTGCACAACAGACATTTCACATACATCACTTTATCGCCCTTACCCATAATTTTTCAAAAAACTTTCACAATTTAATTATTTATTCATTGTTCAATTTTATTTAAAATTCAGTCATTTCTTATACACAATTTTCACGTAAAATCTTTTTAACGACCGAAGCCCATTGATTGACTTCCAGCTGCAGCATTTGCAGCACTTCCACTCATTCCACCTCCAAAACCAGGGTATCCACCTCCAGCATTAAAGCTTTGAGATGAAGCTTGAGCGTTTGCAGCTGATCCTCCAAATCCACCACCTCCTGGATATCCACCTCCATATCCTCCCCCGTATGGCTGTTGACCATAGAACTGTGGGACTGCAAGTGCAGATGCAATCAATGCAAAGAGAAGAATTAATAATTTCATTTTGGAAATTAAGCAAGTTTGAAAGGCTGATCACTTAAAACTGAATAATTCTGTAACTAAATCTTCAATTTATAGGATTTGGGAAAGTTAAGAAGAACACCTTGAAACAAACAATAAAGAGTAAATTATGTACTTTCCCTAAAGAAATATTGATAGATAACAATGTGAAATAACAAAAAATACGAATACCAGCAAGATATTAGTGCATATACTGAAAAATATATGTATAGTAAAATTGTTTATTACTCCAAAATCATCTCGTCAATGATTAAATTAGATGTATGTTAGTCTTGAGGATAATCAGGATGGAGTTTGATCGTCAATCTTAAAAAATTGTCTTTTAAATCTATACTTACTTTGCCGTGCAACTATGAACTTAATAAAGAAAACTAGTTCAAAATAAATTAGATCTAAAACATTGATTAAATGAAGCCTGTTTCTAGTCTGTTTGCTAGAAATGTTATCATATCCTCATATTTGACTCTTACAAATGGCGATCTGCATTTCAGAAATATGAGAATAAATCAAGTAACGTGTAATTTTACAATGAATTCATCACAGAGATCTAAAATAACACATCCTAGCTTTAATAAATAACATTAGGTTGATTACACAAATCACAAAAATGAAACAAAGAAATTCTAAAATTAATTTCAAAAATACTGTGAATTTATTTCATTTAAAAAATCATACAAAAAACTATTCCAGAAGAGTGCATCCACTTAACTTAAAAAACATTGGAAACAGTTATCCTTGGTCACAGACATTTGATCCTTCCTACTCCTGTATAAGAACAAGTTCCAGGAGGATAATGTGAATTATAAGATGACCCACTGAATGGTCCGTTTTGAGGAGGTGCAATATCAATGTTTTCTGGCTCAAACATGAACCCGGAAAATTGTGGAGCAGCAATCAATGTGAAGAGAAGAATTAATAATTTCGTATTGTTTAAACTTTGGAAGTTTAGCTAGTTTCAGAGACTGATCACTTAGAACTGAACATTTCTGCAACTAAATGTTCAATATATAGAATTTGAGAGAATTAAAGGAAAGCACCTTGAGACAAACAATAAATAAAGATAACAACGTAGAAAAGACAAAAATTACGAATACCATCAAGATATTTTAAGAAAGATTTAACTATAAATTCATGCAGTCTGGATTTTCTGATTGATTTCTTTTAAATCGCTAACTTAAAATGCTTCTAAAAGTGCTAAAAACATCAGCTTCTACATTTAGGATTCAGTAAATATCTAGTGATAGAGATTTTTTGTGATGTTCAACTTTAAGGCACTAAAGTTCAATAACAGAGACTTAATAAAGAAAAAAAACTTTGAAATAGTTTCAAATAATTTTCAAGGATTATAAGTCCAGAAAAATGTATCTGGTCTTATAATCGCACTGGGAGATTATAAGTAAAATTTATAAATTTTCTGGAATTATAAACCACACGTAAGGTTTATAAGTCCAGATATAAAATGTACCTGGACTTAAAAACCTCTCGTGCAGTTTATAATTCCAGCTGTATTTGTACTTGGACTTATAAACTGCACGTGAGGTTTTTAAGTCCAGGTGCAATTTGTATCTGGACTTATAAACCTTTAGTCACTTTTATTTTCTGGACTTATAATTTTCTGTGCATGATTTTTGTATCTGGACTTATAATCTCTGGACTTATAACCCAGCATCCGCAAGCATTAAAGCTTTTCGATGCAGCTTGACGATCCACTAAAAATGCAGCAAAAATTAAAGCGAAAAGAAAGATTATATACTTCATCTTGTTCAAGCTTCAATGCTGATCACAATGTTGAACGAGAATTCATAGGACTTGGATGCAAGGATGCAAAAATTGCATTGCGTTTTCATGAGAGAATAAAATAACTCGTGAGTAAATTGGACTATTGATAAACTTATTGACATTTTAATATATATATATATATATATATAGGCATAAAATCAGCAAATAAAAACAGAAAGTTTAGAGATTAAAAATTTAATCTTTGCCACAGAAAAAGGTTTGGATTTTACTGGATCTTTAAAGGATGTGTAATCAGGAATATTAAGATGATGAACTTGTGTGTAAAAACCACTTTTTAGCTGTTGTATTGTTTTTTCCCATATTGAGTCATTTCACGACACCTAATTGAGATATTCGTCGTGTTTTCAGAAACATGTAACATCCGAAATTCGACATAGTCAAATTTCTAAACCTTCTTAAAATATCGAATAAAAAGTTTACATTTTCAACTACAATTTACATAAATCACATTCCATTTATTCAAGCTTTGATTTTAAAAGAATTAAATTTATTTGCCAGCACTGAATGATTGAGTTCCAGCAGCAGCATTAGATGAACTTCCGCTCATTCCACCACCGAATCCTGGATAGCCAAATCCACCAGGGAATCCTCCTTGATTGAATGATTGACTTGATGCAGCAGCGTTGGCACTTGAGCCACTCATTCCACCAAATCCTAATGGTTGGATGGGCATGAATTGTGGAGCAGCGAATGCAGCAACAATCAATGCGAAAAGAACGATTAAGAATTTCATAATTTGAATTTAGCTTTAAGACTGATCACAAATAACTGAACTTTTATGAATTAGACTATGCTAATTTATAGCACCTTGCATATAAAAGAAGATTTGTTCATCTCAAATCTCATTGATTGCAAAAATATTGAGTTAAGAATTCATTTTCTCGTGAGCAACTAAGCAATTTTGAGGTAGCTTAAAATAAAGATTATGTCAATGGATTGGTGTTATATACTCAGTGCAAGCTTGATATATATATATATATATATATATATATGTTTATCAGCGTTTCTTTTTATACTCCAGACTAATTTCTTTTAGATTAACTTGACTGTCGAAATTTTTAAGTCAAGTTGTGTAAGTTGCGACCTGGACGAACTAATCAGCATACTTATTATTATTTATTTGTCGACGTTACCGTCCGAAAGAATTAGTATTTATACATGTTTTTACTTTTTACATTGATTAGTGATACATTTCATATCACTATGGGTGATGTAGAATCAAGCTTCTAATCTTCAAATCTAGGTTTCGATTAAATTCAGGCTCTCGTTTCAATCTTCTGTGGGCGTGACGTGATACATTTCAGGTCCGTTCTGACAATATTCCATTATAAGGTAATCTTGTAGCTCTCGTTTCTATTTCTCCCACTACACTTCTAGTTCCTGATCCGTTCCTTAATCCAACGTTGCCCAAAATGCCCAATTATGGCTTGATCTCGTACATTAAGCAGTCGAAGTATCTAAACTTCTGAAAAAGAACGAATTTGGAAATGGCTGGATTCGAACTTACTAGTTGTGCCTTTGAAAATGCAGCATTGACCTGAATTCAGAATTGACAAAACAAACATGTTCTTAATCAAATTAAATCGGTTACATATTTGGGATACAGCCTCCCATCGTGAGCAATTCCGGGTTAGAGAAAAATAATATCCGTTAAAATCTTAGCAAATCGAAGAGAACTTCTCCTTGAAGGAACAAATTCTTGTACATGAATAAATAATTTAAAATATCACTGGTTGGTGCTAAAAGCGACAATTGTGATTAAGTTCAATTTTAAGGTCACTCATCCTTTTAATATAATTTTATGAAAAACCCGAAAATGCATGAGTCACTCGTTACAACTCATTTTTAATCATAAATGTCTCAAGTAAAGGACATGTCAAAATAACGCGACCTATAGAATCAAATCAGTCACAGACTTCAATAAGCAAGCTGAAAATTCTTTTGTAATTTGAAAAACAACTTTATAACTTTTTTGATTGACACGTAAAATAATTTTATTATTGTTCTTATAACTTAATATACAGTTTTATACATTAGAATCGTTTTGGAAGTATCCGATAAGAAGTCAGATCACAAATCAATTGAGAATTGCATCACTTATTATCGTCCGAAACCGAATGATTGACTTCCAGCAGCAGCATTTGAGGCACTTCCACCAAATCCACCAAATGGACCACCAGCATTGAAACTTTGTGATGAAGCTTGAGCGTTTGCAGCTGATCCCCCAAATCCACCACCTCCAAATCCTGGTCTATAACCACCATATCCACCTCCATATCCTCCTGGATAATATTGTGGGATTGCGAATGCAGCAGCAATTAAAGCGAAGAGAAAAACTAAGAATTTCATTTTGATTTTATTTTGTAGACTGATCAATAAGAACTAACTGACTGTTAGTTTGTTGCCCGAATTTATAGCTCTTGATTTGATTTCATGAGAAATGTAACGATGATAAACCAGTTATCGCCAAAAATATTGAGAAATTTTGGTCATTTCTCTCGAGTTAAAAGAGTGACTAGTGAGAATTAAAAGGGAATTATTTAAAAGAGAACTAGAAAATATTGGAAAAGATTTGGGGAATCACCGTAAGTTCTTAATATTTTTGAAAATATCCTGAATTTATTAAGTCATTTAATTTTACATCAATTTATTTATTTAAATTGTTCAATATTTTTCAAAATAAAGCCTCTCTTAAAACTACTCATTGAAGATTAATTTCTTGTAAAATGTTCATCATCCTTTATCGTCCGAAACCAAAAGATTGACTTCCTGCATTGGCAAATGCATTGCTTCCACCAAATCCACCTGCATATGGACTGAATCCACCTCCGGTATTAAAACTTTGTGACCCAGCCTGAGCATTAGAAGCTGATCCACTGAATCCACCTGCTGGTCTATAGCCATATGCACTTGGACGTCCACCATAATGCTGTGGGATTGCAAATACAGCAGCAATAATGGCAAAAAGCATAATTAAGAATTTCATTTTGATTTAATTTTGAAGACTGATTCCTTTGAACTGAATAGTGATTAGATTGGTCTGTTAATTTATAGGACATCATGTAAATTTTGAAAAAACTTAAAAAATATATATATAATTTTAGCTTTCGATAATCATATTGAGAAAGTTTGTCATTTCTTCTGAGCGAATTTACTCTCGAAGAGACTATCTGCTTCAGACCGAGTACTTCTTTTATTACAAATATGGCAAAGAGAATTAAAAATTTAATGAGTATTTTATTTCTGTGATTTATTTACATTGGAAAACCCAAATTAATTTTTATTAGAATTTCCAAAAGATTAACACAATCTTATCAATTTTATAGCTCATAAGCTTGTCAAAATTATTTCAAAAATTCCAAAGTTTTTAATAAAACCATTCAAAGATAAATTAATCACAAATTTTATTTTATTTTATCCTTGACTAAATGTCTTACTTCCAGCCTGAGCATTTGACGAACTTCCAGTAAATCCAGTGCCAAAACCAGGAAATCCACCTCCTGAATTGAAGCTTTGCGATGCAGCTTGTGCATTAGAAGATGATCCACTAAACTGTCCACATCCAATACCAGAGTCTCATCTTGTTCAAACTTCAATGCTGATCACAATTAAATGAATATTGTTCTTAGTGCATCGGGAATTTATAAAGTTTGAGGATTGCAAAAATGCATCAAGAAAGCAGACACTTTCTCATGAGTAAATTGGTCGACTGATAAACTTGTTGACATTTTTATGTTGATGTTTACATAAAGCAGATTAAAGTTTGCATGCAAATAATTCAGGAATTTGATAAGGGATTGTTCAAAATTGTTGTTGGACATTTAGAGAGAAACTGAGACTTTGTAGACATTTTAAATTGAACATTATTGTAAATTCCAAGTTTTCGATTCTGAAATCTTTAAAAATAATAATTTTGACGTCATTTTAATTTGATGCTAAATGACTGAGTTGTTCTGGGTGCATTTTTTCTTTTAAATGCAATAATAATCAGTTTTCTAGACTTGTTGCTTGATATTTTCTTCTCAGGTTATTATACAAACTCCTATTAGATTTCATATTTTACCTTAACTGACCAAGTTTACGTCAGTTGACATGATAATTTCAAATATTGATTTCTGAAACAGTTTAAGCATTTAAATAAGCATACAATTATTTTTTAATTTAATAAAAAGCAGGTCACATCATTTTATTGAAACTCTCATAAACTTAACATAATAGACTCAATTTGGAAGCATCTAGTGAAAATTTGAATCACCAATTTAATTATTGATTAATCTTAACGTCCAAAGCCCATTGAATGACTTCCTGCTGCAGCATTTGCGGCACTTCCACTCATTCCGAATCCACCAAATGGACCACCCATTCCACCACCGAAGCTTTGTGATGAAGCTTGAGCATTTGCAGCTGAACCACTCATTCCAAAACCACCATATCCACCTGGGTATCCTCCATAGTATTGTGGATATGCAAAGGCGACAGCAATCAATGCGAAGATAACAATTAAATATTTCATTTTATAATTTGATTTTGTTTTTAACTTTCAAGTTGGTTTAAACTTTAGGACTTGTGATTTCTTACTGAATTTCGAATGAAATATTCTGTCAATTTATAGTACCAAAATGAAGTAAACAATCAAAAGTTGTAAAAAACCCACTATCAGTCAATAACGCAGTAAAGAATTTTCCCATTTCTTCTGAGCAAGTAGAATAATCTAAATTTTACTACTCGTTTGATGTGGAAGATCTTCATTCATAAATATGTCGTTTGACAGTACAAACATAAAATTTTTCCAATGAATGTGGATCACATTGAAAATCAAATCAGTTGCAATTTAACCATTGAAAGAAATAGTCGTAAATACAGTAAACTCACTTTACAGAACTTTGAGCTATAGATTTTAGGATAATTTATCTTAAAATATTTCAAATTCAATTAAATTTATCTTGACTCGATAGTTTTAGTCACAGTATGAAAGTCCAAAAAAATCGTTTGCATTTATAACTCTCATTAAAAAAACAATAGTGGTAGTCTGCAATCAATCGTTCCATTTTGATAAGAATTAGCTTTGGTTTATGCCAGATCAGTTCTAAAGAAAAAAAATTCAACAATTGAACCAAATTTAAAGAAAGTAAAAATAAAAAACTGAATTTTAATTTAAAAATTGTGATCGCATTATTTTATTCATTTTAATTAAGTATGAAAAGTCATGAAAATGTGAAATCCCTTTTAAGTTTCGAAATTATTCATCAAATTCATCAGGGATTTCACATTTTCTTGTTTATTGGCTAAGGGATTTGTTAAGAGTTTTTGAAATTTTCCAGGATTAATTCTGAGTTTCCACGCCTTGATTTTAACATTTGAGATTTTAACTTTCTTATGTTTTCTTCGTTATTTTTATTTGTCTTGTTTTCATTTTCCTGGTAATTGCATCATTCCTTAATTGTTCAATATATTCCAAACTCGGATAATCTGAATGACTGAAACTTTTATAATCCTTAATGATAAAACAATGAAACAGTGAAAAATAATAGTAAACTAAACGTTAAACATAGATGTTAAATCATTAAAGCTTCAAATCGTAAAACTGATAACCATAAACTGAAAGTTGTGAATATAATTTTTTTCATTGAGCGACAGGAAGTGATAATCAGCGTTTTTTGCATCATTGAATTAATTTTTGTAAGTTTTTTTTTCACAGAAAAAATCTTTCATTTACTAATTTAATTGAATTTTTAACTTTGTAAGAACTTCCAATTTTTAATTTCACAAATTTTAATATTTTGTCATCATTTGATTCTGATTATTCTGAAATCTTTTAAATCTTGATTAAAACATTCTAGTTTATAATTTAATAATTAACATTAATATCAATTTATTGGCACTCTTGAAACTTAATATAATAGACTCATAATGGATGTATCCAGTGGGAAATCAGAACACCAATTTTGTAAGAATTAATAGCATCACTTTTTAACGTCCGAAACCGAATGATTGACTTCCAGCAGCAGCATTTGAAGCTGATCCACCAAATCCACCAAATGGACCACCAGCATTAAAACTTTGTGATGAAGCTTGAGCGTTTGCAGCTGATCCTCCAAATCCACCACCTCCATATCCACCACCTGGGTATCCACCATATCCACCACCTGGATATCCTCCATATCCACCTCCTGGATAGTATTGTGGATAAGCGATTGCAGCAGCAATCAAAGCGAAGAGAAAAACTAAGAATTTCATCTTAAACTTTTTAATTATTTGTTCTGTTATGAGAGCTCGACTGATAGCTTGAAACTGATTTTTGAATCGCTTAGTTTCCGAATTTATAGTTCTTGATAAGAATAAAATTTGAGAAAAGATGTTGAAACGGATTACAAATAAATAAATTTTATTCTATCGCAACACGCACTCATTTTAGAAATCTAATGATAGGAAGCATACATACAAACTTAACATTGTCAAAAATATTTTGATTTGCATCATTCTCAATCAACGGTTCCTTGCTCAATTTTTTTCTCTCATTTGTAAATTGGAATGTAGGTCAATAGACATCAAAAAGATTATTTCTTTAGAATCTTTAAATTCCTAGTCTTGTCATGTTGTTTAAATGTGCGCATTGTTGGAATACAAAGCCTAAAGTGAAATCATAAAGCAGTTCTTTACAGAAATCATCGGAAAAACAACATTTAATTATTTTAATAATGAATTATTGTTCGAAAAAACTCGACCTATATTTTAAAAAAATTGCGTATTTTAGATTATAATCTAGAAGATTGTTGAATCATATAGAAAATACCAATGGTTTGCCTGAAAAACATTATGAAGCTTGATAATAGTGTTTACAAATATAAGTCCAAAATTTACAAGGCATTTTACAAAGTTATAAAAAAAGTAAAACATGCAAAATTTATATAACTTAACTTTCTTCAATTGGTATTTTTCCCTATATTTATTGACTCATTAAACTTTATGGACCGTAAACAATCTTTAAGTTGATACTAATTTTGTAATGGGCAACAAATATAGGCTTTTGTGACGTCAATGAGTAAGGTAATAAATATTTTTTAAATCTGAAGATTTTTGATTTTAACGTGAGATTTTTCTTATGACTTGGAATAATATCGGAGATAACGAAAACAGTTACAAGTGACTCAACGGCTACAAAAATTTTAAAAATTCTGAAAACGTTGTTGAAACTTATGGTTAAAATCACGTCACTTTTAATTTTACATTTAACAGGTGAAGCAGTTTCAATTTGTTGAAATTAAAAAGTATTATTTCAAAATCGAATTCATCCTTTCATTATTCTAGATATTCTATAAAAAATTGCAACAAATGTTGAATCTTTATGCACTTTAAAATTGAAAACTAAATTTTACAGAAGTCTCATCAAACAACTATTGTTAATATTTTCTTTGAAATGCTTGACAATATAAAAGTTTGGATTCAAAATTAACACCTCAACTCTCATCAAGTCAAGTAATTAAACACAAATAAATTTTTATATCTGTACAAATTAAAATAATTTATTAACACACTTAGTAAAAAATCAGATTCTTTTGCAAATGAAAATCCTTAAATTCTATTGATGACTCAAGATGAGCTAATTTATCTGCCAAAACCGAATGATGAGCTTCCAGCATTAGCAAATGCATTGCTTGAACTTCCACCGAATCCTGGGAAACCACCTCCAAAGCTTGAAGATCCAGCACTTGCTTGGGCATTTGATCCACTAAATCCACCTCCGAAACCCCCTGGATATCCACCATAACCACCATATCCACCACCTGGATAGAATTGTGGAACTGCAAATGCAGCAGCAATCAAAGCGAACAACACAATCAAAAGTTTCATTCTTTCAGATTTTTTTTTATGTGCTTAATGTCACTAAAATATAACTTTTTAAGACTTTTGTCTCTTTGACAACTTTAACTTATGAAATGATGGCTTAAACTGAATGCTGTGACAAAAAAAGTAACTCAATTTATAGTGTTGGATAAGCAAACGACGAACCCAAGAAAACATGAAGGAAAGAAGTTGGAAAAACACAAAAATTACTCAAAATACATTATCATATTAGAATTAACTGGATTTTTTGTGGTATATTTTTTGTTGCTACACGCACAATGTTCATAGTATTAATGTTGAATGCACACCTGTATGAATGTCACTTATCCATAATACATTTATCTTTTGCTCTGTGAAAGTCACTAAAAAACTTGTTTTTATCTCAACATACCGGCTGTGCTTGTTGTATTCCTAAAAATATAAATACGGCTTTTTTGGACGTTGTTTTTTCATAAGAATTTATTTAAATTTTATATCCACGGGGTAGTTTACAAATTTGAGTGTTAATATCGTTAATATTAATCGGCTAAATCCAAAAGTTAAGCTTCCAGCAATTTTAAATGCATTAGTGTTGCCAAAACTACCAAATGCTGTTGTTATTAAAACGATAAACGTTAACAATACTTGCATGTTTTGGCTCTTTAGTTAAAATTCAATAACAGCATTTGAAGTTAAGATCCGAGACTAAGTACCTTGAGCTTAAAATCCTGTAAATTTAAAGTAAACAATCCCCATGATCAGCAAAAAATAATAATTTGCAAAAAAGTTAAGTACTAGTCAAGTAAGAACCCAAAAACATCATTAAAGTCATTCGTCATTTGCAAAAAGTAATAATTTAATTCTTCACGTGTTGCCGGACCATCAAGAAACTTCTTTGTGTCATTTTGAAAAATCTCATTCACAAATCTGTTTTGATTTAGAATCAGCAAGGACGTAGAATTTGTATTCGCGTGAAGTCAACGTTCTAATAATTGTTCATTCTACAGTTGTGAATCTTTGTGGTTTTCCCCACCGTCATAAATCTTTTCGTCGTTAAGTAACCAAATGATATTGTTAAATTTACATCGAACATAAATCATTAGTGATTTTATTCATTTTTTGCATCAAAAAAAGAAATTTTTATGCAAATTCGTAAATAAACAACTTTCTTCGGGGCTCATCTAATTGTGACGTACAACTTCTGATATTTTATGACCCACAGACTGTGAAATTATCGTGTTTGTTGGGCAACTTTAATGACATCTGAAAAAATAAGATAGAAACATGTTTTGATGAAAACATCATATAAGAATGACTCCCGGAAAGCAATATTGCAATCAGACGATTTATGTTTTTGCGTAACTTTAAATTAAGTCTGGCTGGAAGCTTAAGATTAATTAGAGATTTTTAAAGATTTTACATGACTTTCGCATGATATAAAGTTTTTTTGATGTGAATTAAACTGGATATAAAATATTTGGGTGAATAAACAAAACATTATTGATTAGCATGAGTCATAACAGATTTATTTGCCTGTGGCTAGCTGTGAAATCAAAAATATCAATCCAGCTGAATCAAAAATACATTTTACGAATATTTATTTGACTCGGACTAAAGGAATAAAAAATAGGAGTTCAATTTCTTTCCAAATCTACGTTGTTATCAATAAAAATATTCACATTGACCTTGCAGGAAATATTCAAAAAAAAAGCAATTTAAGTCATGCACACTTTACAGTCAAGTATTTACAGAATGACTTAAGAAATCTTTTGTGTCACTGAATTCTTTTCGAGAAGAATTTTTTGATTGCAAATTGTTGAGTTTGATTCTTTTCTGTATCTTTCCTGTTCTTTAATGAAATGAGAAGAGACTTAGTGATAAATCGAGAAAGAATGTAGCACTTTTAATAATTGAACTCGAGCATCCACTGGAATAATAAAACACAATAAACTTTCCATTAAGTTAAAAAATAATTTATTGAAAGCCTTAATTTGTCAAATAATAATAAATTCATGATTATAATTCTACTGGTGGTTCTTTAAATATCTTCGAAAATGATGTGTATAATTCTAGTTGAAGTAAATTAATCCATTCTTGTCTTAACGTCCGAAACCAAATGATGAACTTCCTGCATTAGCAAATGCATTGCTTCCACCAAATCCACCTCCACCAAAGCTCGAACTTCCAGCATTAGCAAATGAACTAGAACCTCCAAATCCACCTCCGAAATTTCCACCTGGATATCCCCCATATCCACCACCTGGATATCCACCCCCGTATCCTCCATATCCTCGTCTATATCCACCATATCCACCACCTCCATATCCTCTACGTCCGTAATGTGGATTAGCAATCACAACAGCAATTAATGCGAATATTAAAATCAAAAACTTCATTTTTTGCACTGTTAACTTTTTTTATTCTGCAAAGGACACGAACTACACAACACAATCGATCAAATTCAAGTGTTCTGCCCAACAGGTAATCGCCACAATATAAAGCAAAAATGTTACTGTAACAAAAAAATAAGCTGTTGACTTTAAAAGAGTAAAGAATTCTTCAATTTATTACAAAGATACTCGCAAAATTGTGAGTGTGTGTAAGTATCATGTATTATTTCCTTTATAGTCACCAGTCATCTCATTTTTCGATGATTCTACGAATTATTTTGTTTTCTTGTTATTTTAATTAGGTCTAGTTTAAGAACGGAAGCAGAATATCTGAGGAATTCCAATGAGACATTCATGTTGTTTACAATTCGTAGCATAATATCTTGATGACTCTTTTGAGGACTATAAGAATTGATTTGATGAATCTCTAGAATCAGGTTCTCAAGGTTGTAGACTCAAGAGATATAAATCACGGGAAAATAGAAAGGTGAATTACTATTCAGTTAAGAATCTCACTAAGTGTGCATCAACAAGGAGAAATAACTCATCTTTAAAGTGCGCACAATTATTGCTGACAATATGTAAATGAGATGAATCAATAAAAATTAAGTTTGTCAACAAATCATCAGGAAAACTTCATTACATTATCGATTGGACCTCCAAAAGCCTCATTGATTGTGAAATTTTAGTCAAAAAATCATTAAAAATATTTATTTTTGAGCTCTTCGGAGTTTCTTTTTATTTATTGTAAACAACTTCTTTAAGCTCATTATCATTAACAACTACAATGATGATTTTTGAGCCGCTTCTTTGTGGTGATGTTTTGCCGCATTCATATTCTTCTCGTACGAACTCGAATTTATTTATTTTTTTCAAAATTTTCGATGACGTCAATTGGAAGGGAAATTTTTACTAAGCCGGTTTTATGCGACGATGGCTTGTTGTTTATTGTTATGACGAAACCTTCATAATAGCTTCAGACCGCTACATAAATAATTCTAGTAAATGCGTAGTAAAAAATTTATATGCAGTTGGGAATTCCCAAGATTTTATTTTTTCGGATGTCTTCGCTCTACTGCTGTTGATGAGGAAGGTCTGTTTTCTTGATTAGCATATGTATGAGAAGTCAATAATAAGTGAGATATTAATATGAAGAAATTTTACATTTGAATACAAATCAAACAATACGATTTATAGCTGCGTGATTTCTGCTAGGAACTTGATGAGTATTATAATAAGTCTTTGATTTTTTTTTTCAACTTTTTATTAACATAGATGTAGTAACAGATTAAAATCAATTTGATTAACAATTTACAATCCCATAATTTTATGAGAATTCTTGACTTAAAAACAATTCAATTTTGAACACAGTTCTGCAAATGTGGCAACTTCAACTAACGTCCAAATCCAAAAGATGAACTTCCTGCATTTGCTGATGCACTGCTTCCACTAGCACCAAATCCTGGAAAACCACCTGTGCTAAAACTACCAGAATTTGCATTTGCACCTGATGCACCAAAACCACCACCTCCAAAATGTGGCTGAAATCCACCTCCAAATCCAAACCCTATTCCAGGCAGTTGTGGTCTAGCGAATGTAAAAGCAATCAAAGCAAATAAAATCACTAAAATTTTCATTTTAAAACTTAAATACAATATTGCAATGGAACTGAAAATGTTGAATGAATTAGATATGGAGAAAGTCCTCTTATTTATAGCTAGTTGCCGGAAAGAAATTTTTGCAATAAGCGACAAAAACAAAACAGCATAATAGGTCTTTAGAGGGGGAAGTCGTAAAATTTCGGTAAACCTGAAGTTGTAGGAAACACACTGCAATGCATTTTAGTGAATTAGCCTGGAAATGTTGCAATTTCAAAACGCTAGAAGTTAAAACTAAAATCGGTTGACTTTAAGATAAGAAAATATTTCTCAATAATTTTATTGACAACAGATACTTATTTACAATTTATAGCCACAAACATCCCATGAAGGTTTTTCAAATTTTACTTAAAAAATAAATTTTTCCTTAAAATAATGACTTTCAACGTCCAAATCCAAACGTTCCACTTCCAGCATTTGCTGATGCATGACTTGCACTTCCTCCTAGACCAAATAATCCACCTCCAGTATTAAAGCTGCTAGCACCAGCATGCGCACTTGATTGTGATCCACCAAATCCACCACCTCCAAATGGACGATGTCCATATCCTCCTCCAAATTGTGGACCAAATTGAGGTACAGCTAAGCTCAATCCGATGAAGACAAACAAAAGCACCAAGATTTTCATTTTTGAATAATTTTAACTTAATATTCACACAGAAAGTGTTAAGACTGAATGATATGGATATAAAGAAAGTTCGCGTATTTATAGGAGATGCAACTTTTCGAAATTTGCAAAAATATGCAATAAAAAAGAAACATATAAAGACAGCATGGCTATAAGGAGGCTTTAAACGTAAATATTGACTTAAATGCAATCTTAATTTCTTCAATAAATCTTCAAAATTAATCACCTTTCGATTTTTATTAAGCAGCAAAACATAAATTTGCACTGGTATCTGTTAAACATTTTTAGTTGGAACTGGTCGGTACGCAATATTCACAGTATACAAAAATTCTAATCAGACTGAATTCAAGAAGATTTCTAAATCTAATATTTAAATGCATGCATTGATTCGGATTTAAGAATTAAGTCTAGAAAAACTTGTTCTTGCAAAAAATGATCAAGTGCCTTGATATCTTCAAACCTTTATAACGACATTTGTATAAATTTGAATTTTTATTGCTTATAAAAATCATTTCTGATAATGAGAAGATTCACGGTGCAATTATGATTCATAGGAGGAATGACTTTTAAATGTCAGTTCATAATATTAAGGTAAGTAGAGCATAATTCATATATTTTGTAATGCTGCATAAAACATAACAAATTTGACTAATGCATTGAAGGTTAAAGTACAAAAGATAATCAAACATTGACTTTTTGTATCTTGCAAGGTTCACTGACTTTCTTACAAAACTGAATGACATTAATGATATTGTATTTTTAACAAACAATGTGCATTTGGCACACGACTACAAGAGTTTTATACTGAGAATAACTTATTTATAACAAAATTGCAGAGATGCTTGAAGTTTTGTTTACAGTTGCATTAAAAATTTATAAGATATTTTCAGCTTCAGTTTTAAACTTACAACCCACGATAGAAGATACATTTGCAAGTGTTTTTCATCAAAATTTTACCTTATTGGCTTAATGTTTCTTGAGAATTTGTCTCTTTATAAAATCTTAAAAATCATATTTTTTTTGCAGACATTAATGTCAATCGAATGGTTTCTATTTTCAATATGCATAAAGCAATAAAACTCTAATGTTTTACACTACAAAATTTATTTAAGTATCTTGGGTTCAATGAATCCAAGAATGATTTAATTTTATCCATCCATTAAGTGCTATTAATTAATTGAGTGAATCTATCCAATGCAATTAAATCTAATTGTTTTTCTTTCAGATTAAACTTAGCAAATGAGCACGTGAGACGATTATCTTTAAACTTTCAGTCATGCTTTCAAGTGCTTTAGCTTTTGTTTACACTAAGATTGAAAGATGGATGATGTAATTAACATTAAATCAATATAAAGTATTTCTGGAGTTATTTGAGTTACTAAATTGTTTAAATATGATAAGCTCAATTGAGTATCTTAAAGAATATTTAATTTGAAGCTTAATTTCAACGATGTTTTTAAAACGATGCTTTATTCATCATACTGAATATACTAAAACTTTGAGAATTAACGCATTTAAAAGCTGCCTTAATTAAAAATGTTTGAGGTTTTGTGTTGTTTTACAAACTTTATTAAAACTTCAGAATTAAGCTGTTTACAGCACAAAAAAGCTTGTCACTAACGAGTATCACACGTATACCTTTGTATAGTCCTTTACCAAGTTTTTAATTGAAAAATTCCTATTTATTGTATTTTCAGCGATGGAATTCAAAAGGAGTTAAAAGTTGAAAAGACTTAAAAACCTATTTTTAGCAATAAATGAATAAATCATTCGAAAAACACACATCGGCGATTAATACTGACTAAATAAGCTTAGCCAAATTGATTCACTCATCTTTACACATCTTCTTGAAATATTATTTTCGCAGTCGCAATTTTTTTCTTTCATGATCACTTTCGGCAATATATTTTTTCAAAAATGATTCTTTAGAATACTTATGCAATAGGTCATCCAAAGTCATTTTTATAGCGTGATAATTAAAAAGCATTCATCATACATTTTTAGATTTGAAAAGATTTAATTTATTTATTTTTAAATAAATGATCTATCACATATTGACTTAAAATAAAAAAACTTTGCACTCCTAATTGGTTGAGCTTATTTTCCATAACCCCCACCGCTGCTTGAATGACCACCTGCAGATGCTATTCCTTGACTTGATCCTAATATTAAGAGTTTAATTACGAAAAAAGTCTCACATAAAAATTATTATAATTACCTCCACCGATTCCATGACCCCCGTGTCCCCCAAAGCTTCCTCCACTTGATAATGAACTTGAACCAGCATTAGCACTAGCTCCTGATGAGCCAAATCCTCCATGACCCAAACCGCCTGACAATGAACTTGAACCAGCATTAGCACTAGCTCCTGATGAGCCAAATCCTCCATGACCCAAACCGCCTGACAATGAACTTGAACCAGCATTAGCACTAGCTCCTGATGAGCCAAATCCTCCATGACCCAAACCGCCTGACAATGAACTTGAACCAGCATTAGCACTAGCTCCTGATGAACTAAGACCACCAGAGTGACCTCCTAAGCCACCCAATCCAAAAGCACCACCGCTAGATAATGAGCCTGAATTTGCACTAGCTCCTGAACCACCAAATCCTCCTAATCCAAATCCACCACCACTTGATAACGAGCTAGCGCCAGCATTTGCACCTGATGAGCTAAATCCTCCTCCAAATGGAACAATTCCACCAATATTTCCGAATCCAAATGCTGGCATTCCAAAACCAGGCATTCCGAACCCTCCAAAACCTCCCATATTGTGACCTGCGAAGCCTCCTGTATGTCCGAGACCACCAAATCCAAAACCTCCTATAAAGAATTATTACAATTTTAGAAAAATAAGAAACAATTTTTTTAGAATGAGTATTACCTGAAGAAGCTGAGCCTGCTGAAGAACCAGCTGATGAGCCTGATCCTCCTACAATAATTGTGAGACAATCCATTGGCAATTAGTATTGTAAAATTTCACTGACCAAAAGTGATTTAAAACATTGAGATATAGAAAATATAATTACCAAATCCACCAGAATGACCTCCTCCATGAGCAATTCCGCTACTATGACCTAATCCCCCAGCACTACCTCCTGATGTAATTGATGATGCACCTGCATTAGCACCTGAGCTTGAAATACCACCAATTGGACCAATTGGGGCAATAGGTGCAATTGGGGCTATAGGAGCGATGGGGCCTAAAATTACAACATTATTAGATTGTATAATATTAAAATAACTTTTTTATTACCAATTTCACCTCCATGATGTGCACCATGACCAATATCATGACCAATTCCTCCTCCTATGCTACCTCCTATAAAATAATTTTTTTAAAAAAATCTCTAAAGTTTTCTTTCATCATTTTAAATTAAATTTATACCTGAAGAGGATGATCCTGCACCAGCTTGTGAACCTGAGCCAGCAATTCCCCCACCATGTCCTATAGAATATAATTTATGAGAATTAAGAAATTTTCAAACTTTCTTGTAGGAAAAGAATAAATTTTTTTAAATTTTTACCAATTCCGTGACTTCCTCCATGTCCTCCATGACCAATTCCACTTCCATGACCGACTGAACCCCCATGACTCCCTCCTATAAACATTTTTAAAATTTATTTTCACAACAAATTAAGGGGCCGTTCACTTATTACGTTACGCAAAAAAACGACTTTTTACACCCCCCCCCCCCCTCCCTTGTTACAATATGTTACAACTCACAACACCCCCCCCCCCCCCCCAGAATGAACGTTCTGTTCTTTCTTTAAAATACAGACGACAGTTAGAACGTTACATACTTCTTGAAACTCCCCCCCCCCCTCATTGTCCTCATTGTTACATTTTGTTACAATTTTTCAAACCCCCCCTCCCCCTAAAATGCGAACGTAATAAGTAAACGGCCCCTAATTTTTTAATGTTTAAAGTGAATGCATACCTCCTGATATCGAGGATGTTCCTGCACCAGCTTGTGAACCTGAGCCTGAAATGCCACCGCCATGTCCTATAGAAAATAATTTATGAGAATTAAGAAATTTTCAAACTTTCTTGTAGAAAAAGAATAAATTATTTTAAATTTTTACCAATTCCGTGACTTCCTCCATGTCCTCCATGACCGATTGAACCCCCATGACTCCCTCCTATAAGCATTTTAAAAATTTATTTTTCACAACAAATTAATTTCTTAATTTTAAAGTGAATGCATACCTCCTGATATCGAGGATGTTCCTGCACCAGCTTGTGAACCTGAGCCTGAAATGCCACCGCCATGTCCTATAGAAAATAATTTATGAGAATTAAGAAATTTTCAAACTTTCTTGGAGAAAAAGAATAAATTATTTTAAATTTTTACCAATTCCATGACTTCCTCCATGTCCTCCATGACCAATGCCTATTTCATGACCAATTCCATTTCCGTGACCGATTGAACCCCCATGACTCCCTCCTATATACATTTTTAAAATTTATTTTTCACAACAAATTAATTTCTTAATTTTAAAATGAATGCATACCTCCTGATATCGAGGATGTTCCTGCACCAGCTTGTGAACCTGAGCCTGAAATGCCACCGCCATGTCCTATAGAAAATAATTTATGAGAATAAAGAAATTTTCAAACTTTCTTGGAGAAAAAGAATAAATTATTTTAAATTTTTACCAATTCCATGACTTCCTCCATGTCCTCCATGACCAATGCCTATTTCATGACCAATTCCATTTCCGTGACCGATTGAACCCCCATGACTCCCTCCTATATACATTTTTAAAATTTATTTTTCACAACAAATTAATTTCTTAATTTTAAAATGAATGCATACCTCCTGATATCGAGGATGTTCCTGCACCAGCTTGTGAACCTGAGCTTGAAATGCCACCGCCATGTCCTGAATATAAATAAAATATTAAAAGTTAAAAATTTAAAAAAATATATTTTTGTACCTATACCCCCTCCAATGCCGTGATCAAGACCAATCGATCCAGCATGGCCTGAACCTCCCCCAATTCCACCTAAAGATTCATCAGTTTAATTAAATATGTATTAGAAATTATTTTAATCGGAATCAAGATCCACTAGAATAACTTTTTGAGTAATGTTCAACTATAGTGGTTCTATATTTTTGGACTATGCTGTAAATAAAGAAACAAATTCAATGCATACCTGAAGTAATTGAAGATGAGCCTGCGCCAGCTTGTGCCCCTGAACCCGAAATTCCACCACTATGACCTGTAAATTTTCATTTAAAGAAATAATGAAATTAAGGCAAAATAAAAAATTATAATTTTTACCACTTCCTAGTCCACTGTGACCTCCTGAATGACCAATTGATCCACTATGGCCTAATCCACCACCAATACCACCTTAAAATAGAAGATGTAATTTTTTTTTTGAAAAAAAGCTTTAAAAACTTCATACCTGATGATAGAGAGCTAGTTTGAGCGCCAGCTTGTGATGCAGATCCTGAAGATCCCCCACCGAATCCTCCATGCTCCATACCACTACCAAATCCTCCATGTCCAGCACTTCCATGACCCATTCCACCCCCTCCATATCCTCCTTTAATACCTTTAAAAGTTACATAATATTTTTTTTATTTTTCAAAAAATATTTTTTTTTTATCAATTTCTATTTAAATTGTGTGAATCACTGTCTTACATTCGTACTTAATAGATAATAATCAATTTTATGACATTTAATTTTTTTAAGATTTTATTTTTTAAATTTTTTTACCACTGCTTAATGAGCTGCTCTGTGCTCCAGCATTTGCAGCTGATCCCGAAAATCCACCTCCAATATGCCCTTGAGGCTCAATGGCAATAACACCACCACCACCTCCTCCATATTTCGATCCATAAGGAACAGCACTTAACACTCCAAAAATGGCACTCAACACTATAAAAATTCTCATTTTATTAATTTGATCTTCACTTAACTGTTGGTAAAAATACAATGATTCGGGAATACTTGAATGCTAATGCTTTATATACTAAAAAAAAGAACAAGTAAAGTTGTTATTCTCCCAAATCTTCTCAGTAACAAAAAGAAATAAAAAGAATCAAAAACGAGATTCAAAGCAGTAAATACAAAAAATTTGCAAGGAAAAGAGCAACAACAATTTATATTAAGCATAATCTTATCCCGCATCACTCAAAATAAAACGTGAAAAATAGAGCGTCTCTTTACTCATTTGTGCACTTTAAAAAGCTGATAAGAACTATGCTTTTCTGGATTTTAGTGGAAATACTAAGGATACAGCTGAATAAATATAGCTTAAGACGTAAAAGAGTAATTATGTGTGCAAAATGCAAAATTAATGAGTGTCAAAGTCAAACATCTTTAGAATTGCGATTTTTAAATCCTAATAAAATTTAGATTGTGAAAGAGTATGGCAACAAAAAAATTTGAGATTAATTCAAAGCCATTGAGCAGATGTCTTCTCACGTTTTGTTTTCAAAATTAAATTTGACTCCAGTTTCATTTTTGCACTGATAAGGAATACCAAGAAATTTTCAAAATAATAAAATAAAATTGGTATTTCCCGAAAGAATTTAAAATTTCAAAAAATCACAAAACAATAGCAAAATAATTGATGATGCACTGGAAGAAACTGGTAAAGGGCTGTTAACGTCACTAGCTGCGAATTTAATTGTATCAGGTTATAAACAACGACAATAAGAACTCTTGATATCTGAACAGCTTCCTTAATCCCAAAGTAAACCATTTTGAATCACTAGAAGCTGTCGTAAGCAGCTGACAAATAGAAATGTCTTTGAAAATGCAGAAGTATTTCCGGTTCTTCCTGAATGCAATAAATTAAAGAGTTCCAATGACATTTACATCATATTCAAAGTTAAGCTATGAGTATTGCCTGCAAACTTAGCCTTGACCCTATCAACACTATCCAAAGCATCGATGCATTATCATATGATTCGTCAGTCTATCCACTAACCTTTATGACAACTCTATTTAAAATCGTCAACTTGAATTCTCTGAAAATTAAAACAGCTGTAAATTTTTTTAAGCCGGTGATTTTTTTAAAGAAATTCGCTTAAACAAAAGTCAGCACGTGAATGCAGACATCTAAAAATATATCCAACAAAGTAACTTTTGTCATTACAACACCGGTTTGTATTTTATAAATTCAGAAATATCCAAATTCTAAGAATGTTATGTTTCATACTTATTGTGCTGTGTTTTGTTTCTAGAGAATCGTTTGAAGCACTTAGACCTGTATCTGTACTTACTTTCGTTTCAAAACATAAACATAACAAGTGATGATGAATACGAAAAAATATCCAAAAACAAGTTATTTGATATGCTTGTAAAAGAGCAAAAAACCTTTAATCATCATTTTTGGGGGTTGTTCATAAGTGACGTCAATATTTTAGATGACATATGTGAGTTCAAATTGCAGCTTGTTCAAAGATTAATTTTTTGCTTGCTACAGAGTTATTTCAAATCTTGTTTTATATGATATCATTTTGGAACGACCCCGTACCTAAATATTCCGTTCTAGCTCATATATAAAAATCAATCAATGTCGAAAGTTTCAATATTCTTGTCTTCAATATTCTGCTTTAATTTTCGTACACGTTCTTCTTCCATTGTTTAATAATTCATGTTTCATGAGTGAATAAACATTGAGGAACCGGCATAAATGCGAGAGAATTTTTGATGAAAGCAAAACTCCAAGCTGACTGTTTATGGAAAAAAGAATTCTCAGTATTCTCTTTAATAATAATAATTCTATTCTCATGGCTTGTAAAAGCTCTGTCAATGCCATCAGCGTACTGAATATATTTTTCTCTGTTTGTGATGCTGTAAAGCACATAAGGTAATTTCATTCTCATCCTTTCCTCCTCTTCTCTCACTTCCTTTTTCATTTCTCCTTCATCTTCATCTCTTTCACACAAAAGCGAGAATAAATTGGATCTGATTTTATATGCAGTCATGCAACATATTTCATGTAAAGTATGTATCTGGAGAAAAAAAAGTAAAATAAAGAGATGTTAATTCCAACAAGTTCTCGTACGAGAATGTTGTCAAATAATTAGAGCTCTCGCTCTCTTGTATTCATTCGATACAAATAAGTCTTAACCGTGTCAAGTAAATCAGCCAGTGTGAAAGTATCATTTATGTGGACGAAGAGTTAATTAGGCAACAGACTATAGTCCTGTCTTTTGTAAAGACTTGGGTTCGATTCCCACTAAAGTTCATCTTTACAAAGAGTATTGCCCAATCGGATTTTATGATTATTGATCTCAGAAGTGGCAGTCTATTAAAATAAATCTACACAAAATACCTCAAAGGGACCAAAATTTTCATCCGAATTGCTATTAAGGAAAAAGAGTTTTATTCCGAGAAAGAAGCTTTACGATTCATACATATAAATATTGCCCGAGAAGACAGATGAGAGTTCAAAGTGAAAATTTCTTCCGTATTTACAAGAAAGAAGTAAACGACGACGAGAAATTCATGCAATCAACAAGTACAAGAAGATAAGAAAGAGAGAGAATAAAGGCATTATCTATGGTTTGACAGAAAGCTTTTCTTTTTTATTTGTTGGATAAACTTTATATTTCTTAAATTTATGTGTACATAAATAAAATTTATGGATCTCGGTTGAATCATTCATCACATCGAATGTGGTTGTTGCCATAGAGGTCAATCTATTCGACACTACATATATTTATAGAAATAATCAGAGATGAAAATTTACTTCTGTTTATTTATTGGGAATCTTAATATAGCTACTTACTTGACTCTAGTATCGAATTCAGTTACTAAATCGTCATTACTTGGTGCGACAGATGTTGGAGTGGGTGTAGTGCTTGTGGTAGTAGTTCTATTATGACAATGATGATGATGATGATGATGTCTTCGTCGGCCTACGTTACTTTCTCCTTCGGTCAATGAAACATTGTGATTTTTGTGCCATTCAGGGGCATGTCCAAACTCTCCATTCTCATTTATATTTCCTCTATGATGGTATCCTCTATGACGATGTCTTCCACGTTTTCCTTCCTCATTTTCAACTTGATTGTTGTCTTGATCATCTGCTTTTTCATTTTGATTCTTATGTCCGTGCTTACGCCAGCTGTGATGATGTCTTTCAAAGTTTCCATCTTGACCGTGAACTGATTCTGTTTTATTGCAATGATGGTGATGATGATGATGTCTGTCATGTTTATTTTCATTCTGATCTTCTTCATTGCTGTCTTTCTTGTCTTTGTTTGCTCGTCTACGACATCCACGACCTCGACATCTTTCACATTTTACTTCACCTTGCTCGTTATTATTATCACCATCTTCAGCTGCTCCTTCTGTCTTATTATCATGCCTACATTTATTCTTGCGCCATCTACGGTTCTTGCGCTTTCCATTTTTACCCCATTTTGGACTTTCTTTTGGAAGATTTGCATCATCTGGAAGTGGATCTGCAAGAGCATCTTCTTCTAAGGAACTTGCTTCTGAGTCTGAAACTTCAACTAATGCATTGTCTTGATCACTACGCTGTAATCTCTTTTGATTGTCATTTTCACGAGTCCGATGTGCAATAGCACCAACAATACAAAGTGCAAGAAGGAACAAAAACTTTAAATTCATCTCTTTGGAATGTTTTGTCAGTCTTTTAAAGACTTAAATTATATTAGAAATAAAAATTATTGAAATTTTTGAAATAAAATTGATGTTTACGACAACTTATTCGATTGAAGTTATAGCTTGAACTGATAACAAACAGTGAGTAATCCAGAGTTTTATATACAATTGTTATCTCCACAATTGCTTTTAAATTATTCAATAACGCTGATTAGCAAGTCATGTAAACAAGAGTTAAATCGCAGTAAATTAACTCCAATTTTAGCAAAATATTTTATCAGTGAATCGTCGTGTGAATCGGAAGTGATGAATGTAAATATAAAGAGAGAAAAGAACCTTTTTGGTTCAAATAAACAAAAAAATTCTCGAGAATTGTTGTCATGAGTAGCGAGAGAATACTTCGGGGATTTTTATTTTTCTACAGACAATATGACTGTCAAGATTCTTTTCTCAAGTACAAGTTTTTATAGCCATAGCGAGAGAGTTGTATCAAGAAAGGTTACATCTGGTTGCAAAAAACTCAAAGCCTTAAGAATCTTCAAAAAAAAAGGCAATACTGTGTAAGTGTTTCAGACTTTTTCCATCTCATTCTTGTTTTTGGCAGAATGCCAAGTCAAGTGAGTGGAACAAGGAAAGAATTAAGTTCGAGTCATTCAACAAGTATATTAAAGAATATGCAACAGTTTTCATGACTTTCTTCCAGGCAATATAATACAGCCATTAGCTTAAAGTTGCTACTTAAAAATATTTTAATGTGTTCTTGAAAGCGGATATGCTCACATATAAAATGATATTTTAAGTGCTTCGCAAATTCATCCTTTTGAAGTATTTTGCTAAATTAATTTTTAAAGGATGTTGCAACAGCATGCACAAACGTTACACTACATATTAATGTTCCATAAGGATGCAGGAAAAAAGAGCTCATAATTTTTCAAAAGAGAGCGGAAGCATCTTCATAAATCTTATAAATGGGTTGAGTGTAAGCGCTTAAATGTTTGCATTTTTAAGCGCTATTTGCAAACATTAAACTTTATTTCCATATGAACCGCAATAAATTTTTTCATCCTTGCAACATCTTTTACATGTTGCACAATCTGCTTACTGTTAATGCTTCCATTTAGAATAAAATTAAGGAAATGTGAGTGAGGAGATGTAAAGTTTTAAATATCCTGAATAATCCTGATTCCTTTATCCTGTGTGTGTGTTCGCATTTATGTGAGACAAAGTTTTTAATGTTAACTGAATTTGTATGATAATCGGATTCTGAAATCTATAAATAGAAATTTTGAAAGTCAGCTTGTGAAAATTTGCATGCACAGAAGAGTGTTGTGTCTGTGAATTGGATGATAAAAGGATGAGTTGTTCTATTTATAAAAGCACTTAATACAAAATAAAATGAATGGAATTTTAAGCTTTATTCAATTTACTTTTTTTTGCATATGAACTTACAAACTTGGGAATCCGAGTTTGCAAGATTATAGCGCATAACTTCAGATTGACAACTTTCTTGAAAAACTATGGTCAGTTGTTTTACTCCTAAATTAATCAATTTTTAATCCAAATTTTATAATTAAAGGCAACCTAAAGCCATTTTAGGTCAATTCACGAAACTCGAAGTTGAATCCACAAGCTTTGTTGATTTTTCATTTCAATCTTACCATCCATTTCATAAAGCTACATGCTTTTGGGCATTTCCTTTTGCTTTCACTTATAAAACTTGAGCAAACCGTTCTTTTGACTTTGCAATAATTTCTTTAAGCCAAACTCTTGAGTTATGACAACATTTTGACTTCCAAAAATGGAAAAGATGAGGAATTCATTAAAATTTGTTCTTAATTGTCAAGAAAATGATCTTTGTAGGAATTCATAGTTTCATTCTCTGGCAGCCAGTCAGCTTTGAGCTCTGTAAAACAACTCAAAAGCTGTAAATAATTATGTAATTACGGGTTAAAAAGTTTAAATCGATATAATCTTTTTAAAATTAAATAAAGCTTAATTATCTCATTTAACTACCAGTTTTATTGCCTCTCATACACAAAATAAGAGTCATAATCTGCCATTAAATTATGAAATTTAATCTTTTCATATAAAAATAAATGCTTTCATTAACAAACATTAAATTTCATTAAATTGTTCAATCTTTACTTGAATTCATAATCCATGATCCTCAACTGCTAGCTACATGTAAAAAATATATTTTTTTTTTCAACAAAAGCAAGTTTAAATATTCAGTAGAGGGCTGTTCACTTATTACGTAACGCGAAAAAATGACTTTTTAGACCCCCCCCCCCCTCGTAACAAAATTTGTATGAAAAAAAAATTTCCTTGTTTGAACCGTAACAAAATCTTAGACCCCCCTCCCCCCTAAAAGCGTTACGTAATAAGTGAATGGCCCCTAGACCAACCTGCAGTTTTTCATTTTGCTCACGGGCAATCAGGTGCGCTATGGCAACTATGAAATGAAGATAACTGCAGACAAATTGAATATAACAGTGAATTAATTTCTTTTATGACATAGCTATGCTCTCAAATAAACTGCAAACTGTCAAGTTTTTTTATGCAAATTACATTTTTAATCAGAAAGTAAAAAGATAGAAAAATGTGATGATAAAATTGAAAAAAAAAGAGTCTTTAAACAGAATATTATGGAAGTTGAGCTGCACACAAATGTGGACATTGTGCAATTTTCCAGCGTTCTTTGGGTGTCTAAACGTTACTGCCAAAACTTCTAGATCAGAGTTTTACAAAGTATATGAAAGTAGGGATTGGTAGCAAGGAGTAAGCATTCCACTATAAACTGCACTTCTGGCAAAAGTGTCTAAATACATGCCACTTCTGCAAGTGTACGAGAAGCCTCAAAAAATATAAAAGATAAAAAAAACCTTTAATTCACAGTTGATGAAATTTAATTTTAATATTCTAGTTTGACATAAAAAATGTCTATCTGGTGATAAAGATTTCTGTGCTACGTCAATGACAGTATTGAGTTATATGGCATAGATTCGATAAATTTATTATATTTTCATTCTTTATCGGATAAGAAGAGAAAAACTTTCCATTTCGTTCACCTGAATGAGAATAATTCAATTTAACTCTAAAGCATGCAAAAGGATAAAAATATATTTTCAATCTAGAAGAAAATTTTTCTACAAAAGCATGTCTATATAGATACATTCTATGTCATATGGAAAAAAAAACCTATTTCTCGCATGGTTAATTTAAAAGTGAACCCGAAATTCATAAAAATACACAGTGGAATGAAGTACAGTTAAAATAAACGTCGGCTGACATCATATCCTTTTTCCTATTAAGCTTCTCTGTCCTTCTTTTTTTAAATGCTCCGCTTTTGTCAGTATTTACAGCGCTATTTTTATTATATGATGCGGTAAAAAAGTAATTTACATATTCAATTATGGCGTTCGATTAACAACATTTTTCATCATATTGCGCTATGAATAAAAAAAGAAACAGCTTCCTGTTGGAAGAAAATCTGTGCAGCACAAAATAGGAAATGCATTTTGATGAGACATAGATAGAAAAACGTACTGAATAATAGATTGCAATTTATAAATTTCAAATCTTTTGAAACAAGACAATTTCCCTTTAAGGGACTCTTTTGTTCCACTTCATCTTGTGACACAGAACATTTTACAAATTTTCTTGTCTATTTTCATTCCATTCCTTTTGGAAAAATTATCATAAAGTAGAGAAACATTAAAATATTCAAGCATTCAAAAAGGAAATCTATGCATTTATCTCTTCAATATTGAAACTTTTTTATTTTACTCTGAATAAATACATTGAACAATGAAATGTAGCATACATGTTACTATTATCGGAAAGAGGGTGAAATTGAAGTTTCAATTTTAAATTTTAATGGTTGTGTATGTTTTCCTTTGAGATTCTGACAGTATTGACAAGATGAAAGTTATTTGAAATTGTACATTTAAATTGATTTTAGTTTGCATGAGGTAGTTGAAGGAGCTGGTAGTGGTAGCTTGGTCCTTCAATATTTAATTTGATGCAATAAATATTACATCTCGTGTTGAAAAGGCTTAACAGTGATGTATAGCTAGCTTGATGCCTGTTTAAAGCGAAAACATTTTAACATTCACAGCCTTACGTAAGCTAAGATTAATTTATAGCAGCACATTGAGCATCAGACTCTCGAGGCTGAACAAATATCCTATTGACATTTATCTTAGGCTTCTTTCCCATTTTACAAAGAATCGTACCAAAATATGTTCTGCATTTATCATAAGAACTACTCCAACTTATGTGTCTAATAAATTCATAATGAAAAATTTCAAAAAGTAACACAAACATTGACAAAGTACATCCAATAAACACAATCAAAAACACAGGTCCAAGATCCTTTAATGTCAAAAAATCATTTTCTATCTCGACGTTCCTTAATTTAGAAATAAGATGAGATTCAAAAACTTTCCACATTTGCGGTAATCCAGCTTCAAATGATAAGTCCATAAAGTATTGAAAACGTTCAAGATATGGATTGAGGAAGCTAGCTTCTAAGCGAATAAATTGACTTGGAATTCTTTCATTCAAAATGTAATAATATTCGGACCAGAATTTTTTGTTAGATCTTTGGGAACTCAAAATTTGCTTAGCTACATCACAAAGTCTTATGAAGGCGTACTTTTGCTCAATTATGTTTTTATCATCGTTTGTTTCTTCTGGCAAATCTAATGAGTTGATTATTGACGAAAAGTCACTGGAATTTTTAAAATTATATTTAAATGCTTCACCGACAATAATCCTAAAGTTTGATTCCAACAGATCTTTAACAGTTTTCAAATTCTGTTCACCTGGATCAATCATAAATGATGTAATAACACTTTCATAAGCATTGCTGAGTATGAACAACGAAATGGAAATCAAATGAAGTAGAATTAACAACTCAGTGCGATTTCTTCGTGAGAAATTAAGACCTTGACCAATGAAAATCATGAATATTGCTATAGCAACTTTCCAATGAGAATCTACAGCACCAAAATCTCGAAAAAGTCTCCAGACAGCAACAGCACATAAAATTGAAAATATAATTGATATCCATATAAATCGATCAAAAGGTTTAATGATAAAGCGTAGAACAAAAGATGTCTTTTGAGGAATTGGAATTAATCTACAATATGTTTTTTCCTCATATGTCATCAACGTTGGTTCTGGAGAATTTATGATTGTTGCTACATTTATCAGCAAGTGCATTTTACGACGTCTCCAATAATCTTTCATTACTGTTAGATTATGAAGGTTCAATAGCTTAAAATTACAATTTTGTTGATCCTTTATGGCATGAAAAAAATGAATCATGAGTGAGTTAATATAACTATTATTAAGATTGTTAACAGAAGCTACTTGATATTCAAATCCTTCTAAATTTTTCAACTTATCTTGAAAAATCTGCAAACTGTTCCTTGGATTTGTCATCATTAATATTTTATAATATCTTCCATGGGGCTTGAAAGTCTCATAAACAATTCCTTTGACTGACTCGTAAACGACTACGACATTTAAATGTCCATTTAAAAAGAATGTTTGAAGTATTGTCTCAATCTGCTCATAAGATAAGTCAGGTGAGACAACACAAATTATTTTAGCCATGTGATGCCAAATTGTTGATCGTCGGTGAGTTTTAATCAAATTCATTATTGAGCTCTACAAAAAAAAATGGATTAATTTTATTTTACTAATCCTTACTTTCCCTCTCATACCACATCAGTTTTATTCATCGCTAAAATCACAAGAGATGCCTTTCTTAAATGCTTTGTGGTCATCTTAATTGTCAAATCTGATATTACAGCTGGACAGCTTATGCATCTGAGAAAAGCATTAGCATCAAAAACTTTTAATTGACCTCCTAGGTTTCCGATGAGAATGTCCTGAGTCAAGATTTTTTGATCTGCTATGTCATTTGCAACTTTACAGATGCTGCTTATCAATATGTTGTTATTGATTTGATATTGATGAAGTAGTGTCTTATTTTCTATCGGATTTGCTGAGCACAAGCATAATATTGCAAAATATTGAAACAAATTCAAATTCAAACTCATATTCATTGTCAATCAGCACAACCTTTCAAAGCAGCGACTTTGAAATTTAAACTGTTTTTTCATCAGTTTACTAAATGTTAACACTAGCAATCATATGGAATTGAATATTTAGATTAGGTTTGACTGACAAGCATTTTGTATCCATTATCAATGCACTTAGTTTATTGCTGTTATTTAATCTAGCTATATCAAAATTCATCATGTTCTTTAAATACCCATAATTCCTAGTTGAGTACATTATTATACATTTCAAACCTCATTCCACTCATGAAAAATCCAGCATATATTTCAAATGTACTTAAAACGAATATGCATGTCTGCTTAAGATTTGTACTATAAATTCTTATTAAGCTCATCATAAAATTCAACATTTAATTTCTTAACAGCATTTATCAAATTTTCGTATCCCGCGTGTGTTGTACAGAGAATGAAGAAGGTAGAAAAATCACATTTTCATGTACATGTCTAAGTAAATCAAAGAAATGTTCTTTCCTTTAGTGTCTGTACAATGAAATCAACATGCTGAAATGATTCAAATTTTCTTTCATAATTTACTATCTTTTGTAACTGATTTAGAATGAAAGCCTGTGGATGTATGTTTATAAATGCTACATCCAAGCGCTCCAGGGCTTAAAGGAAATGAATGTAGAGTATCAAGAAAGAAAAAAGAAAATGCCATAAATTATAAATTTAATTTAATATCTCGTTCTCTCTTCGATATAATAGCTCCGTTCTTTTCTGCCTTCTTTTAAGGTTCATTTTAAAAACCAGAGAAATTTCTATCGTCCGCGAAATTTATTTTCATTCGTTGGCAAGTCATTTAATTTTTATTTTATCTTCATCTGTACTTTTTATTGTTTTGTACCTTAAAATAAATACTTGGAGATAGAAATGAACTGATGGTGGGTAGAAAAGTAAGTTTTTAAGGAGTTTAAGCGCAAAATTTTAATTTAGATGTTCATTAGCTTTTTGGATTAAGGTAAGGCTGTGTTTTTGATAAAATTCTGCTTATTAAGCTCAATCAAAAACTTCCTTAGACTGTCAGTTTTAACTAAACTAAACAATCAACCAGACAGAAAAGTAAACTTAAACTCCAGCGACTTCATGCTTAAAAAAGCTACAGGAATAAATAAATAAATTGAAAATTCAGGTTTCATACCACACCTGTGAAAATTTCCAACGTGTTTAAGACAGTTACAGGAAGCAAGGTAGAATAGCGAAAAAAATGTTTGAAAATTTAATCTAAAATGTTTCTCATTTCTTATATTTCTTTACTTACATAAAATATAAAATGAACAAACAATTTTCATTCGTTTCTACTTCTTTTTTTTTCCTCGAAGCCAGCATAATCTTTTTCTCACATGTGCTGAATCTTCCTTCACCCATTTTTTTTATGTATTTTTACAATTTTTGCAAATGAGAAAGTTTTTGTATCCAGCATGTATATTTCATTTCTTGTGGTCTTCATTTATTTTCATGTTGTTTACTTAACTTTTATGTATGCTGTTGCTAAATATTCAACTTAATATTTTTTTGATGAATTAATTGAAGGATTCAAGGTTAATCAAAACAGTTGAGGACATCTTATTTAATTTTTAATGTATTTTTGTAATGTTAAAATGAAATTCCATATATTTAAAGAGAAGCCTTATGAAAATTATGTCAGAACCTCGAGTTTGCTGACTCGTAATCGACTTAAAAAAATTTCATTACACTTTCATTGGAAAGCACTCAAATTGTTTGATAGAAATTTATGGCATGTTGGCGTTACTTAATGGAATCATACAGAAAAGAATTTAAATAGGAAGGCACAAATGTACCTCAATTCATATTTCCTTTAAATCTTCATTAAATTCAAATTATTTTCAAAAACATTCTTGACTTTTATAACATTTTTACTGACAAAGTTGCTTAACCTTGAAGGCACAAACATTTTCACAGGTGTAAAGCAAGTGAAAAGTTTTCATTCTTTCCCTTTTTATGTGTTTTAAATAAAGGAAAACCAAAATGAAGCTGCAGATGCTTGGCAATGTTGTTTACTTAAGACGCATTTCTGGGAGACAACTGGAATTGCTCCTATTACAGTGAGTTTTAAGATAATTGATAACTTTAGTCAGTCATAAATCTAGAATTTTAACTGGTCCAAGCATCAAAAATATCTTAAAATCTTGTCAAGGAAGCTTGCTATCCCTGGGTCGATAATGGCTTCACCTTTTGTTGTGATGTGGATATTTTTTGGTCTTGAAATAAAAAAGAGGAGAAAACGTCATGGAAAACATAATGTATCTATGAACATTAAAAGGTACATCCCGAGAGATATTAAAAAACCTCGAGTAGATAAAAAATGGACATAAATAATTAATCAACTCATTTGCGTTAATGCAGACGGTGAAACATTTAAAATAGCTTAAATTTTTTTGCTTTAAATAGCAATTTTTTTCCATTCTTTAATGCAAACATATTTACAGTAAAAAATTTAAATTCGCTTACTTCCTTTTTTTGTGCTGAGTTATTTTTGTTAATTCATAAAGGTTTCGCAATAAATTTTTCCCATTCTCTTGTCAGTTGATGAACATAATTCAAGGGGGGGTTGAGGGGGGGGGGGGTGGTAGAAAAATAAATAAATTAAGGTTGATCCATGAATGGGAAAAAGCTGAAGGGAGATTCAAAGAAGGTTTGAATTTTTAATTCAAAAGTTAAAAAATTTATTCCGAAAAAATTTTTCAATGAAGTCATTAAGATGAGCTTCTGATGATCCACCATTGTGAATAAAGTTGAGTTTAGTTGAGAGAAGTAGAGTCAGTGATTTCGAATTAGTAAACAAAGGTCGACTATTTTAGCAGGTACCTGTCATCATTAAGTCGTACTTTATAATGCTGAAAGTAAATTGATGTTTGGCAAAAAGGGTGGCAATGTTAAAATGTGAAATACGCTGATGATGCTGTGCTGTTAAATATTTAAATATATTCGCACTCGATTTTTACAGCTTTTGCGAGGAATAAAGGAGATAAATTATGGCAAAGGAGAGACAGAGCTAGAATCATTATTTTATTCGCACTTAGTCTTGTTTGTAATTAATTAAAAACTCCTTTTTGTATTTTTCATCAGCATCTTCTTTGCTGTTTTATGCCTTATGCTGCTGTATTCCACTCATTTCGATATGAAAATTAAATTGAAAATACCTGCAATGTACTTTACAGCCGTATTTTTTGAGGAAAGGAAGCATTTTAATACACTGCTTTGACTAAAGTCCTGGCTGGCTCCGTGTACCTGACTACTAGACGTATTTTGAAGCCCAAATACTGCTACGCACTGAAAAATTAATGCGCTCAAGTCTCTCAATTAACAACCTTTAAACTCTTCTCACTCTATACTGTAGATTCGCAAAAGGGAAACGATGAAATACAATTCACAATTTTATATGAAATTTATTACAAAAACTTGTAAATTAAACAATTTTTCTCATTCTTCTTTCTCATTTCTATAACACGTTTGCTTATTTTTTGCTCTAGTTTGAATGAATGGAAGAGAAAGTTTGCATAGACGTGGGATACTTTATGTATTTCTGCTTCCTTCTAGCATCTTCATTAAAAAACTCTCTGGTAGTTTATTAATTTAAAAAATCAAGTTTCATTTTTTTCATTTAAGCGTATCATGAATTTGATTGCTCTATTGTACCAAGTTTAAATATGGAAATTGCTTTGTGTAATTGAATTTTAAATTTTCTTGAGTATGGGTTGCTAGAGGTAGGAATAGGAATTATGAATTCCAATTTTTTCGGTCACTTCTTCATGACTGTTAAGGTATAGGGATCTCTAGTGCTTTTTAGATTTCACCACTATGTTGTATCGTTGGTGCAATGACAAAAATTGTCAAAAATCAATAAGTTCTGAGAACAACCCTCAAAGTAACATTAAAATTCTCAAAAATATTTAAATTCAAAGCCTTCAGAAATTTACTTTATATAAAGCTCCCAAAAATCTTTAATTATTATAAGGAACTTGACTCTTATTTTAATGTATCAAATTTAAACACGCCAAGTGATTTCAAAGCATCAAAAGAATTTACAGTTAAGAGACTCTAATGAATAAGTTTTTACATAATTTCAATGGTATCGAATGTATAAGGCGTAACATTATTTCTATAAGAATCAAGTTAATTTTAAAGAATCTAAAATGAACAGAAAAAGTTTCCAATTCACATTGATTAGCTTTGCAATCTTTGTGATCAGAAAGTTTTATATGTTGCCTGTCGAAGGGTGGAGATTGGTTTTTAATGAACTTAAAGTCGACTTTATCGAAACTTATTGAATTTAATGGAGACTGTAAGTTGTTTGCATGGGAAACCAGAGAAGTTTCTTACTTTTTTCTAATCTAATAGATGATTAGAAGTTTTTCATTAAATCAGATCCGATTTTAAACAAAAAGTAGTTTTGTATGTAAAATATTATTTTTGAGGAATGTTTGGTGCGACACAAATGTTGGATTTATTTTAGGTATGTCTATCAAATTTCAAAACTATATGCCACAGATGTCAGACGAACATTCTATAAAGTTTGTGTCAGAATTTCGGTTTAGTAAGAAAATATTTGAGGATGTAAAGAATATGAAGTCATTCATGAATAATGTCCATCATGCTTGTCAGATATTCTACCTTATAACCCTTTTCTTCATAAATTTTACCAAGCATAGCTACAAAGTGCAAAACTCTAAAACAATTTCAAGAAAATTGATCAGAATTGGCTGCAAATACAGAAGCAGGTTCTTATGAATAAATAATAAAGCCAATTTCTGTTGCACTTCAAAGTTAATATCAAAAAGCTATTTCTCCTTCCATTTAAGCACTAATAAAATTTATTCAAGTCTCGAATGAAACGAGAGAAAAAACTTGCATGACGGCAAAACCATCGCCAATTTAAAACATCCATTAAATGGAAAATTTTACCAATCTAAAAGTTTTTAGCACACCTCGAGAAGCACAATGTGAATCAAATGAATCAATTTCAT